TCGACCGGTCTGCGTATGCCCGTTGCCAATAAAAATATGTAGTTCGTTGTGCATGTAGTTTTTTATAATAATTATTGTTTTCTTATTATTTTTATCAAGTGAAAAGTTGCCAAGCGAGCAGACGGTTCACCTGATGTTAAGTGAATATCGCCGCCCATGGACGCTACACCGGAGAGTGAAAATCGAAAACCAAACCTTTTGAAAATTGGGCGTATTAAAACATTGTGGCTTGTAATTTTAAGTACCTGGAGGATCGAGCTTTGCTCGGTTTGTTTTTTTTTTTTGGTAAATCGTGTATTTTGGAAATTACATTTAGATACAAATTACAAAGTAATGATAACAGATAAAGAAAGCAATGATGTGGAATCGAAAAAAAAGTAAAAAAAAAGAGTGACGAACCACGGCCGTCTGTTTTGGGGCCGCTCGATTACCGACCGAGCTATTCTAACATTTTCTTTTGCGGCGAAATTTACCATCATATTCAAGTGAGTTTTTTCATTCCCTGAAAACAGGGATAAAAGGACATTTTCTAAAAATGAAACCTAGCTAGATCGATTTTTCGCCCCCGAATCTACGCACATACTAAAGTTCATGAAAATCGCTGGAGCCGTTTCCGAGATTCCGATTATATATATATATACAAGAATTGCTCGTTTAAAGGATAAGAGATAAAATCTGAAATATTAAGTAAGCCCTAATAATACCCCGTGAAAACATGATAGATGATATTAGGGAATAGTTCGTGGATTGGCAGGTTTCATATATCTCCGAAATATTCTGTAGACCGGCGTAAAGTAGAATTGTTACCCTTCTGTATTTCGTCTGGTGAGTGGGGTAGCCGGGGCCTACTTTATTTAAAGGTGGCAACGCATTTGAAACCCTACGGGGGTTTCAAATGTCTGTGGGCGGTGGTTATCACTTAACATCAGGTGGACCGCCAGCTCGTTTGCCACTTTTTCAAATAAAAAAAATTCTGTACCATTATGTCAAAAACACAAAATGATCATGATGATGATAAATTAGTGCTTAAAATTGAAATTAATAATTTCATTGGTGGGCTTCATCGTGATTTGAGCTCAATAGTATTGAATTAAATGCCACCACAAGAAGTATCACGGCACCGTACTTTACGTTGTACTGCATTACTGTGTAATTAATGTCCCTAATTAAAAGTAAATAATTCAGTCCATAGTTTGCAATGACAGCTAAGGTATATATATTCACAATAAAGTATTGTCAAGTTTTAATGAACAATTAGATATGGGTACATATGGTCTATTAAACAATATATGTATATACCTATGTAACGTGATATGAGTTCGTGTTACCATGCGGACGCGATTTTTTGTAGGTATGTATGAGTTATTACCTTTTTGGTTATTCTTTGTTTGCATTATTGTCATTTGCAAGTAGTTTTTATTGGGACTGCTACATGTATTCAATTGTTGCGATATATTCGTCTCGGTATTATTTTTTCTTTAGTTAGGGATGCAGATTCTTAAAATGTTTTTTTTTTTAATTTGTCCTCCTTATGGTTTGGGGGTTGTCTTATGTGGGTAAGTGAATCATATTGTGAATAATTACAGTTTTACACCGTCACTAGTGACATGCAAAATAATTAATATCTTGTCTAATGATTCTAAAATTCTAGAAAGAAGCATAATCATTTTAACAAGTAGCCATAAAAATAGCTAAGCTGATGAAGCTTATCAGCTCAATTGTTTTGCTCTATTTTATGTACAGAGAACTTTAAATGTTAAACACTAAACTTTTAAGCACTAATTTGCGTTTTTATATTAATTTTAATAATTACATGCAAACCACTCCCTAGTGAAAACTGGAAAGGAAATAGGATACATTCTCTTGACCTATAATCATAAAAATAAAGACGGTTTCACAGTTTTGGTAAAGTAACAAATCTTCTTCTGTACCTATGGTACTAGTGGTAGGGCCACGCAGCAGCCTCGGCTGTTGCACGAATGGGCAGGCCCGTCCGGGTAAGTACCACGATCTCACAGAAGACCAGCGTAAAGTGGAAGTATGAAAAATACTTTCGCGTTTCGTCTGGTAAGTGGGGTAGCCGGAGCCCGATTTTTAAAAGGTTGTCAACGCATCTATAACCCTCGGGTTTAGCAGATGTCCATGGGCGGCGGTATTCACTTACCATCAGGTGAACCGTCCGCTCGTTTGGCAACTTTTCACATTAAAAAAAAACCTATGGAACCCTCAGAGTTCGAGTCCTAGTCTGACGGTTAGTACGGTTTATTAGAATAAATTCGCTGTACCCAGCTGTGAGCGAAAAAAATAAATATAGGATCATTCCAAAATGTCTTTCAATGTAAATTTCTCTTATTTACGTGAATTTCACACATTTAAATAAAAATTTAATTTACGGATTTTATTGCGGTTTACTTTTATAACTCCACGTTCAGAATATTTTAAAGCATTCGTGGTCACGGGATGGACCTCCGACATTTTGTGTGTTGTAGAGACGTGTTTGTTCCTTAAAAGTATGGCAATGACAGTGAACTTTAAAATGCAAAGCGGTCAACGGAACGACGCGCCGAATAATCGCGCCTTCCCAATTTAGTTTACGTGTCAACTTAAACTCTTTCACTTTTGCCTTATAATTGGAATTGTAAAAGCGTATTTATGTTATTAACTGTAAAAGTGGTTGTAGTGTCTTTAAATATTAATGTACCTTTTTAATGGCAGGCTTTCATTTGTAAATTATCATTTACAAGAAAGCATTGAAACAACGGCGCATGATGATGTTAAGCGATCAATCTTTAAGCCGTTTTGATGAAAAGATTATACATATATTATGTTTTTTAAGTACATTAAATTTAGACATAATTCAATTTCAAGAGGAAAATAGTACTGTAAGCTATTTATATTGGTATGTATATTCCCACATGATCGCTTCTACGCCGATGCCTGACTTGAATGACTGTTGAAGATTCCGACATAGCGTCAGCTGAATGACGTAGTAACACAGCTCGTACTATTGCTGATAATATTTTACAGGCATCGTGACTTAATAACTTTGGACTAGAGATGTTGGATGTTCCTAAATTCACAAAAAAGGAAGATATAAAAAAAGCCGGCCATGTGCGAGTCAGACTCGCGCACGAAGGGTTCCGTACCATTATGTATAAAAAGGGCAATTCATGTCTGTTGTATGGGAGCCCCACTTATTTTTTTTTAATTCTATTTTTTAGTATTTGTTGTTATAGCGGCAACAGAAATACATTACAAAGTTTCTACTGTCTATCTATCACGGCTCATGAGATACAGCCTCGTGACAGACGGACAGACCGACAGACAGACAGACAACAGAGTCTAAATAATATGGTCCCTTTTTGTTCACTTGGTACGGAACCATAAGAAAAGAAGAAATAAAATTGAGTGACAATAAATCCTTTAACTTCAGCGATGAACGAATTGAATATAAACAAAGCGTGGAAGTTGGCAGTCCGTGTCGTCTTTCGCGCGTCTCCTAACGTGCGCGCGTTGCGGAAACCGGGTTGTATTTTCTTAATCTGTGGTGAATTTAAATTTGCCGTCTTTTCGGTATGTTTTATTTTAGTTATAATAACTTTAAAATAAAATAAATTACATTTATAGTTCGGAGTCGTTAAAACGTTCTTTAATAATAATAATAATGTATTTATTTACGAAATATAGGTTAGGCATAAGGTGTACAGTACAGTAATTTTTATCGCTATATTCTACCCATTTTTTAGGGTGTGCAAATATGATATGCTCGCTTAAAGGTTGTCAGTATACATTCTCAAATTTCTTTAAGAGCAAATAATTATGATATTAATCGGATCGCATTTTATTATTCATTATTTATAGAAATTATTTAAAATAGTCGTTTATAAAATATTTCATATGTTCCGAACGAATTGCATATTTCCTCTTCCTTCTAATAACGATGATATAAAGAAGGATCATTTTGAATTAATATTGTAATTTCAATGAATATAGCTATTTGTTATTAATATTTTTATTACTGTATACTACTAGTACTATCCATAGATTAAATAAAATACTGGGAACGAACTGTATAATCTTCTTACCACAATTATACTTATGTTCAGAAATACAGTAAAGTTATATCGAAGTGTGTCAACCACAGCGGTCCACGGAGGGGACCCGTTATAATTTCTTTATTCTGTGGTCGTTCGAGTTTTAAACATATGCTAATATTAATTTGTTTACAATGATAAGCGATGAAGCTTGAACATTTACTTAAAAAGGACTCGAGGATCCAAAAAAAAGTAATTTCGCGATTGAAAAAAATGTCATGAGAATTAAATCCTTGCTCTGACCGTGTTCGCCGTGGGGACTGAAAGACGGTTCAATGATTGTTTTGTTCCTTAAATTGAATAACTGAGCATAGAGTCGTGTAGTCTTCCCTGTCTTAAAGTTTATTTAAAAAACCATTCACACCAACAAAGTCGCCTGTGGAAAGCGATGCGATTTTTTTATTAAATCAATCGAATGAAAGTTATTGCACGGTTTCATATGTTCCTCTCTCATATTTTCTAATTAACGTGGTTACGTTTTTATTGCGTTTTAATTCTTCTAAAACTAAGGGGCGAGATATAACTGATGCTATTCCACGTTTTACCGGCCGTATATCGGGAATATAAGTAGTCGGTTATTTATGGATGTACGAAATTCGAAAACCCACTAGATCTACAAACTGCACATTAACATCCCAGTCACTAGATTACTATCGAATAACTACGATATATACAATCATTTATTTCAACTCCCATATTTTTTAAATTATGTTTTACGAAATGCTATGCAAATGTGCGGGAAGTCGATGGATGCAGGTGGCTCAGGATCGTATTTCATGGCAGTCTGTGGGGGAGGCCTATGTTCAGCAGTGGACTCAAACAGGCTGAAATGATGATGATGATGATGTTTTACGAAATATATATACTTTCGTTGTTTCAGACGGACAGCTAAGAAATCAGAAAAAAATGATTCGATCCGCAGAGGTGAGAATTTTTCTTTTTTCAAGTTGCACAATATTTGTATGGAATAAAATTTATTTCAAAGCAGTTGCGCAATGTTACGGCAATGAAGTTTTATTTATGATATAAGGTATATCAGGTGCAATAGGTCTATGAGATGTATAATATTTTACAAAGGTAAATGCGATAACTGAGTGGCTAATTACAAGGGAAATTAGTTACTTGGTCAAATGTCCTAAATTAGTTTCCCCGCCAAGACGAGATTTTTGAGTACTTACATACCTATGCGATTAAGATATCCGTTAATATAAACTTTATGGGCCTGGCTTTCTCAGTTTTAAGCGACGTAGGCAACGGTATTCATTTTGCTTTGTAATTTCTTTTTTGTTTTTTTAATTTTTTTCATAGTATTATAATGACGGTAAGGGCCAGTTACAGCGAGTCAAAACTATGTGAAAGAAGTAATTACAATATGATAGTAAAAGCATATTCACTCTTGCCTTAATAATATATTATATTTATGGATTTACATTAGATGTAAATTTCCATGTCGCAACAGAACTAGTAACCACATCACTTATAATTCAACGAACCCCACGTACTATTTTTAAGTTACATAACGTAACTCAATCGGTAAGACCGTAACATTTTTGATAAGCTTAGCGTTTATTTTTTTACCTACTAGCTGTGGAATTAAAAATAAAAAAAAATCTAAAAATAAAAGTATACTTAGTTACTCCTTATGACATCAGCTATCTGCCAGTGAAAGTCCCGTCCAAATCAGTCCCGCCGTTTCAGAGATTAACCGGAACAAACAGACAGAGAGACAGACAAAAATTGTAAAAAATGTTATTTTGGTATATGTAGTGTGTATACATCCATAAGCATTGAGTCAAAAGCGGTTATTTTAATATTACAAACTCCAATTTTACTAATCTGTATAATCTCTACTTATATATTCATTCATAAAAGCTTATTTTTTTTACAGCCACATAGCTCTTTTCCGTATAACCAATTATGTAAATCGCCAAGTTAACACGGGTTAATCAGCCTCGAATATTTCTTGTGTGTATTATAATGGAAAATTTTAATTTAATTTATTTGTTTTTAATTCTTTTTTGATTTTGTTACAAAAAATTTGCCCTAACTGTAGAATGTCATTATTGAGTATATTAGAGACGGTTTACATAGGTGCTTAAATTTTACGTGGACAAACACCCAGAACCTGAACAATCGTTTAGTGGGTCACACAAACAATTGTCCCGTGTTGAAATCGAACCCTTAGCAACTGCGCTACGGAGTCATAATTTTTTTCTACTATTTTATAGAAGCAATGTCTTCTATTTACTACTTTACTTTGGGAGGGACGTAATAAGCCTTCCCGTAGAGCGTCACTTTTGCTCGGACCCTCCCCGTGAGTAGCGGCAGAAACCGTGAAACTAATTACTACGACACGATGGCAAACTACTTTACCTTCCTAATATCTGTTCCCTTGCTACTTGCCACTGCGTTCGAGCTGTTGAAGCTTGTATTTTTTTAACGTGAGAAAGTGGCAAACGAGCTGGCGGTTAACCTGATGTTAAGATAACCACCTGCCCATGGACATTTGCAACACCCGTAGGGTTGCAGATGCGTTGCCACCTCTTAATAATGTGGGCTCCTGCTACCTCACTCACCAGATGAAACGCAGAAGTGCAACACTTCTACTTTACGCCATTCGTGCAACAGAGAACACTGTTGCGTGGCCTTACCACCCTATTACATTGCCCTACCTGTATTGTATATCAACGGCTCGACATATTGCGTGTTGTAGAACTTTTTGTTAAACTACTAAATCAGTACTGAAATAAATAAAGAGAAATGTGGATCCCCAGGGATTTTTTCCCCTGGGCCTCTAAAATGTTAATTCTAATAAAAAGATTTTTTTTTATTAGAATTAAACTGTCCTGTAATGATACATAATATATGCTTACATAGACACATTAAAGTAGCTCACAGAAGACCAGCGTAAAGTGGAAGTATTACAAATACTTTCACGTTTCGTCTGGTGAGCGAGGTAGCAGGTAGCAGTAGCGAGGAGCCCAATTTTCAAAAGATTGTCAACGCATCTGTAACCCTTGGGTGTGGCAGATGTCCATGGGCCACCGCCCATGAACATATTCATTAACATCAGGTTAACCGGCTGCTCGTTTGACAACTTTTCGCATAAAAAAAAAGCTAGATGTTTTTAAACAGTTGTTTTGGTAGTTTTCGTTTTTTTAATGCGCTCGAAACACAAAATAATATTTTATTGTTTAGAGGTATGTTTTACAGACACACAAGTTTCACTCAGACAAAGATAAAGATCCTGAACATCCTTGGAACAACCCTTGGCGCTGAAGCCAATAACTTCGCAACTCTGCTAAACGAGACAAAAGACTTATTCCCGACGTGTCGAACCCTTTCCAGTTTTCATGGTCACGGAACAGAATCAAAATCCGTAGAATAGTTTCATTTAATATAAATCAGTTCAACAAGGAATCCACTCAAAGTAGACAAATCAATTAACCAAATGCATGACACACTCTGAAATATATCTCTAAAATTGTATCTGCCATTTACAAATAAATACTGTTCTACTAAAGATATCAGCCCGGAGCACGACAACCTGTAATATATCTCTAAAATTATATCTACCATTTACAAATAAATAGTATCCTACTAAAATTAACCCATATTTGGGACACATACCATTCAAAAATTTGAAGTAAACAAATAGTATTATAATAATAAAAAAAACTGTCGCAATTGGTGACTTCCGCGGTAAAGCCATTGCATTGCATTTTTTATCAACTTATTACAAGCAATTATAATGTTTTTTAATTATAAATAAAAAAGAGGAAATCTTAAAGTTAAATAATATTGATATTGAGACATATATTACAATTTGTTATATATTAATATTATATTAATGATAGTTATTTAATTTATTTTATTATATTAAGTAGTAAAAGAATATTAGCTTCGTACAGTTGTACCATATACAAATAGCGTGACGATTTAATAGCGTGACGGCCCGAGCTGTGGCTCCCCCGGGAACTGGCACAACGGCTTGCTTTACAAGCTGTACACACTCAAAGTGCCAGATAGGCTCGTACACACCATCCGGGCCTTTTTGTTGAATCGCTCTTTTCGATATTGAGTCGAGGGCACCCTCTCCACAAGCCGCCGCCTCAGGGCCGGCGTACCACAAGGCTCCTGCCTCTCACCTTTGCTCTTTACGCTCTACACGAGCGACATACCCAAAGACCCCCCCACGTCAATCTCGCGCTTTTCGCGGATGACACCGCGCTCTTTTATTCAGACCGCAACCTTAGAATACTAACCACTCGACTCCAAAGCGCCGCCGACCGCCTCGGCGATTGGTTCCGCAAATGGAGAATAGAAATAAATCCCGAAAAGAGTGTGGCGATTCACTTCACACGAAGTACCTACCCGTCACATCTTTATAATGGCCCTCTCCAATGCAGAAAGTTGGGGCAAATATCCCTTTGTGGCCAACCGCTCCCCTGGGAGAAAAAATACTTAGGAGTCACTTTCGACTCGCGTATGTTATTTACTACGCACATTAATAACGTTCGTAATAGAGCCGCGTTCGTCTCCGGCCGGCTACACAATTTAACTAATGCTAAAAGTAAAATGCCCTTAAGGCACAAATTATTATTATATAAGACCAGCGTACGACCTATTATGTACTACGCATGCATGATCTTCGCCCACACGCACCCTACTCGCTTGTACAAGTTGCAAATAGTACAAAATAAGTTTATCCGCCGCGCAACCGGTGCGCAGGTATCAGCGCAACGTCGACCTGCACAGCGATTGCAGACTCCCGACGATTCGCACACATTTTAAAGATTTGACAAAACGGTTCTTCGATAGAGTCCAGCATCATCCCAACCCTCTGGTGGTAAGCGCAGCAAACTACCAACCGGACACTAACGCGAACGTAAACAAGCGTCGCCCGCGAAACGTCCTCATCGACCCGGTCGACGAAGAGGACTTAGATACGATGGACCCACCGCCGGGGGTCCCGCCGGATAACAGTACACCCACAGTTAGTGTAACAACAATCACACCAGTTCGCCCTCGCCTCCGAGCACGGCGAGACCCACACAACGCGTACACAAGGTACACCCGCGTTCCGGAGCGGTTTTCACCGCTCCCAGCCACCGATTAGCTAAATGCACAGTCGACGGCCGTCGGGGTCTCGGTCCGAACCGCGACCTCGACGGCCCTTAGATGACACACCATAATTAAACGCACGCATGAGCACATGCGCGACCCTACCCATAGCGGAGGGTCCAAACCTGTGGGTTCTGGCAAGCCCACCGGTTCTGCGTCCGATGAAGCTTTATTAGTCTCGGGACTGAAAGCAAAAACATCAGTTAATACAAGATACGCTCGGCCGAGCTTCATGGTAGGCGGAGTGAGAGAGAGAGAGAGAACACCCCTCATGTTAGGTTTGATTTTCGTTACGGAATTTTTTGATAAAAGCTATGCAATAGCTTAATAAAAACATGGGAGTTCATATCAAGTTTCTGAAGTTTGCCTTTTCGTTGAACATTGAATAGTCTTCGGAGAGAAAGCAAGAACATACAATAAGAGCACAGATAAGAGCCAGCAGTTAGGATTATTTTTCCGTAAAAATTAACTTATATGTAGCGAAGCCCGTAGTGGGTTTCCGGACGAAATAACAGGATTTAAAAGACTATGAGATAGTAACATTGTTAGTTTATATAGATGATTATTAGATTAAATATGACACGCTGTCATTGAAACATCCTTTAACTACTTACGACCAGTTTCAACATTCTATCTGTAGATTTGGTTATTGGAGATAGAGTTTTAATGTCAGTATTATGGAACTTATGTCAAATACCTATCGCTAGTAACCAAATCTACAGGTAGGTAGAATGTCGAAAGCTGCCGTTAGTGATCTTTACCTTATAGATGTTCGCGGGGCGCCAAATATTGTTAAATCATAGCTTCAAGTTTTTATTAGCTGTAGAAAATATATTAGCTCATCAAACAACAAAACGTTCGTGTATAATGATTCGTGCTATAATGATCAACATCGCTCGAATGCGAACTCTGCGGAGAATTAAATAATTCGCGTTTTCTTTTTGCTTAAAAACATAACGCTATAATTATTTAACTTGATTGTTTTTGTAAAATTTTTAAAAACCTCGATTTAATGGTGTTATTTCAGTATTTTTTGCCAGAAGTTGGAGCTTGCGACCTTGCTACCTAGAAGTACTGCAATTAAATTGATCAGTACCTATTATTCCTCTAAATAAATCAATGATAATTTTTTCAAAGCTACTATTTACCTAGTTGTGACGTCGGACATACTTGAAGGCGCATTAAAACCACTAATGGCTTAGTGTTTGTGCTTTTACCCTTACGATCGTACGAATATGGGTTTGAATTCTACTGGCGTGCACCATTAGTTTTTACTCAACGCTACTTCTCAAGTTTGCACATCAATACCAGAAATTTCTTCTTTTCACTATTGGAGCTCAATAAGTTCAGTAATCGGTTGGAAACATTATTCTCTTTCTTAATCATTGGTGTAATAAGAGATGAGAGCTCATCTGTATTAAAGGATTCTGATTTTCAAACTAGTGCAAAAATACTTAACATCTTAACTAATAAAAAACGGCACTATTTTCTCTCATCGAATCGCTATATTGGTGAAAAATAAGTTCGTAAAACGTTCCAAATTTAAATCGCTCTTGAGTCTCTAGTATAAAGAGCCGTGATAGCTCAATGTCCGGGCGCTCGCATTTAATTCAATATACGCGTGCAAAATGAGTTGAAATCTTGGTGGAATCCCCAACAAATTTTTGTTATTCGCAATTATAAGTTCTGACTTATTACGTGCTCAGCTGTGAAGGAAAAAATCGTGAGGGAATCTGAATATTTTCAAAATAATGACAAGAAATACATATTTGGACGGTATGTGAAGTCTGCCAATCCGCAGTGGAGTCGCGTGGAGGTGTCCTAATGCGCTTTGTATGGAGGAGGCCTTTGTTCAGCAGAGGGCTGTTATGAAAACGTATAAATTCACTCTTCTATCGAAAGAGTAAAGAGCCGGTGTAGATTTAGATACTTTAGTTCAATTTTCGGTAGCGACGATACCAACCTTATTGTTTATGTACACCAAAATAGATTTAGCATCTACAAATCTATAAAAACAATAGGCTCGCTTTGCTCGCATATCTCTGTACATACGAAGCCTTTGCAACTGGGGGAATATATTAGTTAATATATTGTATTAGTTTTAGCTTTATATTTTATATGCAAGTTATAACAAGCAAAAAAAGCCAGTAGGTCACCATAATAATTATTTATCAATAATTTTTTTAATGACATTTAGATTAATGATTTCATTAATACAAGACGTGTATCACAAACAATGTTAAATGCATTCGTCCGCATTTCATTACGCGATATGTTACATGGATTTGCAATTAAAAAAGGAAATATCTATTCTTTGCAAGCTCAGAACGATTAGTGACGTCCGTCCCGCATAGTTCTATAACTGCCCCTCATTAAATCAGACCTATTGTAATTTAAGTAGCACTCAATGCAAGAAATAATTGTCATGGTAAAAATCAGTCAGACATAATCGGCTTTGCTCGCTCTGTCCGTTCTTTTTTTTCATAATAATCGCATATATCTGTTATTAAAAAACAACAATATTTTTCAAAGAGTTTAGATGTTACTATAACTGTCAACGTAACAGTCCGAGCGGATATTATCCTAATCTTTGATATTATTTACAAATACGAGGTAGATAAAACACACTAGGGCCGATATTTTGGTATTCAAATTACGGCAATTAGTCTAGTTTCTTTTCTGTTCAGTCCGATTCTAACCAATAATGCCAACGTACATCAAATGCAATTCTATAGACTGCTATCTCTTTGTATCGCACTTTCTATATCATCTGTCACATAGACATATATCTCATATATTAATTTAAGCGGAACAATTACAATAAATTATGATCAAAGATGTATTATGCATATTATTGTATGCACAATACATCATTGATCCTAATATAGTTTTAAAAAAAAACATATTATAATATTTTATTATATTGTTATGGGGATATTTATTTGTTTTCTTCTTTCTTCTTATTATTATTATTGTATATTTTAATGTACACCACAAAGAATTTAATATAATAAGTATAAAATAAGTCTTAAAAGCTGGGTAGAACAAGACGGTCTTATCTCTAAAAAACGATCTCTTCCAGACAACCTTAGGACGAGGAAAAATAAACTAATGATTAGTGGGAGGTCGCGTGCTCAATAAACTTACTTAATAATACCAAAATAGACTAAAATATAATAAAATACACTATAATATAAGAAACATAAATAAATGTAAATAAGATAACGGTTTAATTAAAGAATTTAAATGTCATTGGTTGTCATGATAATACAATGAAGTTTGGTCGTTCTCCAAATACAATGAACTTCGTCATGTGACTTTTTGGCTGTCGGTGTGCAAAAATTTTACTCTCATAATTGTTCCCAAACGCGCCAAAAGAAGTATAACTTCAAAAACTTTATTATTATATGACTGATGTAAATAAAAAAAATACTACAAAAGTGAGAAGGCAACTAGTCAATAACTGAAATTATAGGTGTCCAGTTTACAGTAAATTTGCATATAATGAAAATATGTATTACGTTTTGTTATGCACGAAAAACCACGTTTTAGTCCATACCGGAATACGACAAAGGTTAATAGTTAAATTTTGAGATTGGCAAAAAATTAATGAACGTTGCCTCTGAAAAAAGTTGGTTTTGTAATTTGCGGCTGTGGCTCCTCTTAGTCAAGGTCTTTTCCGTTGTTTTTAATTTATGTGATATTAATATTGTTTCATTTTTAGTCTTCATTAGTGAGGACTGTTAATTAATCAGGCAAACTTTTAAGTATCTTGGAACTTAAGATTTTGTCAGTTCAACTGCATCACCGATGAGTTTACTCACATGTCTCAAAAGCGAAACAGTTAAGAAAATAGATCCTAAAATCTAAAAGAAATTCCAATGTCATGCACTAAATATTTTAATTATTTCCTCTATAGTAACAAAGAATATAAAAGTAAAATTCGTTTGTTATATATTTTACGTTTTAAGGTATTACAATTTTTTTTATCATTAACAAAAAGTTACGTTAACCCATAATGAAAGATTCTATATGTATATTAGAATAAAAAAGTAAGGCAAGTCAAATGTTATGCCACGTTACCATGCAATTTAAAAACAAAAATATTTTAAATTTATTTTTGCTCAATTATTGTTCTAATAGTTAATATTTCTGTAGCGTACAGATAAGTTTAGCCGTGCGAAGCCGGTGCGAGTTATCTTACTATAAAATTTAAAACGCTCCATTGTTTTGTTGTTGCCTATTTGCGTAGCATGCAATGAACCTTCGTTGTTATTAGCTTTTTTGTATCATTTTCAATATTTTAAGATACACACACCTAATGTACTTCAAATGAGACTTCTTTAGAAATAATCGTAGTTAGTAAAAAGTTCTTCACCGTGTACTAGAAAAATAATCCAATATATAATATAATATTGGGAATAACAAAATTTAAATAAAAAGTTTTTATAGCCTTGTACGTGTACATCAGTAACAAAGCAGTTCGAATTGATGTATAAATTCAAATCTATGACATATGTCCTAAGTTTTGTAACAAAATATTTTTACACCGTACATTAAGATTCTCATTGAACAAAGATAGCGCCCTAGTTACAATACCACGTTGCATTGCACATACCAACAATATATTTATTAGAGGTAATATACTACTGGGTAGTAGTGACGACGTAGAAAAGATGTGGGAAAGAGTGAGAGAGAGAAAGAGAGAGAGAGAGAGAGAGAGCACAATCCGTTTGCACACAGATATACGTACATGTACATGAAGTTATAGTAAAGTAAAATAATGGATAATTTTGCCGGCGTCTGGCTTTATGACCGAATATAAAGTGAGCGTCTAAGGCAAGAGTGAATAGGCTTTTACTGAGCTAGTGCGGTACCACCTAAGGCTGCTTCGTCTCTAGCCATCGAGTGGTATAAATGTGTTAAACCTTATAAATGTGTTCCCGTAATTTCCCAGACATGTCAGTGCCCGATCCGGGAGATAGGGCCGTCAGTGGCGGAATCGTGCTCGGGCCATTCGGTGCTGCTCTTCATGACGATATTGGAGGCCTTCATAAACGGCCGCTGCGACCTGGCCGACCCTTGCAACCGAATCATCGGCAAAGACGAACCGGACGAGAGTTACGACTTTGTGGTCGTCGGTGGAGGGACTGCAGGCTCTGTAGTCGCCGGTAGGCTCTCAGAAAACCCGCAATGGAAGGTAAGCTTGGTTTTTGTTAGAGTAACTGAGTTTTCCGCACACAGACGCATTAGCATTTAGTATTTTTTTTTCTCTCTTTTTTAAATCATTGCCCTTACTGTAGGATAACATTTATCCTTTGTTGTAAGGACGTTTTACATAAATACATTTCAAGTGGACAAACAAACAGATCCGAAACAATTATCTATCAGACTCGCTAATAATATTCCCGTATGGGAATTGTACCCACGACCGCGGCGCCGAAGCCAATACCTCTGCAAATGCGCCACGGAGACGTCAAAAAATCTTATATAAAAAATGTTTTATTTGTCATTTGTCTAATTAATATAATAAGTCTGTAACTTCGCTAAAGACTGAATTGGTTATGTTGTGATAATTAAGAGCTAATGACGTCATTAAATACTGTTGTTATACGATTAGATTTAATGTTGATTTAATGTATTGTAACACAGCGAAATATATTTCTTTATTATTAATTTAATATAATGTAACATCTTTATGTTACTTAATTAAACTTTCAAATGTGTATTTTTCGCGTAAATCTTGTATTAACTGATGTTTGTAGTCCCCAGACTATTAAAGCTTCATTTGACGCAGAATCGGTGGGTTAGCCAGAAACCACGGGTTTGGGCTCTCCGCTGTGGGTAGGGACGCGCATGTGTTCATGCGTGCGTTTACCTATCTTATGTCATCTAAGGACCATCGAGGTTGCGGTTCGGACCGAAACCCCGTTGGCCGTCGGCTGTGCAATTAGCTAATCGGTGGCTGGGGGCGGTGACAACCGCCCAGGTACGCAGCTGTACCTTATGTACGCGTTGTGTTGGTCTCGCCGTGCTCGCAGGCGAGGCCGAACTATTGTGTTTGTTGTTACACTAGCTGTGGGTGTAGTGTTATCCGGCGGGACCCACGACGGTGGGTCCGATTTCGCGTAAATGCAATCTTCCCTGTGGCATTAAATAAAATATTGTAACGTTATAAATCTGCCAATACAATACAAAAATCAAATCATTTGTAAATATAATATTTACGTTAAAGCAAAGCAATGAGTAAGCAGTAAGAGCTAATTGTAATTACATCATTCACTCAGGTTATTCATCCCTAACGCTGTCAAAGATTTTTTTCAACTAGCATTGAAGAGGCTCGATGCTCGATTAGGTGCATAACTAACGCGCAGTTCCGCAGATTGTTGTCGTTTGAGCCTTGCTAATGAAAATTTCACGGCTATCAACTTCTTCAAGGAAGGAAACGAGCAGGCAGTTCGTGCCTGTTCATTTCCCATCTCCATGCTAAATGATAACCGTCTAACATGGACGTTCATAACCCAGGTGGAGTTATAGTTTTTGACGGCCCGACGGACGTAGTGGACAGTGAACCTGCCTCTTACGCCAGAGGGTGTGGTCTTGATCCTCAGCACTGGAAAAATTGGGCTAAAACAGTTTTTCTAGTGTCTGGCTGTTATAGATAATTAATTTTTAATATAACAATAATGTTTATTACGTTAAATATTTGTTTAAATTTATCATATTCACTGATCGAAGTCACCTAGTAAGCACAAAATGCCTGTGACAGGTGACTTCGCTCTTCCATAGCTGATTATATAATGTGCAACTCACAAGAAAATAAAAAATGTAAACGAAATAAAAAGACCATATTATACATATAATAATATGTTTTTATTTATAAAAGAAAAGTATATTTTAGTATTGTTATTAGTCATCTAGTACAAGCTATGCTAAGGCTAGATACCGTTACGTAAAAATATGTCCTCAATAATTATTACGAATGCCTAGCTTTAACAAGATAGGTAATGCAGCTACATTCACTAGACAAAATGCAACACTATAAATACTTTGACTTTAGGCTCGTCTTATGATCTCTTATGTGTGGAAAATCTCCAGACGATCAGTCAAGCACAGCACTTGTTGCTTCGGTACAGTGATGTGAAATTTTATTTTAAAACTTTTTGAAGTTATGTTATAAGTTATTTCAAGTTATATTTCTGTGAATGACAGATCAGGGTGTAATTTTATCGTGTGAGGAAGTTGCGCGCGCATTAATGTATTACGATTAAACATAAAAAAAATTTAATATAATTACGAGGATGTTGTTAATAACGCCAAAGAAGTGTAACTACTTACGTGCGTGCGTAATTCCTCAAACTGTCTTTGGTATTTGTATTAAGGTATTGCTTCTGGAAGCCGGTGGTGACGAACCGATAGCGTCGTCGGTACCCGCGTGGGTGACGTCATACTGGTGGCGGAACGATACAGACTGGCTTTATCACACCGAACCACAAGAGAAGGCGTGCCTCGCCGATGGCGGGAAATGCTACTGGCCTCGAGGGAAACTACTCGGTAAGGACAATAATTAGATAGCTCCTTGCTTTCCATAATCGATTAGCGTGAGTAACTGTCTATATAGAGCGTTGATTCGGTGCTTAAGCTATTGACTTCGACACCGGGGTCGTGGGTTCTATTCCCATACGATCCGGAACAGGTATTTGTGTAAAAAGTGAAGTAAAGTAACAGCCTATAAATGTCCCACAGCTGAGCAAAGACCTCCTCTGTAAAGAGATTATCAGGGAATAGTCCACCATGCGACCCTACCGCGGATTGGCGGATTTCACATATTTAAATATTTTTTTGTTATTATTTCGAAAATATGCAGGTTTCCTCACTATGTTTTCCTTCATTGTCGAGCACGTGATAATTCATAGACATAGAATAATTATCAGTTTTATTCAGGCTGAGGTGTTGATAAAGGCAAGTCCTTTATAATCAGTTGTTAATTAAAAAGGATTAGGTAATGTAACATTTATATTAGGTAATATAATTGCGAGATGTCAATATACTCATAATTACATCTGGTTCATTTTTGATATTTTGGGGTGTGAATAACCACATTTTTCTTCGCTTTAAATACAATTAATTTTATTTTAATGATAGTAAAAATAGCAATAAATATAATATTTACGCGATCGTTTAATTTCGTACTATGACATCCCTCAATGTGTCTAAAGATATACACTCCAAATATGGATTAGCATAATATTAATAATTAAATAAACAATGACATACACACATAAAACGTGATTCTTACCCAAATTACAGTACATAAGGATTCAAGACCATATTGCTTACAAAATTGCTTTGTTAGAAAAAACTAAGTACTTTAAAGGCATTTCGGCGTTTTTTGGAGCCTTGAGATGGTAAAAAAAATTGCTATTAGATTAATAATTTCTTATAACCACACCCAATCAAACTTATGTCCTATATAAATAAATTTTATTACGAATGATTATTGTTATATCACTTAGAAGATGATGAAACAATATCAACGAATCGTGACTTAATTATAATATAATGGGAATTCCTTCAAGTAAGTTTTTTTAAATCGATTATGACGTCAGTAAATCAGTCATCAAGTCTTATCTCTATCGATAGTTTAGAAGTGTTTTCCTAGATTACTTTAACATTTATATAAACATTTCGGTGGTAGGGCCACGCAGCAGCCTCGTCTGTTGCACGAATGGGCAGGCCCGTCCGGGTAAGTGCCACGACCTCATAGAAGACCAGCGTAAAGTGGAAGTATGACAAATACTTTCGCGTTTCGTATGGTGAGTGAGGTGGCCAGAGCCCAATTTTCAAAACGCGTTGTCAACGCATCTGTAACTCTCGGGTGTAGCAGATGTCCATGGTCGGCGGTATTCACTTAACATCAGGTGAACCGTCTGTCCGTTTGGCAACTTTTCACATAAAAAAAAAAAATAAACATATTGTAGCCTATTGGATTTCGATTTTTAACTTTAAGACGGAAGTATCACTATCTCAAATATGTTTATATACACAAAATAATATTTTTGTAAGAGGCTTAAAGATGTACGTTAAACATTGGTGAAGGACGGGAGTTTAATATACAAAGGTTTCGTTTATCAGAGTCGAAGCAAGGCTTATCGGGTCGCTAATTATCGCGTATGTATGTTGAAGTTTTTTCTGGTAATTGTGTATGACCATAATTTCATAATATGGACAATATGTAGCTTATGAAGAAGTGGCTAGAAATTACAATTTATAGGATACTCTTAAATTGATGGAGTGCAGAATAAATTGAAACTGATGGAATGGAACAATCTTCGCGACAGGTGGGTGTTCGACAATCAATGGAATGATGTACATGAGGGGGCATGCGGCCGACTACGACGGCTGGGCGGTGAACGGCGCCAGCGGCTGGTCTTGGCACGAGGTGTTCCCTTACTTCCTGAAGAGCGAAGACAACAAGGAGCTGGGGCGGGGCGTGTCCGGGGAATACCACAATACGGGCGGGCCTATGCCCGTGCAGAGGGTGAGTACGGCTTACTGTGGGCCACGCTGCAGCTCTGCTGTTGCAGGAATGCGGGGAAGTACCGATGCCACGCAGGAGACCGGCGTGAAGTAAAAGTATAATACTTGCCCGTTTCGACTGAGTAGGGTAATCAGGGCCCACTTTTTTAAAAGTTGGCAACCCTTCTCGTGTTGTAGATGGCCATGGCGGCGGTAATTTTTTAACATCAGTTGAACCGCTGGCTTGCTTGACAACTTTTCACATAAATAAGTACATTATCTTGGTATATCATTAAGGATTAATTTACTCTGTAGGAGGCGAAGCGAGTTGTTTAGATATTATAGGTATTTTATATTATTTTTATTATTGGTTCAATATAGGAAGTTCGGATTATATAATATTCGAATTTAAAGAATTTTCAATAATTCTCTGTTGGATGGGTATTTCGTTTTTGGTGTCATACTTCGTCGTCTCGTCTCTGTCTTCGGCAAAATCTGTTGGCTTCAATATACGTGTTAGATAGACAGATAAGAGGAAATAAATAATTCATTCATATATAAAATAGAACAAAATCGATTCGATCACAACTTTTTAATAACTTTTATGAAAACTAGTTAAAGATAAGAATTCAATAAATGTATCTACGAAATCAAAAATCGATTCGATCACAATTTATTTAATAACTTTTATGAAAACGAGTTAAAGATAAGAATTCAATAAATAAATCTATGAAATTAGGTTTATGAAATCGAACTAAGAAAAATTTTAATTGAAAAACAAATTAATCAAGATTCTGTTTTGAGCAACATCTTATATATTAAAATCTCTTAGTTTCAATGGGACGGGTTACACATTAAAAACCCACGTTGCTCTTGTTCTGACGTGTAGGCCGGAGACGGGAACACGGGGACGCAATCTTCCGCGAAACACTACACTACGATTATAACCTTATCAGGCCTTCCCAGGTTATTTGGTCTGACTTTGGTGCAAATAATACAGCGCTTATCACCAGTCCGTGCTGTGGCACTGGCTGCCGCTCAAAGGATTACTAATAAGGATTGGGACACGCGTAGGGCAGTTTCCTAGTCTTCGGTGGCGAATTTTCAGGGCGGCAGCGGCTTCCCTGACTCACTCGTATGCCTTCTAGATGTCTACCAAAGGGCGAGTGAGAGTTAACGCCCCACGATACCACATAGCTCTCGGCGCTCCAACTTCTATGCTAGGCCCTTCTCGAGAACTTACTTCTATGATACCTGTGTTAAAATAATGGTGTATTATTCCTACAACAGTTCCGATACGCGCCTCAGTTCGCTCATGACGTGGTGTCGGCGTCCATCGAGCTTGGTTTTCCACCCACTAATGACCTGAACGGCGAGAGTTCCACGGGTTTCACGATAGCGCAGACATTTAATGAGTAAGTATGCTGTAAAGGCTGCACACAATAAACATGCTAAGCATTGCTAAAAAGTTAATAGAACGAACGTAGATAGATGTCAAGATTTTCACGCCGTGAGGTCATCAGCTTAGCTTGAACGCGAAACCAGAAGGCGCAAAAATTACAATTTAGAGTAAACAAAGTCAATACTATCTGTTGATTTGATCTTTGTGAACTATATGTTCATACAAAACCAAATTGCGCTCTTGTGGCGTTCGTTTCTCGGATACTGGCGTGTACCGTCTAGTGCATACATTGAATAAGATCCTACGGTTAACTATTCCCTTGATCGACTATGGAATCATCGACGTGGGAAAAATCTTTTATCCCCTGCCACTGAATCGGTCCCGGTCAGAGACATATACCTTAAAATTCCACTTTGCACCTGTCTCTGTCGCATCGGTTGGGGACACACGGGAACACGAAGACGCAATCTTCCGTGTCGCAGACCTAGCCCTACCACATTTAATACATAAATAAAAATTTAAAATAAAAGCGTTTTATTTCACATCTAATATAATTAGCGTGAACTCCTCTATTTGAGGGTGAAGGCCTCCTCCAAGGAATTCCAGTAGTCTCTATCTGTGCCGTTTCCCATTTAATACATACGGATCAAGAATTAATTCACAGTTTAATTTCGCAGCGGCGGATCAAGATACAGTACGGCGCGCGGTTTTCTCAGACCCGGTGCTAAACGGGAAAATTTGCATGTAGTTTTTAATGCACACGCTTCTCGAGTTATAGTGGATCCGCAGACGAAGAAAGTGACAGGCGTGGAGTACATAAAGAATGGCCAGACAAAGTCCGTACTAGTGAACAAGGAGGTGAGATCAGAAACGATTTCTATTTAAAAAAAAAGTGTTAATTAGTTTTAAAACCATATCCCATATGGACCGAAACACATTTCTTTGTCTCATAATAAGTTGCGTTATATAATAGGTTGGGGAAAAAGTTTCTTCGCATTTTATATAAAAAGTCAAAATTTTTAATAAAGTTTATTTACATTTAACTTAAGTATGTAGGTGCCATTTTGTTCGATAACTTTCTGCCATCTTGTAGGTAGGGACATGATCCCATTGCTATAGAAATTCTGGGGCGTCTGATCAAAAAACCGCGACAAGAGGTTTTGGCAGTCCTCTCGTGATGTTTACCTGACACTGCCTAAAGAATTCTGAAGACGACGAGAAAGAAGACGAACAAGTAGAAAGCTGAAGGTGCAAGGACTATACAGCGGATGCATTAACAGCTCCCAGTCAAACTCTCTTAATTTGTGCTGAGTGGCTAAAGATGTGTGAGGTCAAGCGTTATCATGATGAAAAACTACACCCCTTCTGTTGATTAATTTCGGCCGCTTTCTCTCAACTTCTTGCATTAATCTCATCAGTTGTTCGCAGTAGAGTTTAGAATCAATGGTCCTGCCTGACGGTAATAGCTCATAATGAATAATAATGCCCTTCCAATCCCACCATACACACAGCATTACCTTGTTGCGAGATAACCCGGGTTTTGACTTAGGGACTATCAGCATTTTTATAGACCATCAGCTAATCAATGGAATAACCTGCTCGCACCCATCTTTCCGTCCGGTTATAATGTAGACAACTAGGCTTTTACCATACATTTATATTATGTATTTACAACATAGGAAAAATAACGTTTGATTTTTTTTATTGTTCAATAAGCTGATGATTAATAATGAAACCAGTTGACAAACTGACGAGATCTATATTTTCATCAATGAATAATCAAGTAATCAGTTCATTAAGTCACGAGATCTTAACTAAAATGAAAAGAAAAGATTAAAAAATACTAAAATAACTTAATTAAATATTAGATTTTATTATTTATTATATACTATAGAAAGGAATCATCCCGAGTTATTAAAATCTCATTCTCTCGTCTCCGTGTTAGAATATCAAGATTATAATTTAAAAAAATCACTCATTAAATTACAGGCAATCCTCTCCGCCGGATCATTAAACTCGCCGCAACTCCTTCTCCTCTCCGGAATAGGGCCCAAAGAGACCCTGGACCAATTCAAAATACCAGTCGTTCACGAGCTCCTAGGCGTGGGGCAAAACCTCCAGAATCACGTCGGTGTCCAACTCGATTTTACGTTGACAAAGGAGCCCGATTTACCAGTTCTGGACTGGGCATCCGCCATGGACTACATGCTGAATAGGGAGGGACCCCTTTCCTCGACGGGTCTGTCTCAGGTAACACAAACAACACGCCTATAGATGTTGTAAATTATCCCCTAATCTTTCCTAATTAGATACCCAAAGGTTAGTAGACCTTGAGTATGGTCAAAGTAAATCTGACGTACATAAGTATGAAACAAAAACTATTCCTTCATATAATTTTCTCTCCTCTGATACGTCGGGTACTATATTTTGTGTTTTACGTTAATTATTTTTTTAAATAACAAATTGACTAGTGTTTCAATATCAACTCATCAATGTTAATGGATATACCGTTAATATATATAGCGTGTTCGTTGATATATTGGTTCACTGCCATAAAATATCATATTTTGATAGGAGGAACTTGGTACTTAATTCTCACATACCTTCTATTTCTATTGTTAAGAATTGCACATAAAATCCATAAAGTAATTCTTAGGAATATAATCTTAGAATTATATTAAGCCAAACAACATAAACTCAGCCGACTTTTATTAAATTGTATACCGTATTCTTGTTTTTAACTCTACTTCTTTTATGTTTGCATCACCCTTTGCGTTGAGAGAATGCCTCACGCAAGTCCGACTGCAGACGTTTTGTGTAAATGCGGAATAAATAAATGATTTTTTACAATTTTAAAAAGTATTTATTTATCTAATATTTAAAAGATTAAATCTATCTAAAATTATACATATTATCTAATACACCTAAAACACGCGGCATAGCGCCAAGAACGCTAGCTGCATTTCCTCGCTGAATAATAAATGCTTAACCATTGAACGGGAAAAGGACCAGCTCTCTTCTCACAGATGTATTATCACAAATGAAATTGTACATCTCTTTTAAAGCTAACCGGAATGATCAACTCTAAGTACGCGCCGGCGGGCGGCAGGCAGCCGGACGTCCAGTACTTCTTCGGCGGCTATTACGCGTCTTGCGGCGATGGAACCTCCTTCGATCCCGCGCAATACGACAAGACCGACCGAAGGACTGTTATGTAAGTGACACATTCGAAACGGTGTACAATGTACATTTGAACTTCTTTGATACTCCATGGCGCAGTCGCCTAGGTATCGGCTTCGGCGTCGGGGGTCGTGGGTTCGATTCCCACAAGGGTGGTTTTGTTTCCCACACATTTTATAAAGGTTTTCAACGCATCTGCAACCACGCAACCCTCGGGTGTAGCAGATATCCATGCGTGGCGGTATGCACTTACCATCAGGTGAACCGTCTACTCGTTTGGCAATTTTTCACAGAAAAAAAAAAGAAAACGGGACAACTATTTGTGTGACCCACAGATAGTTGTTCCGCATCTGGGTGTTTGTCCGCGTGAAATTTATGATTGTAAATTTTTGTTTACAATTGTTTTATGTCCTTACACCACGATAATGTTATCCCAAAGTAAGGGCAATGTTTAAAAAAAAAGAAAAAAAAGAACTGTTCATAGCACATTATAAAAGTTCCATCATTGTCAAGTGACACAGACAAAACAGTGTACATTTGAACTGTTCATAATACCACTCTAAAAGTTCCATCGTTGTCGTCATCATTCAGTCTGACGTGACAAAGTGAAATGAATGGAAAACAGGAAAATTTACGTCTCATGGAAGTCCATAAAAAAATATCATTTTCTTTATATAATTTTTTAAAGCTAAGTAAAAGTTGCCGCTATAACAACAAATACTAAAAAACAGAATAAAAATATTGAAGTGGATTTTTGCCACTTTTATTGATAATGGTACGGAAACCTTCTTGCGCGAGTCCGACCCGCATTTGGCCGGTATTATTTAAAAGTTGTCAACGTATCTGCAAGCGCTCAATAGTTGTGGATGACCATGGCCGGTGTTCTACAAGCGAAACGCCGGTTCCTTTGACAATTTTTCACTTAAAAAAAGATTTTCGTTGAGATACTGGTACGAAACGATACCGAACGTTACAGGATCGCAGCGATTGCTCTTCAGCCGCGCAGCAGAGGCTATGTAACTCTACGCTCGACGAATCCCGCCGACCCGCCAGTTATGCAGCCCAATTACTTCTACGACGAGCACGAAATGAATGTCTTAGTAGAGGCGTCCAGGGTCGCGTACAGACTGGCGAACACCACGGTAAGATTCATAATTCATCACACGGAGTAGTCCGAGAAATTGGTCTGATTAATACCTAATGCGGTGTCTCCGAACCGATGTTATTTAGGAACTGCAAGTTTAAAAGCTATTCCTACCTCAAAGCCGGCAACGCATTTGTTACTCCTCGGGTGTTGCGACCCTCATCGGCATTTCCATAAGACCATTTCTTTTTCTTTTTTTTTTTTAAATATTTCCCTTACTTTAGGATAACATTATCCTGTGTTGTAAGGACGTTTTACAAACATAAATTTCACGCGGACAAACACCCAGATGCGAAACAACTGTCTGTGGATCACACAAATAGTTGTCCCGTGTGGGAATCGAACCCACGACCCCTACGCCGAAGCCAATACCTTGGCAACTGCGCCACGGAGTCATCAAAACCATTGTTCATTAATTAACGTTGTTAAAAACATAAATCGTATTAAGGTTTTCTTTCGCTTGCTGTTGAAACGCATATTTTTCCTGTTAAGTGAACTCAGACGCATTAAATGACGCAGGAATACTATAATACATATTAATTGTTTTACACGATAGTATATATCTTGTGAAAAATCAGTTTTCTTTCACCCATGTGATAAAAGCATGAAGCATGCAAAGTCTAGGTATATTATTTAGGGGTGGTTGATGTTTGATGTTATTTCTTATCATATCTTTAAGTACTGCTCGCGAATTAAAACTCTATACCAAATTACTCCGTCCAGATTTTAAGGGAGAAGTATGGGATGACACCAACCCCCGGCTACGGAGACAGCTGCCCTGGTGGTGGGGACAACCCGACGGACGAGTACTTCAGGTGCCTGGCGCGGTTGCACACGGCACCCGAGAACCACCAGGTGGGCACCTGCAAAATGGGCCCCAGCACCGATCCCATGGCCGTAGTGGACCCCCAACTGAGGGTGCATGGAGTGCAAGGTCAGTTTTTACACTGTTACATATACATACATTTTTTTACATCAAATTATTTTTCTTTACCTTACCAAAAACATGACGAGCAAACGGTCAAATTTGGCTCGTGAGTAAGCACCTAATTATTATTATTTTTAGTTTTAATTTCCATAAAAGCTGTATATTTAATGGAAAGTTATGAAATTGTTACAAATCATTTCAAGATTGTTTTACGTTGCAGGTCTCAGAGTTGTCGACGCCTCTATCATGCCCATCATACCGACTGGTGAGTAGTAATAAGTGCAAAACTGCAAATTAACTTAGATATGCATTATGGTCTAGCGGGTAAGATACCCCTGCATTAAATTCCAAATTTACAGATAGGTTCAAGCTAAAATATCAGAGTATAAAAATCTTTTATTGTAACATAGGTACCTACTATTTAATGATTAGAGTAATATTCATCATGAAGTTATTGCTTCAGGTTCATTATAGGTTCAGTGAACTACTTTTCTTGTTGGTTTATTAATTGGAAGATCAGTTTCCAAAAAAGTAGTTTATTAATTACTCTTGTTATTATTATCAATGGTGGTGGGCGAGATCGATAAAAACGAAGATATTTTCTCTTAAAAAATAATTTGCATTGATTACAGGTAACACAGCGGCCCCCACAGTCATGATAGCAGAACGTGGTGCCGAATTCATAAGGAGCAGACACCAGCAATACAAGAACCGTCCTGGTAATGGGTTAGAAAACAAATTTGGCGACAGTACTTCTCAAAATAGCGGCAATTTTAACAATGGCGGGTAAGTAAGTACACGTATGCCCATTTGTTGTTTGTCTGCATAAAACGGATACACTAAAATGGTGCTATGTAGCAAAAGTTTCACATTTTTAAAGAAAGCGCCATAATGAAATGGAAACATAGGGATAAAGATATCCGCTCTGTAAATGCTAACAAGCTTACTATGAGGTTAAATAAAACATTGAAGCAACTCTGATACCTCTGAAAACTGAGATACCAAATAATGATAACTACAAAGTTCAAGGATATTATCAATAAAGGACATTATTTAAAAATCTTTGTATCCAAATTAACGTAAATAATATAAAATTTATGTTATTATTTCATGAAGTTAATAATTACAGCGGCGCACATTACTCTGTGTCCATCGAAAAGGTCCACCTGCGAAAACTTTCATCCGTAGAGACAATCCGGGGGTAATATTTTGATTATTTCGGAGCACAAGTCAACATACCTTGGTCTTACGGCTAGACTCAACTTACGACCGGTCGAAGATTGAATGATTTGGTTCTCTCTGGTTACGGGCTTATAAATTACTATTGCACGCCACACAAATAGATAATAGAATCCTGTACAACATAAATCAGGATTATTTCACGTACGCTTCTGATGAAACGGCATTTTGTATAGAACAACATTTACTTAAATGTGTTTGTTGTGGCTCATTGTAGGTGGAATTATGGCGGTGGCTCCAGTTCGCATATAAATGACGCCAACAATGGACACAGATGGGAAAATTGGAAGCCGTGGGACAAGAGTTGGACCTGGGAGGACAAAAAGCGCAACGAAAATAGCCCGAAATGGACCGCGTAAAAAAAAACGTGCCTGCCAGTTTCGCATTCGGGTACATAATCTTCAACAAGTGGCCATTTTGTTTTTATAATAAAAATTGACAATAATTAGGTTGTATTCTAATAGTATATACGCCGTAATTAGTGTAATTAGTACTTAATATTTATTTATCTGTATTATGACTGTTCTGGTGTTACAGGTATTTTACATAATCAATACCAAAATTAATGTTTTACTTTAAATTGTTCTACTGTACGTCGTTTTACTGTATTCCTCATATCAATACGAAAATTGATTAAAGAAAAAAAAAAATGTTCATTGTCCAAATTTAAAAAGATTGATCAAAGTTTAACGAAGTAGGTTTCCTATTCTCACTGGTCTTTGAACAGAAATTTTTGTTGAAAATTTGCTTTAAGGAAATATTATATAAATCAATTAGAAAATATCTATTTGTATTTACAATAAATATACAAGTACAAATGAATGAAATCGCTCTATAATAGAAACTTTATGATAGTGTTGAACCATATACTTAGAAGAAAGATTTTACAATTAGTCATTCATGTATTGTATTTATTACAATACGAGTTGAACAAAGCCATCATAAAAGTTTATGTTACATGAGTGTGTGAATAAATAATAAAAAGATTGTATTAAGAAAACTTTATTAAAGGAAACTTATTAAAAATCTTAAAATTATTATTTCTTCCTGCCGTTACGTTTGCCTTTTCCTTTGACTGTTACTGGCTCGGGCTCTGATTCCGAACTGTTTGAAAGGAAAAAATACATTTAAAAAATTCGAAAGATGCATGAGATGGTTGGGGCCGACGGTTTTAAGAGATTGGCATCGATTGATTTGTGGCTTCGCATCTGCTAGACTACAAGATGTCTTAGTTAGTAGGCTATGAGAAATCAGTTGAAGAAGCCACCCAACTTTCAAACGTTTTAAAGTGTACTGAACTGAACCACTAAAACCCGGTGCCTCGGATTTACGCTCCTGGGAAGAAACCTTCCCAACTTCCCTCACTGTTTATTGGCAACACTAGACCACTTTGTATTGCTGCCCTTACTTGGTCCAAGAAATAATACGATAAGGCCTTTCATAAATTTTAAGAGGGGCAGGAGATATCTCTTAGCCTTTTAGCCTAATAGCCTACTATCTAGGATATTCTATAACACCCAAGTACTAGGAGGCTGAGGGTGCCCATCGAAACCTCTAGCAAAGACACTAAAATGGGTGGTGTAAACTGATAGTAAATTTTTTAGACTAGTTTGTAGAGTAGTACGGAGGAAGGTTAAAAATACATAAAACTAATTGTTCTCACTCTTCACTCGCATCTGGTGTCTCCGGTATGGTGACATTAGATTTTGATTCTCGATTTTTGATTCTTCTACTGTCTGCTAATTCACTGGTATCCTCTAACAGCGACTGTTCCTGAAAGTATGATTTCAATGTTTATAAGTTGCAGTCATTAAACATCACGTGTGCACTTTTAATAGCTCGTTCGCATGAGTTTATTATTGTTTATTATTTACTCCTTTTTCCCCATTTTAATTTAAATATAAATCTTTGCTATTCCAAATTCACATTATTTCTTCTAATTCAATCTCGAATAAAAGCAAAGAGTAAGTAATTAAAAATAATAAATTCATGCAAATCAGTAATAAAAAGTAAGTAAAAATATTTAAGCGTTTATTAAACGAAATATATATAGACGAATTTTTGAGTATACTAACGTTTTCTTTGTCGTATATAATCGTATGCAGCTTTGTTTCATCGGCTGAGTCATCGAACGCGCATCCCTGCGAATTGCCACCGCTGCTTCGAAGTGAGGCCGATCGTGTTGTCCGCTTAAAGTTATTGGCTAAAGAAATGGAAGGAAAACATTTCAACAAGTCAAGTCAATAATTATAACGACTCAATTCAAATTTTAACACATGCGATAATATTCAGTACGAAATTAACAGTTGCCATGAAACTTGCATGTAAGCTTAAAAATTATTACAATTTAGGTTAACTCAAGTTAATTTAAGTTAACCGGAAGTATCATTGACTACCGCCTCCCGTAAAATCACACACCAGACGGAACCTAAACATATTAAAGTAAAGTATGAAAGTGGTGAACACATCTCCCCCTCAGTCAAGCCAAACAATAGAGGGACTTTTGCTATCTCTTAAAAATGGTTCCGCCGTAAAGAGATTTGCCTACCGGGTCTATCATCATTGTTCGCCTCGTTCGACTCAGTGCTGGAAGATGACTGCAGGCCGCGGGTAGATCGTCGTACGGTGACGTTCGATGTGTCCAGGTCGGCGGTGGGCGAGATTTCGGGCGAGGTTTCTTTGGACGTCCCCTTCTTTTTGTCTTTGGCCGCCAGAGCTTTCGCTGCAAACAACATAATTCTTATTCGGACTAAGCTAACTGTGACAGGGCCCCGCAGCAGTATTCGCTCTTGCACGAACGGGCACATCCGTCCGGATAAGTACCACGACCTCTCAGAAGACCGGCGTGAAGTGGAAGTGACTTCTGAGTTTCGTCTGGCGAGTGAGGTAGACCGAGTCACTTTATTCAAAGGTGGCAACGCATCTGGAATCCTACGGGTGTTGCAAATGTAAATGGGCGGCGGTTATCACTATCAGGTGAATCGCCCGTTCATTTGCTACCTTCTCATATAAAAAAAAGTGATAAAAGCCCGCAACATTTACAACACCTGGCAACATTATAAGGAGTCTATTATATAAGGAGTATATTTTGACTCAGATATTTTTTACTGCCGATTTTTGATTCTGATACTGAGATAAAAGTATTTCTTAGAGCTGGACTAGTTCTTGCAGGTTGGAATAATCACCTCTATCTACGTCTACCAACGATCGCTGCGAGCGGCTCCTTTTAACTCCTCCCTTTTCTGCTTCTCCTTCTGCCTTCTCTTTCTCCTTGCTGCCTTTATTTACTTGCTTTTTGCCAGAAGCTTTCGCATCTGTAACGCCCGATTCCGAAGACTGTTTGTTCATGGAAAGCTTCTTCTTTTTTCCTGTAACGAATAAATGATTTATTCGTTAAATACTTTAAACGTCACTAATAAAATTCGTAATTTCCGTATTACTTTAAACAAGCCTATGAGAATTGGAATGATTCTATCCACGTCACACTGTTGGCGGTGTATTTTTGGGTCATACTTGACAGGCGAGGCACTTCACATCGGAAGTAGTCCAGCTTATATAAAACATTACACTTATATATTTGGACGAAAGAAAAACGCCGCATCCAAAATTCGTTGCACGGAATTATGAGCAGATCAAGAAAACGGAGCATGAGGAATAAAATGTATTATTTTATTTCTCATGCTCCATTTTATGCTTATGTATTTTTCTTTCTTCCTTTATCTTTTCCGACGGTTTCTTGTTAAATTAATCGGGCATACCTTTCGTGACTTTTGCTTTCTTAACAGGGGACACTCCACTACTGTCGGATTCGTTAAGTTCCATAGCAGACGGGTTATCGGAGTCTGTAGACTTTTTAGACGTTTTCGGACTGATATTTTCTGTGTTTGCACATTGTTCTGAAAAAAAATGTAAGACGTATAACATATATAAAATAGAAATTTAAATTGTTTATAGTGCTAATCTTTGCACTTAAGATTGAACATTAAAATGCTAAATGCAAATGCTAAGAAAACAATGTGGAAGAATGCGTTAAGATTTTCGTCGGTGTGGTAATCAGCCGTTTAGTTCAGTGGCTAGAGCGTCAGGCCGAGAATGCCGAAGACGTGGGTTCAATTCCCACAGCGGCGACAATCTTTTCGCACTTTTTCTACATATTTTAATATATAAAATATTTATATCACAATCTTTATTGTCATCATTGTTGGAGGGAAGTTATCGAACTATGTAAGTATCAAATGTTATTTATGGTTATGCTACTTATAAAGCGCCGTTGCTTATAAAGCGTAGTGAGGCTGAATCGTTTTAGCTATTCTTCGCGACTTCGCCTTCTTATGGAGATAAAAAGCTTTATTTAGCAGTTTAAAAGGTATTATGATTCCAATTTTCAGTTGGAATTCCTTGTTAAGACAAGTTAAGACAAACAAACAAGCATTTATATTAGTAATTTTCGATTAATTACCAATAAATTGCAAAAAAATAGATGTCGGTATGGTACAAATACTATTCTTGGGTTTTATTTACCTTCAGAAATCGGCACTAAATCGCTCGGTGACGTTTCGTCGATCTCCACTTCCTCTTCGACTGTCTCGTTGACCACGACATGTGTACTGCGCCCTATCGGCTGGGCTGAAAACACTCAGAATGTCAGTGCGCGTTCTTATGGCCGTTTTTAATTTCCGAAAGATTTTAAAAGACAAAAGGCCCCCATAATAGAAACCATTGACAATTGTCGCCGGTAAACGCGTTCGGGTGCAAGATTTACTTAGGATGTTGGATTAGAATGAAAGATAAAATGTGATACAGGCTAGATGAGGTCTAGTATTGATAATAAATGCAAGAAATAAATTAGGGGGATATTGGTATTTTTTCAACTTGAGGTCTTTAGCCTTTTAACTTAGTTATTTGAAGCGTGTGGCGTTTGGGCCTATTACCTGGAAGACGTAGAATAGAATTTCGCAGCGACGAAAATGTTTCGATAGTTGTAAATAATTTATTGAAACGATGGTATAGTCACTATAGTATACTGCTCTTAGAATAATGGACCCGGTTGTGGAGTTTGAAAGTATCAACATTTAAACAATAGGATAAAATATATACTTACGTAGAGATGTAGTCATACGGCCAATTTGTGCCATAGAATCTTCTCCTGGGATCGTGCCCTCAGTGACATCTGAAAAGTGACAAAAATAATGAAAATCAGTGTTTCTATTTATTTTAACAGGGTAATACATTATTACTTCTTGCGAGACTTTTAAATATTTTTCTGACTGTATTGTACCTGTATTGGACATTTTGTTAAGACTAGCGCGTTCCAGTGCTTCCAAAGCGCCAAGATATCGCATCAAATTACGCGACGCCTGTTTTTCTGGTATTTTCTGTAAAATAATTTCGCAACACGGTTACATATTAAATTCTTTAGTAGCATTAAAATACCTTACACTTTCTTCAAAATACATAACATGGAACATGGAGCAACAACATCAAGGAACATTCAAGACACTTTGTTCTTTACAATGTACAAGCAAATGTTATACTTTAAAATTACACTTTTATTAAGGTAAATTAAGACGCGAATTGTTAAATGCTCAATTCTTCGTAATTCCAAACTATTACAAAATTTTCTACAGCCTTGGTAAAACAGACCCTATTTTAAAACTATTTGAAGTTACTAAGTTTTAAATCATCTGTCAAATTCACTTACATCTGTACTAATAAATGGAGAGCCGGTTTGTTTGTTCGGTTATACTTCGAAAATTACTGAACCGATCGAAAAAATATTTATATCGTAAAATGCAGCGTGTTCGGAGAAGGTTTTAGTATATGATATGTTGCTGATTATTTATCCGGAACCTATATGACTTTTTTTGACTTAAAAAGATGGTATGACTCAGCGAAGCAGACAGAGCTAATAGGTATGTCATATAATGTAAAGCGGGACAATTTTTATACGCCGCGTAGCATGGACATGCTTATCTATATTATTAAACATTATTATTGACGCCCCGTTGGCATGGGGAGTAGTGTACCTGCCTCTTGCTTTAGACACGCGATCGCAAGTATTTGTTTCTATTTAATTAATTTTACCGGTTAATTATTTACACGTTGGTAGGGCCACGCAGTAGCCTCGGCTGTTAGCAGGCTCGTCCGGGTAAATACCACGACCTCATAGAAGACCGGCGCCGTGTGGAAGTATAATGCTTCCGCGTTTCGTCTGGTGAGTGAGGTGGGCGGAGCTCAATTTCCAAAAGGTTGTCAACGCACACGCAACCCTCGGGTGTAGCAGATGTCCATGGGTGTATGTCCATGGCGGTATACACTTAGCATCAGGTGAACCGTCTGCACGCTTGGCAACTTTTCAGATAAAAAAAAAATGACAGCGTAGTCTTAGTAATAGGGTCCCGTTTTACCCCCCTCCGGGTACGGAACCCTAAAAATGCGATTGAAAATATTTATTTTTATTGAATTTTACCGTCTAGATTCACGGTTCTATACCGACCGGCGCGAGGTCCCGCAGCGTGCGCGCTAGGCCAGAGGCGACGTGGGCGTGGCGCGGCGGCGAGAGCAGCGCGAGCAAACGGCACGCCAGCGCCATCTCGGGGCCGCCCGGCCGCCGGGAGAGCGCCCCGCAGAGAGCCAGCGCCATCCCGCCCTGGCTGTCCACCAGCTGGAATGCGTAGAAGCGAACATAAGTGACGGCCGATACAGGGTGGCTTTTCTAAAGGTGCCCAAATTCACACAGGAGGCCACGCCCAATTCAGACTAGGTAGTATAATCTAATATATAAAATTCTCGTGTCACAGTTTTCGTTGCCATACTCCTCCGAAACGGCTTGACCGATTTTGATGAAATTTTTTGTGCTTATCCGGTATCTATGAGAATCGGACAACATCTATTTTTCATCCCCCTAAATGTTAGGGGTAGCCCACCCCTAAATATTTTTTTTTTATTTTTTAGACAAAATTTTTAATTTCTATTTTTTTGTGATACAAAAATACATACAATCCTCAATTTTCACCCCTCTACGCAGACGTAGTCGCGGGCAGCAGCTAGTCTATTATAAGAAATAAAAACAAACTTTTTTTCAAAAAAATTGCCATTCCATTCCCAAAAAACATGACTTGTTGACAATGCGGTAGTCATTCATAAATGCGTCGTATACTTTTGAAAGGAACTTGTGTGCGTGTTAGTTATGAATGATCGCGCGTACAATAAATGAGTTGCCCATAAATCACGCACTTTTTGAGATAAATTCAAATGAATGTATTTAATTAATTAAGAGTGATTTTAAATATTTATGATTTTTATATAACATTATTTATGTCTAGAATTTAATTTAAAAAAAAACCATGAATACACTTAAGAAATCTGCCTTAAAATTTGATTCGACAATTTAATGGTTGCCGGCATCAGGATTTACACTTAGTTAGTAGTGCACAAGTGTCTACAATTAAAAGCGCGCGCCCGAACATTGAGCTCCAACGGCTATGGAATAAGACGCCAGAATGGTATTATTCTTCAACCTCGTTGATAATGTTGTATGGTTCGGTCGTGGAGCATAAAATTATAATACATTGCTGCCTTTCGCACATATGCAATGACGCCGTCATAAGGGAGCATGAAGGAAATATATCACCGCGGGACCAACAGAGATAGGAAATAACGCACAAAATTCGCGTCGGTTGAATGTAAATTATCTGCGCTACACACGCTTAATTCATAACCATGAACATCTAGATTGTACTAAGTACGCACTGCCCGTTACTTGAGCTTTGCAATAGTAATACTAAAAAACCTTCGACCTTTCTTGTCGACTAGAGCGAAGTACGAAATAAATAGAATTAATAAAAAAATCATTTAAAATCGAAATAGTAATAACAATTACTTCATGATTAACTCTTGTTAGAGACACGATGAACCTCACGACCGCCTCTTGATCGATTTCAGCAAGTGGTGAGCTTGACGGTGCGTTCGCTAAAGCGCGTAGAGTGGGCAACGTAGCTTTCTGTAGATAAAATGTTTCTTGATAATAAATGAAAACAAAAATCGACAAAAAATAAACATACTATGGATGTTTAAAAGGAAAAAAAAATACTAATTTCAAAAACAAAACAAAATTTGATAAAATCCATAACATGTAATAAAACGTTAACTAAGAACAATATAGTGTTTCCTCTTTTAATCCGTTTATAATAAAAAATACAGCTGTTAATGCAAAATAAAGCGTATTTCGCTTAAGCTAAGCAACTGAAAATATATCATTGGTGTGCGAACAAATATATTTCTTTATATATTGATAATATTTTTACATATTAAGAAATACCTGTATCTGCTCTTGCGCGCCATCGACTGTAATTGGGAACGTTTGGAAAAAAACACCAATTGTCTGGCGTAGCATATCCTCTTCCGCTGTGGAAAACTTATTCATTGAAATTTTATACCATAAAATTTTAAATTAAGGATTTTCAAGGCCAAATCATTGTCAACACAATATTATACATCTACTTTGTTCATTTTGAGTATGTATACCTATTATTTTGGCAGAAACAATTTGATATTTATATTGTATTTTTCTGGATCTATTTAGTGAGTCATTTCTTATAATTATGATTAATGTACGTGTTAATTCATAGATCAGTAGTATTTTTTAGCAATAGAAAGCAAATATTTCATTCAGTATTTGTACTGTTGTTTTGACTAGATTTGACGGTAATGTCTACAGTCAATATAAACATGAATTTACCTGTAACAGGGTTAAACCACAGTAGCAGCAATCTACTCAGTATAGATGGCGACTCTAAATGTCCCAAGTGTATCAATCGGCAAAGACCTTCCACAATAATCAATCTATATGCCGCGCACTAGAATGAAATACGAACAATATTATAATTTGTTCAATAAATATAATCATCTTTATGTCATCCACTCAAATATTCTATGAGGTATTGTAAAATATGAATATTTCAAAACAGTTTTAGTTTAATTGTAGTTATTTACATTCACTTGGAAAATATGACAAATTTAATTAATAAAGTCGAATAAGAATATATCTAACGTTACTGACTACAGTACACAGTAATAATAATTAAGGTAATTAAGAGTTAAATATACTTACTGTACTGTCCATAATCTTCAGTAGTAATTCTACGACTGTGCTGTGGGCCGGCGATAAAGATATGACAGACTCTGAGATGCTCCCTGAAAATATAACAATGTGTACTATATACCAAGGTTCCACTGAAAACCATTCAACCTTCGTGAGGTTGTCAACTTCGTGATATGAAGCTGAGTGGTGACCATTTTGGTATTTAGTTTTATAGCATCTATTGTATTTTTTTTTGTTATTACGTACCAAATAAATGTTTCTTTCTTTCTTTCTTTCATACCATAGAGATTTAAATAAAAAGAGATTTTACGACGAAATTTTTACGAAATTATCGTTAATAAATATTACCATCAAAGCAAATGCATATATCCTCCAATGTATGAATCGTGATTGCAATCGTCGCTTTCTTATAGTATGATTATCTAACATTTTTACTAGAGTTCAGGAAAGGAATCGGAAATTAAATTTTTACTTTATTTTAACTGACTTTTTTGCTTTCAGTCGGGATACTGCAGTTACGTAACTCATTTTGAATTACTTTTATGCAGGTTTGTGGAGCATACGGGAGCAAAGAACATTCAAGCGTAGGGCATTATGGAATGAATTTTGCTGGACGCGTTTAGTTATAGAGCCGGCCCGAAATTAACTCAGCTGACGCCGAGGAGATCGGGGGCGCTTTGGAGACTTTGTAAGGTAAGGCCCGTGCCTTGTATGATAAGCAATATAACGCTATTGCTTGCAATGTAAAATTGAAAGACCAAAAACGTATATTTAGTGTCAACAACGGAGTCGAACGAAGATAATGTGCTTTCCGATATGCGTCGACAAGCAAAGTGCACTACTGATCAATGATATTAAAAGCGATACCCGAGCTAGCTGACAGATAATGAAACACTTGAAAATTAACAATAACCTTAGTAGGCCCTTGGCAGGACGACGTGCATGAAATCGTCAATAAATCGTGGAACTCCAAGTTAATTCTAAATGCAATTGGTTGAACTTAGTCAGTATATGCACCAAAGTTGCACAGGTCAGTTTAAAAGTGGTATATTTTAAAGTTTGTCAACAAAGAAGGTAAACTGTGGTAGGGCCACGCAACAGTTCGCTGTTGCACAACCGGGCAGGTCCGTCCGGAAAAGTACCACGACCTCTCAGAGGAACGCTGTGAAGTGGAGGTGCTATACCTCCGCGTTTCGTCGGTGGAGTGAGGTAGCCGGGACCCACATTATACACCGTATGGTTGCAAACGGGTGTTGCAAACGTCAATGGGCGGCGGCTATCACTTAACATCAGGTCAACCTCCAGCTCGTTTGCCACCTTCTCACATAAAAAAGGTCCCCGTGCCTTGTTCACTGAAAGTGGCAGGGTAAGCAGGGTGCCGGTACCGTCTTCCTCCGTGGCGTCGAGAGAAACGCGCGTGGAGCGCTTCCTCCTCTCGGTCTTCTCCGGTCTCAAGGACTCTTCTCCGTCTTCGAACACACGGGCACCGTGCACGCAGAGCAGGTCCACTATGCAGCGCAGCACCGTCGTCACCACCGGCTCGTTGGCGGTGTCTATCAACTGATACAAAGGTCCACACACCGGTCAGTCTACTGCCATTCCCACATACTGGTCTATGTCTACTGCTGCTAGGGCCACGCAACAGCTTATGCTGTTCCACGGATGAGCAGGGACTTCCGGCGAAGCACCAAGACCTCGTCGAAGATAGACGTCAGTGAAGTGGAATCATTAGTTTCGCGTTTCGTCTGGTGAGTGGTCACTGTACACCATGATATTATTCCTTGTAAACACTCGATTACACATTAATAGATTAAACTATGTTTAGAGATTTTGTGGCGTTTCTTTTTAAATTTGATTCTCCGACTTTTCGACAGCAACGTACAACTTTCATGATCACGGGACAGGCTGACGCGACGTAAATATAATTTAATTTAATAACCAGGAACCACTTTTTTAAAGGTCGTAGACGTAGTTCCAAGCCATCGGGTGTTGACGATGTATATGGGTGGCAGTATTCACTTAAGATCAGGTGAACCGCCATTTCGCCGGAGATGAGCCCCTTAACGCCAGCTTCGCTGTCATCGAGTTATACATAATGCGACAAAGATGACTGACTAAACACGCGCGATTTGCATCCACGTTTTTTTATATAAGAGAATGGCAAGTGATAACACTATTCATAACTCACAAGCAACCTTACACTCCTACAATATGTGATTAACCAACATGGTACTACATATCTATTGTAACGTCCAAAGTGAAGAAAAACTATACTCTTGCTTGCTACTTACTGGACTCAACCCCAAAATACAAACAAACCCAGTCATAACATATAAATCTATACAGTAAACATGATTTAGGCTGCGATAATTTTACCTTTAATAAATAAATTTATATCTTTACATACATTAGCAAAGAAGAACGCCTTGTGTTCTTTAGCAAATTCTTTGTCCAACATCCCATAGAGAGCTACTGTTTCGAGGGCGTTGATTAGTACATCGGGATTCTGAAAAATCTCGACCTGAAATCGGAACATAAATCATTAAATTAATATTGTGAATTCTAACTAAAATTTAAAGTTTTTTTACCTAGACTTTGATTACAATTTATTTTTCCCATTAAACATCAAATAGAATCAATCAGTCACTAATTAGTATAGAAGACGTTCTATCCAAATACTTAACACATGAAAAATCAAAAGTTAATAAAGAATAAATCAATCTAAGCATACCTCTAATTCATTGAATATCATTTGTAGCATAGGCGTTACAGTTTTCAACTGCGGCGTATCCAGCGCGGCATTTAATATGGTCAGGCATTTATTTAATGTTGCCTCATCTGATATCTTCTCTTTTATAGTCTGCAAAGCATATGAAATTCTAGTTTACTTCCATATTTTTAGATTTAAACATGTGATTTTATTGCTTTGCTTCGATATTTGTAATTAATTTGTTTATTAATTAAATTTACTGAACTCATAGACATTTTGAGTTGGCCACAGATAAACCTTTTAGATCTCAAGTTCTTTTAAGCCGTAGCTTGGACTATTACAGTCCAAGTTAATTGTTCATTACAATACTATTTTTTCTTGCTCCAATACAAAATATTTATTTGTACAAGACAATAATTATAATGATATGAAGTTTTACATTGTATGTACTAACAGGTATGGGTGCAGGTGGTGGTGTAGGTTGAATATTTAATTCTTCTAACTTTTTCTGAATATCTTCCACCTGGAAAATAAAAAAAAAATTGCTTAGTAAGAACATTGAACAGCGTGATGTCAATGGAATAAAATATAATTATAAACAATATAATCATCATGTATAATTATGTCTTATATAGCGCACTTGTACCGCAATCAATTTAAAACTAAATGGTTGCTTAATTTAAGCAATAGTATATTTTCAATATTATACAAAGTATTGAAGTAACTAATATGGTACAAGGTCATTATGTACTTAAAATGAAAACTTAATGGTATAAATATAATAAAGAAATTAAAATACCTTGGCCTTGCATTCTGCAGCTAAGGCGTAATTTTGGTCTCGAACTGCTTCTTCTTGCGCCTCCATTGCTACATTCAGTGAAACTCGTAATCTTGCTCTCTGAATGAAATGTATCACATAAAAAAAACCGGTCAAGTGCGAGTCGAACTCGTTCGACGAGGGTTCCGTACCTAAACATTATACCGCCATAATAAAATTGGTAAATAATCACCACCGACTTTCCCTAGACCAGGTGGACCTAGCAAGTTGAAAATTAAAATCAAGTTATTAAATTGAAATTTAATAACAACAATTATAGTTATTATATTAAGAGTATATATGGCATGGTGTACATGAGACTGTGGCAGATTATTCGGCAATTTGAAAAAGTATTTTACAAAATGTTCCAAAGCGATTGAAGCAAACCTAATTGATTGAAAATATTTTGAGTTCGAGTATTTGAGCAAACAGTCAGACTTACTTGCAGCTTAACTTCGGTGCAGTCGACCGCCGGCGGTGGTGGGGGCAGGACGTCCGGTTCCGGGGGATCCCTTAGCGCCGATATCACGCCGCTTATTACTTCGACACGCTGTGACACCTCAGGAACAACCAGCTCTAAAGCTGATACGAAAGCCCGCAACACTTCTGCATTCAGCGGACCGTAATCACCTAGAGAATAGAAGGAAATGCAATAAATCACGATATTACAGTATATCGTTAGCCTTACTAGTGCTTATATTGTAAGAGATGAATAGTGCTTTAAGAAGAAAAGAAAGAATTGCATCTACATGGTGATAGACTACGGCCGTAGTTGATAAACGGCTGAGGTAGATCAGCCAATTTTATGTTGCTTTGAGAACACCGAACTTATATTCGGAAGTAAAGACATGCGTCCATAGATTAATCTATGCGTAATAATTTAAAATAACTTTTTACTGTCCAAGATAAACTTAATATTGTAAGTCAATGAATGAGTCAATGTGCGAGTTAATTAGTTGCCCTTTTGCACGAATAAGAATGCTCTTCTAAGAAGATCGGCGTGAAGTGAGTTTATTCTTAAATGTTTCGTCGAGTAAGTGTGGTACCTGGAACCCACTTTTGTAAAATGGGCCCTCATCTATGAGGTTTTTTTAATTGCAAAAAGGGGCAAAGAAAACGAAACTTTGAAGATGTCCATGGGCGGTGCATTCAGTTAAGAACAAATAAATCGCCTGCTCGCTTGCCAATTTATCTCATAACAAAAAATAAAATAACTAAATATTTATATTTTTTTTTAAGTCTTTGTCAAATTTAACGAATAAACATACCAGTAAGCACATCAGTGATGAGAGCCTGTAGGGCACTCCTGCCAGTCGGGTCCGAGGCATCATATACCCGTATCATGCAGCCCAACTCTTGCAAGACATACTGATGTGTGCTGAAGCCAACAGGATCATCCGTTTCTGATGGACAGGGTGACTCAACGATGCTGTTAAATACATGTATTAAACAGAAACAAAATTAAATGCAAATTATGATATAATAATAAGAAGCAAAACCATTGCAAAAATTTTAATATAAAAGTAGACATGTATTTCCTAAGTTCTATTTTATACTTATAAAGCCCTTGCTCTACTGTCTTTATCATTGAATTAGAATAAAAGTCTAATTTAATATTTATATCATGTTATGCTAAATTCAAAATAGTAATAAAATAAATTAGTTAAGTAATTGCCTAAATTTATAATTGTAACTTTCATAAATAAGTTCTTAATTTCTTAAGGAATTACTTTCCGGGGATAGCTCATGTAAAACTTAAATACGCCCTTAATTGTATGGAAGCCTTTCACTTGAGTCATAGCTCAAATTGCATACTGTATTGCTCCCACTACAAGCTGCCATACTGTCGGAAACAATGTGATTGTTTAATATTGTTGGTATTTAGGTAGTTTTCTAAATCGATTTACTGGACGATACACATGAGGAACTCAGTAACAGGAGTATAACAGGACTTTATAAGCATATACATACTTACGCTCTAATGTAACCTGTAAGTACAACTAAGTCTGGCACAACTGTTTCCAATGTCTCGTCGTCGTCAATACTCTGCAAATGTTCCGCGAGATGGCGCCAATACCAAGCAGTCTCCTTGTTAAGTTTCTCGGCAGGAATAAGCCTTAACTGTTTGTCAATTGGTAACCATATTAAAAGCTCAGAGATTGGGAGACGTCTAGAAGAAAGAAATAACTATATTCATTAAAACATTAATAATAAGGTCGCATGATTAAAAGACATAGATGTAATTTTTAGCATGAAGCCAAATAAAACTTGAGTTGCATAGTAAACGTCCATGACATTTTAATATCCAGTTACTAAATAAGATTTAAATTATTTTAATAACTTGAGAAATTGTGCCGCAAAACATAGATTAATATCCACAATAAAGATGCCTTATATTCAATCTCATTATCAGTATGAAGCATTAATTGAAATAATTACTTGAACAATGACTCCAGAAGTTTAGCTGCAACATATTGCGAGTCCTTAGCATCTTGTGCGTTATCCAAACGAATCGCTTTTAACAAATCCACAATATTTCCCTGGAAAGTACTCAACCAACCAGGGATCAAGATCTCTTCGACGACTCGTCGCACGCGCTGACTGCGCTCCGTAAGCCCGACCTTTAAAGGTAAAGATTTTTTAAAATAGGATAAAATATTAATATTATTATACCACAATTTATTATGGACAAACAGAATGTATATTAGATATTTAGTTTTTTATCAAGTTTTCTCTGGCTAATTCTAAATTTATGAGTTGATAGTAGATTTTCGTCAATACTTGAAATAGTTCAAATTGGTCCGGAATACTTTGAGTGAATTGTAATAAGTATTTTAGAATGTGTTATTCAATGCTAATGGATATTCATAACATGTGTGAATGACCTTTAAGAGAATAGCCTCAGGTCATATCATTCACCATACAAAATGTTTACGTGAATAATTTACACCGCACTTGTGAGATTGTGATACTTCCAAGGTCAAGTTGACCTTTTAATGGTTCAGCAAACTGTTGTGCAGGTCCATAGAAGAATTATAACTTGCCTTAAGGGTAAGCAATCTCTGCCTCACTCGAAGCTGCGTGACGTTGATCGCAGCAATGTAAAGAAATGCAGCCCGACGAACTGCTTCGTCCACGTCGCACAGACGCTCCAACACAAAGGGGACGTTTCTCGTACATTTGGCTATTGACATCACTATCGCTCTGTAAATATAAATATTTGACTTAGACGGTATTTGGCACAATTATAAAGTTACCTAAAGGAACTGTTTATAATTCTGTCAATGTCAATGATTCAATAAATGAATTGTTAGATGCAGTCAGTGTGTTTAAAAATTACCTAATTTCCGTTGTAAGCGCAATTACGTTTTCCAGTAGTAGTATTTAGTTATAAGATACGCATATTTTACATAATTGACTCTCATTGCATTTACGTTGCTCTCGACTTAATAAAAAATCATATTTCATAAGAACAAAAGCGATAGATGGAGCGCCTGGCGCTATGATAGGGGTGGTTTCTGGAATGTTACACGGATTGTTTCTGTCACTGCAATTCAAATTCAAGACTTCTCACGTAAATCGCATGTCTACGGCCAATAGCCCAATCACTAGGTTATCAATGACACTCCATTTTAAAAACTACAAAATAACTTATTTTTTTATTATAATATAATTAAATAGGTTTACTGTGGTAGTGCCAAACAACAGTGTTCACTGTTGCTCGTATGGGAAGGTCCATCTGGGTTAGTACCACGACCTCACAGAAGACCTAATGTCCATAGGCGGCAGTTATCACTTAACATCAAGTGAACCGCCAGCTCGTTTGCCTTTTTTTTGCCTAGTTTGCTTCCATAAAAAAAGTTACTAAATGCAAAAACCCCACCTTCTAACAGAAGAACTAGGGTCGCAGCTCATGTGAAATCGGTACGCTCTGGTGACGTCATCGTTTGGTTCCATCGGGTTCTGCAGGCGCTGCAGTGCCAGAGCGGCGCGGCAACGCACAGCTCCACGGGTATCATGTAAGCGTTGCATCTGTAGAAGACATCTTCATAACTTCATATTTTAACGCTAATGGGGAAAACAGGAATTTCATGTTATATCTGTTTCAAAAGTCATGTTTAGTGCTAAAATTGATAATTGGATATCCTAATTAGGCAGTTAATTTTGCACGTAAGAAATCCAAAAAGGATAAAGAAGGACTTTTTGAAACAGAAATATATCTTACCATGGTGCAGCCATGCTGCAACTGCATTTTGCCTGTGAGATATTAAGGCGCTGTATACAGTAAAAATAGGTTTTTCAAAAGATTTTTTTAGCAAAATCTATACACTTTATAGCAGCAAAAAAAAAATATATGTTAATCTTGATCTTACATTCTAATGGAGCATTGTTTTCAAAACATATTCTCGATAAAAAAAAATATACCCAACACATTCACCATAGTTTGTCTGATGTCCCAACCAGTATACCATCAATATCATTATTGTTAAACTTTTCTTTTTTTCTGATTAGAGGTGCAGTACTTTTGTATAGAACCAGAGGTATTTGTAGTGCTGAACCGGCAAACATTGTTTTGTCATATAAATTATTTGTAGGGTAGAAAAAAATGTTTGGGGTGGACCACCCTTAACATTTAGTCCAGTAAACAAAAGTTCATAAACTTCACATATCTTCAAAAAGTGTTATTCATCAGTGTCAGTTATTATATTCATTGCTGCTAAAAAAGGATTTGACTAAGGTTGATTGAGAACATTGAATTAAAAATGAACATGCACACACTGAGCTATCACTGCAACAGACAAATACTAAAAGTAAAATGTAGAATTTTAGAACATAAAGAACCTGTGATGCAAGTAATTTGTCACAAAGATCATCATCTAGTGAGGCGTCATCTCCAAGAGCTGCAAGCACTGCAGCCAACAACTGACTTGCACGATATCTTACTGATTGTCCAGAAACACATTGACACTGAAAGCAAATAGAATAATATAATATAAAAATTATATATTAACCTGCAGTATCTTCATATAGTGCATTTAACACTTTTTAATTTCTATTTTATGAGCTCTCATAATTAGACTCTAAAATGAAGATTAAAACTTTAATACCTCTATAGCACATAAATGAGTACATGCTACCAAACACAAAGGCAAATATCAAGCTTGTGGTCTGTCTGACTATTTCACAAGTTCTACATTTGATATAACTTTAATTGTCTATGAATTGAAAGCAAAGGTTAACCCATAACTAAAGGTCTATTTACATGGTGCCAGTTTCTTGCCTGTTGTATACAATTAAATTGAAACAATAAATGAGTTGCATGGTCTAAACAACACATAACATTCTTGACTGTTGAACAAGGCTTGCTTCAAGTTTTGTTTCAAAACTTTCCTTGGTGTAAACAGCACACAGAATAATTTCTTAAGCAATTCTTGTATTCAATTGCATTCTCTCTTCCTTTGCAAACATGAGTGCAATGAGTGAGGGTGTTTAATCATTGCTGTTCTTTTGAGGCAAGTAATATTGAGAAAAAAAAAAAAGTTGGATAAAAAAATGAATAATAATATATGGATAGTAATAAATAAATGTCAATGAAATATATTAAATCGGCATAATCTAACTTGAACACTTATTATTGACCCATTTTTTTTAAATAAACAGCCCTTTTTAAAACGTTCAACACTTGAATGAAAAAATTGTTAATGCAAAAATATGTACTATACTTGAAGCAACACACCAATAAATTGTAAATACAAGCATGTGTTTAGACAAGTCAAAACTTGAAGGCAACAATCGCCTAAACATAATTGCATTGGTGTAAACAAAAGACATTTGCAATTATTTCTTGTCAAGACTTGCATTCAATAATCGCATTCAATTTTTTTTACTATATCTGCGTGTAAACTGTTGCTTACAATTCTTGGGGGTCAATTATTGCACGCAATTTATTGCATTCAATTATTGCTCTTGTATGTACTAGAAAATGGCATAGTGTAAATGGGCCTTAATCCAGTGCCCATTGTAATTCAATGCAACCAAACTCCAATCATTGCATTTAAGATTTGCTTGAACAATTTCAATGTCAAGGTTGAATAAAACAACAATCTTAATAAGTAGTAAGATTTAACAGTTCAATTGACTCTTAAATTGTAAGTTCACTAATAACTTACATCCACTTGTAGTTATCTAAAAAAGGGGGAATCAAGGGGTTAAAATTAATATAATTTGATATAAAATATAATAAAAAATTTAAAATTTTAATAATTTTAAATTATTAGGGATAATACAACTAATATAGAAGACAGGAAAATGAAAAAGGGGGTTCTTTTAAATTAATTTGGATAAAAAAAAATAGGATTTAAAGATTTCAGCAAATAAATAGCTCTATTGTATCCTCTCCCCCGCCACAAATACAGCAGCAAATCTTGCATGGGCAGTTTGCTTAAAAAAACTGGTGACACAAATGATTAGCGAGATAATTATCTTATTTGTGTTGGTCATGTTTATAGACAGTTTTTAAATATCTACCCTCAGAATATTGCAAATTTAAAGTAATTATTCAATAAGGCATTATTTACAATAGTAATATTTAATGACAGTATTTTTTTTCCCTACTATGGCTCCACTGATACATCAGTGATTTTGAATTCAATGACATAGCATGATAATTTTCATGGTTATATAGCCGATATTAAAAATTCTTTTTTTTATAAATAAATTAATAACATTTTTAATTTTAATTGTAAAATTAATAATAACATTTTTACACAGCATTCTCTAGTCCCAAACAAAGCAATGCTTGTACTATATGTACTAGAAAACTGGTAAACATACTAGAACATAGTTTTTATTCTGTAAATAAATACACATTTTACAAAAATATGTATTTATTTACAGAATAAATAATACAATAATTTTGGAAAAACACTATGTTCAATCATCACACAATATTTCATATCAGTAATAAGGATGAAACATATCCTCCCTAGGCCAATCGGGTTGTCAATATAATCATTTCTATTATACACTGTTATACACTGTGAGTACTTACATCAAAAATAATATCAGATATAAACATAAGGAACTCTTCTTCATCATCCAGTGAAGTACAAAATGTTGCAACAAACTGAATTACTCTATCAACATTTGCACTTGTGTCCCCAAATGTAAAAAGATATTGTAAAGCATTTTTAAAGCTCTCGCGAAATGCATCTTGTTCAGTCTGAAAATTAAATCATCATTATAATTCAAATATTAAACACTTGTTTCATTATAAATTTGCGTTGCTTTTGTAAATATGAACTTAGAAAGACATTAGTTTCCTTATGCAAGTATTTTGTAAAATAATAAGGTTTATAAATTTTTGGTGAAGAAATGTTATTTTAATATTTAATAATTTTCATCATGATACATTTTGTTTTTAATATACAAAAAGAGAGATATTTCTTACAAAACTTAAGAAAACTAAAGAATTATGGAGCTGTTAACTGACGGTTGTTATGGTGCGGTAAAATAACATACCTTTTTATATAATTTATTCATTTCTTTTACGTACTTCTTGTGTTGGACAACATTGTATTGAACATTTTGAAAAATTTTAAACATTGTCGGAATATTTCGAGGATTTGGGTTTGAATTACTTGTAGACACTGTTTGTGGAACTTCGGCATCCGTTGGAGCCATAATTACTTAATTTTATTTATCAAAAATGATTAAAGTTTTGAAGATATTACAAATTACAATGTTTTGTCCAGCTAACGATCGTTAACGTTTGAAGTGTCAACCGTGAACTTTGAAATTTGAATTGACAATTGATAGATTTTTTTTTGTCTTGTCGTAACTATGTCAATAGTGGTCTCGAACGTTTTTTTTTTTTGGATTTTATGGCCCGGTATCAAGGACCTTTAGGCCAAAGGTCTCGAACGTCATTGTGTGAAATTGGTAGAGCTGTCCACAAAAATCGGTATATTTGTAGTCAAAATATAACAAAAAAAAATGCAATATTCATTTAAATTCTTTTTATCAAAAATAAACTTACAAACTTATTTACATCAAATACACTCATAGTCTAGTCAATGAGTGCTTTTTAGGTAAACATTTTTTCGCTTTCTCCGAAAATTATGATTGAGGTGTCATTCGATTTGGGATGGCATGTAGATAGTTTTTGAGAAAATGCTAAGGCCACTCGCAAAAAATGCAATAGTTACGATTAAGTGAAAAAAGGGGGTTTGATTTTTCGCCAATATCTCAAAAACTGTTCGAGATAATTCAAATTTGAAAATTAGCAATTTTGTAATTTTTTACCTTAGTAAATTGTTAGTAAAAAAACAAAAATTAACATTTTTTTAATTTTTCCAACTGGAATCTATTCTAAGACCTTGGAAAAATAGCTCCAACAAAGGAAAAAATTCTCAGATTAATAGTTTAATAATTATCGTGAAATAGTATACATCTATACAGATAAATAAAGTTGGAGTGCCTGTTTGTAATATTAAAATACCGCATTTTATTACGTGCATATGGATGTAGGTATACGAACAGGTAAGTACATTTTTTTACAATTTTTGTCTGGCTGTGTGTCTGTCTGTTGAGTAAGGTATATACAGCGTGTCGTTACCATCGCGACAATAAATGAACAAACATATAGGGGATAACTTTTTAAAGTTGTATTAAACATTTAATTTCTTTAAACATCAATATTTACAGTTATTAAATTTTCCAAAACAAAGAATTTTAGAACATCCTTACCTATAAAAGCGTAACGTAAAGTTCATTTGTAAAGGTCACAAAGCATATGAATGGGTTGAATGAATTTAAAAGAGACAAAACATACTGTTAGAAGGAGAGGCTTGTAATACGCCGCTGTGGCGCGAGTTGTATAGGTGTTACAAATTTTGTTTCTTTTTTACTTAATTAGTTTGAAAAGTTTTTTTTTTTAAATTATGGATTTTGTTTAACGTTAACATTTTTTATTGATTGTTGGCACGTAGCGTTAGACGAATAAGTAACATTTTTAAAATTGAATGGCCTATGTAACTCCTAATTACACCAGCTATCTACCAGTGAAAGTTCTCTCAAAATCGGGACGACCCAGTGTGTAGTGAGTGAAAAGCAGTAATTTAATTATCAGTCAATATCAATTTATACGATTTATCTTAGAATGGCGGGTTTTTCAGCTGACATGATGCTCACATAAGACCGGCGTGTAAGTGGAAGTATTATATATTTGTTTCATCGGGTGAGTAAGGTAATTACTAGAAACCAATGGTTTTAATGGTTGGTAACGCATCTATAAACTATCAGGTGTGGTTGTCCATGGTAAAATTGACTGTCTGTTTCTCGATATCAGGGTGTATATTATTTATCCTGGAAAAAAAATCCACTTGGGTTTTATCCAAAAGATAAGTTGCAGGTTCAGATTCCCAGGATTACTTGTTTTGTCAGGCAATCATGTTATGCCGTTTCGATAAGTTTAAATAAATTAAGTTTTGAAAAGTAACGTATAGCCAGACTCTTTAAGCCGAAGGCGTTATATTATTACTCATTTAAAATTAACTACTTTTATAGAACCAAAGAAAGAAGAAACAAATAATAAAAATAAAATTATGTAGAAAAGTTTAATTTTGTTTTTTTGTTCATTAGTACAAATAATTTAAGATCACTATTAATAGTAAAACTCATCTTATGCAATTATTATATACAAATTCATATATAAAAAACTTTTAATGATAAACATTACAATTAAAATCGGATTAATGAGATAGGTATCACTTCATATTATTATTACGCATAACTGAAAAATAATTAGACAACATATAATTTAAAATTTAGCCATGTTGTCTTCGTGTAAAATTAAATTAAATTATCGAAATGTAGCGAACAAAAATATAACGATAGTTTTCATTTTTAAGCGATATACTAGTATAGCGCTTAATGGTGGGTTGTTTCTTTTAATACAAATAATGTTCAGTTAATTTATTCATTAATGAGTATTAACTTAATAATAAAATAAGTGAGCCAGCCTTAAGCTTCTACTTTTTAACCAAAAATTTAAATTTCATCATCTCTCTATAATTTAAACATGTAAAGAAGTTGTCATTGAGAGTCGTTCAATAGGTGTCAATTTGACCGGAAGGAAGTTAGCGTAGAATAAGTTTTTTTAAATTAAACGATATGCCAATTCATTGCTCTTGAAATGCTCCATTAGAATCCATAAGTGCCCCACGTTTATTACGATTCATTAAAATTAAAAAAAAAGTAGTTTTCGAAAATTTAATTTTGCTATAAAAAATAAAATATCCAAAAGTGTAGTGCAGCAATTTACATGCAAATATTTTTTTTTATTAATTACTATAAATATTGCAAAATTGTAATATTTTTTTAATTAGTAAAAAGATCACATTGGAAATTTTATGTTTCATAGCAAATTATTTTTTTTTTAAATTAATGAATAGTAATAAACGTGGAGCAACTACGGATTCTTAGGAAGCATTTCAAGAGCAATTAATTGGCATATCATTTAATTAAAAAAAATATTATTCTACGCTAATTTCCTTCCGTAGTCAATTTGAGTACGAAAATATTCGCGTGAAATTTGAAATTTGGTGGATGCGAAACTTTTTCGAAACCGAACTATGTTTTAGACTTTACAGAACTAACCACACTCACGTTAATATTGTATAATAATTATTATTAATTAACTCACTAAATATTAAGCTATATATTATTTCTTTTACGAAATAAAATACTAATAGAGTTGATTTAATAAATTGTTGATATATAATTATTCAACATGTATGTATCTATTTATTATCTCAGTGAAACACTTTTATATGTGAATGTGTTAAGTTCCGGAGTCTAGTGTATCACAACGAAACAAACATGTTATATAGGTCGCGCAAAACTTAATGCACCTGAGTGAAGTGGCTCCGCTTCTGTTCGTGTGTCATTCGAGTACAAAATCTATAGATTATCTAAATATTTAAATTCACAGAACTGGATCGCAACTCTAGTCGCGACTGTACAAATTTTGGACTGAGAAATTAAGAGATTTAAATTCCGTAGCGAATTGCAGTTTTCTCCCGTTACACATGTCGGTATTAACCATTTCTATGATTTGAACGAACTTCAGAGGCACATTTAAGCATAACGCGTACTATAGTCCATTATTCCATTAGTCTAGTTCATTATTCGAGGTCATCGATTAAAGAGTCCAACTCCTTTTGTAATGTCATGGACTCTTCTCTCTGCTTCAGGACATCGTCTTTCAAGCGATCCACGTTAGCCATCAAAAGGGCATTTCCTTTCTTTAGCGCATTCACCCTGGTTTCATGTCGCTTAAGGCGTTTCGTGAGATTTTCTTTTTTGTTTGGCAACGGCGCTTCCTGCAATTGGGGGAAAAAATTCATAAGAAATATATAGTTTTCTTTTCACATATATGAAGTGTACAGATATTTAGAAAAATTGCTCTGTCTGTAAGGGATCTGTTGTCGCTAAAAACGGTTTACATTTTTTTATATTTTTTCAATTAAATTAAGTACATTATTTGAATCAGTGACCCAAAGATAAGTAATCATCCTAGACAAATAAAAAGAAATAAAGAGAAAATAATTGTACCCGGTTTTATTATTTTCCTAAATGAAAAAAAAAAAATACAACATGAAAAAGGTTGTTAATGTTTGAACATGTTAATTATAAGATTTTGTCAATTTTTATTGGTTTATCTCATTTCGTTGACATTTTATAGTTATTGTTATTGCTGTTGAGCGGCTTTTAAAATAGTATAAAGTGATAATTAATATCCAGCAAATACATTATTGCACTTCATGAAGCAACTGCTTTGTGGTTTAGAAGATAAATGTGAGGCATTCGACAGTCCAACAGACCTGGTACCTCCCTACCAATATACATATCATAGCCCAGCCGGTGGCCGTAAATTACGACGTGAAGGTCGAGGTTGTATGTTATGATCCCGAGAACATTGGGATAGGGTACTGTTCTTCGATGAAGCCAGTATCTCTAATTAGGGAAGAAGTAAGGATTGTGAGACATGCCTAGAAATAAATTACAGCCTACGCCAAAGGCTCTGCTGTTTTGTGCATGAGCAAAAGGTCCGTACCAAATAAATGAAGATACTTAGATAGGCGGAATGTGACCTTGCTTGACAAAGGTCTTGGTGGTCCAATATCGTAAGATACCAAACAAAAACGTAACGCGACAACTCAAATCCATTTGTTTTGGTGCAGAAAACGGAATAACGGAATCAGGGGCGAACGAAATGAAGATGAACGGCAATACAAAAATTCGTAGGCATAGTCTTATGTCACCGCCACCAATGGACATACAACCTCATAGATGTTACAAGCGTATTAATACTTCAAGCGTATTAGCCCTTAGTGGGGCCGTGGACCTGAGCTGCCTTATAGGTATGTGCAATGGGATCTGTAATACGGTTGCATGTAGTCTGTTATTATAATAATATGTGCAATGAATAATTTAATGCTTGATACTATAATTATGTTATTAAATTTTTTACAAAGGAGTTCTTGTTACCTCAGGTTCGCTTTCACTCTCAGTTTCGCTCTCTGTGTCCTGCTCCGTCTCAGTTTCAGACTCCTCCTCCTCACTCTCACTCTTTTTCTCTTCTTCCGACTCCTCCTCTTCTTCTTCCTCTTCCTCGTCCTCAGAACCTACTTCTTTCATCATTGCTGCCATTTTGTCCACTTCACGTTTTAACTCCTTATACTTCCGTTTTTCCTCCCTAACAGATAATAATCAAGACTTAAATATGAGGCTACCTGTTACTTTATTTATGTTTTTCATCCTGGGAAAATAATATTTTCTAAAAACATAATAACATTTTCTCGTATCCATGAACGCAATGAATAATTATTTTTCAAAGATCATTATTTTACCTCTCAATTTATATATTTAGAACATTTTAGGTTAATCGATCGCATTTTTATTATTATTTTACTAAGCGTGATTGGTAGAAGAAGAAATAAAAACCGAGTTTCTAATTTAAAACGAATAAAATGTTTAAAAACTTACTTAAGCGCCGCTTGTTGGTTTTTCAATGCCATTTTGTAGCCCATTCGCTCTCTCTTCATGTTATCTTGTTTTTGCTTCAGGTGCGAGATCTTATTTCTCATATTGCGTATTTCCTTCTCCATTCGTTTTTGTTTCTTCTCCTCGCTCTCTTCCTGCAATGTTATTACAAAATTCAAATTAAGTGTGTATCTATAAATTTAAAAAAATGCTGAAGACATGTTTATCATGGCAGAATCACTGATGGGTGCTACTATGCTGACTGACTTTAACAGTGTCTCCCAATGATTGGACCTTGAGATGACAAAGATCATGTCCAATGTCCCATACCGGTGGTTGTTGGAAGCATAGTACTTTGTTGTTGAATGACTTGTTGATGAGTACGTTTAAGACAGTCCGGTTACGTTAGTCCAACTTCGACGCAGAGGTCAATCAGCGAATCCAACTTGGATAGGTAGCTTTCAGGAGCCTTTGGTATATTTTCTCGTCTAATATGCCTCAATGTTTGAAGACAAAAGTCTTCAATCAATACGTGATAACCTACGGAACCGAGACGTGGTCCTTCACTGTTGGCCGTATAGGAAGCTCAAAGTTGCTCAGTGTGCTATGGAGCAGTCTATGCTTTGCATTTCTCTGCGTGATAGAGTTCGTAACGAAGACATCAGCAGTACAAGAAAGGTAACCGACATAGCTTAGAAGATCAGTAAGTTAAAATGGAACCTCGTAGAACCGATAACCGAAGGGGAAACAAGGTTCTTGAGCGGCAACCTCGTACTGGCCATCGCAGTGTAGGACGACCCCCAAATAGATGGAGTGACGACCTGTGCAAATGTGCCGAAAGTCGATGGATGCACGTGAGATATTTGAAATCATTTGTTTCTTTATAATTATTGTGTCATTGGCGATATCATAAGGACCGCCAACTGCCTTAGAAGAAGAAGATGCATGTGGCTCAGATCGTGCTTTGTGGCGGTCTGTGGGGGAGGCCTGTGTTCATTAGTGGACTCAAACAGGCTGAAATGATGATGATGATGTATCTATTAATATTTTATCTAATTCATAACCTTTAGTCGTGGATTCGATTCATGCTCGAGTAAATTTCAACATCTTATCCCATTTTTGTTTATTTAAAAAAAATTACCACGTCATCATCGGATTCCTCTTCCTCTTCAAAGCTGTCATCTTTGGTTACGGAGAGTTGCTTTACAGCGTGACTTGATCGTCTAGATCCAACATTCGTTGGCATAATACCCTGAAAAATTGGTTGTAAACATTTTCCTGATGTTTAAATATTAAAAAAATAATTCTATTATATTGCTGTGTTACATTTTTAAAACACTTCAGAAATCTTCCTTGTCTATCTGCAGTTTGTTACACAATTAAATATAATATATGCATTGAATACAGTACAATATCAATCGTACTGATAGATTGATAGCCTCAACATTTTTATTATAATTATAATAATGTTCCAAAAATAGTTAAGATACTACTTATAGTAACATTTGACGGGGCTTGATTGAATAATATAGGGAAGGCTCGGCGATTTTAATATCGACAATTTGCATTTATTGTTGTGTCTTAGTGAAGGTATTAAGGGTGAAGGGAAGCACATTTTTGTTAAAATAGAGCGGTTATGGAGTTTAAGCCGTTACCTCAAAGTCCTCGTTAGAGTTAGTAATAGAAGCATTAGCAAGGTTATTGTTAGCATCGACTTTATTCCGTAGATCTTCAGCTTCCTTAGAATTAACATCAATGTTTAGTAACCTACACTGCTTAATAATATCAAGCTGGGTTTTTTGGTAAAACGATAAAGGTTCTTCAGACGCTAATAACTCTTCATACTTATCCTGCAAATACGTAATTAAGCTGTGTTGTTAAAAGCATAATAACACGGGAAACATTCCAATCTGTGTAATTCGTAAGCATTTATAATATTATTTTTTAATATACCGCTAAGGCCTGTTCCAATTTCTTTTCTAATTCTGCATTCCTTCTTTTAACTTCTTCGAGCTCTGATTGGGCTGTATCTCTTTCTTCTGCTGCTTCCAAATATTGTTTTTCCAAATTATCAGCAGTCTCTTTCGCCTTTTCAACCTCCATTTTTAGGTTATTTACAAGTCTCTCGTCGTACGCATCAGTAACTGATATAACTGTTTTGTGTTGCTCTTGTTTAATAATAGCTCGCTCCCTGGCTAATTCCGCTTCCAAGTTTTGTATCCTTGTCAGAAGTCGTTTATTTTCTCGTTCTTGAGCTTCTTTATTTCTAAATATATGAAAATGTAATAAGTCCATGTTTGCTTAATTGTAAGATATAGGCACAGAAACGGTTGGATAATTTTGTAACTGCTGTTTTTCTTTCGTGTTCGTCAATTTAACCGTACTTTACAAAAATTGAGGGTCAAAATTTTAACAGGGTAATTAGATATAAATAATTGAAATCTATTTGGCGACATTAGCATAGTATTAATTATCTCTGTAGGTCAAGATTGATATCCTAATTTGGTCCTTGATTGCGGTCGAGTCTAAGTCTCATTAATGCTTAGCAGAAATATAGGACGTAACAGATACGAAAAATGGTAAATTAATTCTTGTACGCTTTCTGTGTATAACTTCTTACCTTAGTTCTATAGCAAGAAGCTGTTTCGTCGATTGGAGATCATCTCTAACCTTATCAATGTCATCCATCTCGTCAATATCGTCCTCTTCCGGTGCTGGAACCTGTTAAGATAGAGTTAAGTAATTATTAGACAAGTTTTCGCAAAAATTCTTCAGGCTTAAATGATATCTATCGTGTCAAATACCTCTGGAACTCCAGGCACTAAAATTCCAGATGGAGAATTGGCCAGATTCGCTTGCGACATTGATTTCTGCACTTGTTCTTCGATTGTCATTTGCCTTCTGAATTTTCTTAAGCCCTCCAAATTAGGCTTACTCCTGTCGTTTGTTTTCACCTTCTTTAGCTTCACACCTTTGGATATTTCTTTAAGTAACTCATTGTGGGAATTTGGCTTTTCCGATTCGAAAATAAATTGGCCTTTATTTTTAACCACCGCTGATCGCGTAATAATTGGGCTTGATCTGAAATGTTAAGAAATAAAAATAAATATATGCTGCTACAGAATTATTGTAAGTAAAACATAATAAACAATAAGTTATTGGATATGTAATTCACACGAAATTTAAACAGGTTTCTTCGTCTCGTGAAGGCAATTCATTCGACTTAAATAGTTGAATATGTTGGTTTTGCAGTTTAGAACAGATATATGAAAGTAAAATTCTTCATACTTAACAAAAATTATGAGTCTTTTCGTACATACTAACCTATCGTTACAAACAACATGTTTGAGCTTCTTTCCCTGCTCCACTTCCTTCATCATGTCGCTCCAGTCAGGTCTCTTCCTCGGCCTGCTGCGGAGCGAATCTAACTTCTTTAACTTTGTCGGATCAAGTGGAGCTTTCTTGAATTCTGGCGGTGGCGGCATTTTCGGTGGCAATGGCGGAGGCATTGGTGGTGGTGTGGGCTTCAAGAGACCTGAAAGTTTTCAAATAATCTTTACACATGCACTCTTTCATGGAGACCAAAAAAATTTGTAAAATCCAAAGGAGCACGCTTCATACCACTCATTTAATTTTTATTTTGTATTTTTGGTATTGCTTAGGTATTGCTTAGACTATTTAACGTAAGTGTCAATAGTGAACTTTTTTTATAAAACACCCTTATATTAATAAACTAGGGTAACATGATAATTCATTTTGGTAACTAAATAGCAATGTTATTCTGAAGGTAATAAACGAATCGGTATCGATCTCGATACGTCAATTTTTTCGGGAGTTGTCGTGAACATCTCGTAAAAAAAATCCGTACACGTACAATTTTTCTCAGTTTTTTTTACATAAAATTGTTTTTTTGCGGAATAATTCTTTAATCAGTTTAAAGTACCAGTACCATGATGGAAAGGTGTTTTATTTTGAACAACAGTTTACATCGCATTTAAACAAATTGTCAATACATTGCATTTTCATTCTTTAAAGTTATAAACGAAATCGTAATCAATTCCATCGTTACGAAAATAATTGTAGAAAATTCTAAAATTAATTAAATTTCTAGGCCAAAATAATTTCCTCTTTATTAAGCAGTTTAGGTATTGGAGACTCTTACTACTTTTTTCTATCTAATTAAAAATATTCCTCTTACTTTAGGATAACATAAATCCTGTCTTGAAAGGACATTGTACAAATTTTAATTGGGCAACTAACAAGATCGGGTACAATCACACAAATAAGCTACGACGTCGAATGTCAAGAGTTTTAATATAATAAAATATTGTGAGGTATATACCTCAACATTGCATCACGATATTGCCCGTTAAAGTTATGGCAAGCAGTGTTATCTATGAAAGGCTCATGCAGAGCCACATCGAGTTTATCTCCTACCAACACTCGTTAGTTAGTGGTAGAATGGTGAGCCTTTTATCACATTCTACCACCCTCTAGGAAGTCATTACGGAGGTCGCTTAAAAGTCTCGCCAGTCAGTCTTCCACGGTAGTTACAGTCTAATCATTGGCTATGAATGATGATCCATCCCGTTGGACAGCATGGTAGAGGCCATTGATCTAGGCTTGAGTCCGCTTAGTGTGCCGAAAGAATTTAATGAAAAATGAAGGCATCACCTTTGAGCTATTGTTTCACACCGGGCTCACCGATACAACTGCTAAAATCTTAGCAGTTCTATAAGAGCATGGAACTGAAAATCACTTGTGATTTTCCGGCTAGAGAAAAACAACTTGAGATCCTCTATAAGAAATGTTATTACTATATAAGATAAAAACGATCTTTACCAACCAAATATATTAAAATAAACATGCATGCGAAATTACAATAATTGTTTACCTCTAAAATGAGTATCGGTGTTCAAATCGGGCATCACAAACTTCTTTATCTTTTTCAAATAACGAAAATCGAGCACAAGTTCTTGACTTTTAAAACTATAACACAACCGATTTGCGGGAATTGGAAATTTGTTCACGTTGCGATTTTGAATTTCGAAGGACTGTGTATTCGAAATAATCAAAATTAAGATCTTAACTTTTAAAACTATATCACAACTGATCTGTGGGAATTGGAAGGTTCTTCACGTTGCGATTTTGAATTTCGAAGGACTGTGTATTGCACCTGAAAGAGGACGCGCACGCGACGCACGCGGAACTGTCCGAGACTATCCCGGACCAGATTTAGACCACAAACGTTGTCTAGTACATATGAGATCAAATGGTAAGGGATTGAAATAGCGGGCTAACCCGCCTAATGAGATGGCTACAGAAGTTATGAGATGGAGAAGTCGAAACTCTAATGTCTGTATATTGCTACTTTGTACTAAATTTATATTCATAAGTGTGAATATGAAAAAACTTCTACCGGTATTCCAAAAGAATCGTTGCCGTTAATAAATATTGATTGATGGGTATAAATGTTTTAATAGTCAAATGATAACATCTTTTATATTATTCCTCTGAAAAAATTCCCCTTTTATTTCTCTATGGCAACGCCATATACACTTTCATACACACCATATACACTTTCATATACGCCATATACACTTCATACTTTGTCAACCAATTTGAAGTGTACTGCTATTGACGAAAAATAAACCAAATAAAATAAAATTTTAACATTTTGATTCGAATGTATGATTCGAATTTTGTATGATTGCATATAACATCATCTATCATCGGCCCTTATCTCAGTCATGTGACACATGTGAATCATGTTGTAATTGTTTTGGCTATGTTTTTATGACCGGCCAACTGCCTGACGTCAATCCTCCTTGGGAAACATAAACCTAGATCCGGAACAACTATCCGTGGGCCGTAAAAATACTTGTTTCGTGTGGGAATCGAAGCACGACCCTTACGCCGAAGCCAATAGCTGAGCAACGGCAACTCCCAGTCAGTCAATGGAAATGCGCTAAATACTTATTTATACATTATTATATTAATAGTCGGTGAGTATAAAAATACTTAGTGAAAAATTCACAAGAGCTATAAAATATACTGTTAGAAGGAGAGATTTGTAATACGTCGCTGTGGCAACGAATGAAAGTCTCTGAATGTATGAATCAGTCAGTTGCAGTTGTATAGGATGTTACAAATTTTGTTTCTTTTTTATTTAAATTGGTTTGTTTCAAAAATATTTTTTTAATTATGGATTTTTTAACGCTTATATTTTTATGATTATTGGCATGTAGCGTTAAACGTGTGGTTATTTATTGTCGCGGTTGTAACGACACGCTGTATATTACGGACCTCGAAGGATTTTTTTTGTCAGTACGCCGTAATTCTTATACTTTATCAAATTTGATTATTTAGACATCACATTATTTAAGATTATAATCCTCGCTCATTAAGAAATAGCAATTAGTTAAAAATGCACGTATGACTAAATTTATTTATTTTTTGTTATTGGATTTAATGTTCGCTTTGTAGACGCATATATAATAAAATTAGATTTTGGAAAAATGTTAGACAGTCTTTTTATTAAAGATTACGTGCCTAATTATGTTGTTTATCAACTTAATGTTATTTATTTTTAACACAAGCTAACGTAAATATTTTTCTGAGTCAACATTATAGTGATTAATCCAGAAATAATGTTCACTCTAAATAGCGCCGCGTGTAATTAGAATTTATAAATAATACGTATTATCTATACAAGGCCCTTTTGTCATAGCAAAAGTCTAAGGCTGAATACCTCACTGGGATTCAAAACCGCAACCACAGATATCGAGTCCGACATCTCGAACACTACAGTTTTTGTCCATCAAGTTCTCTCTTTGTTTGTTCATCTTGATTACGTAGGTGTTGAAAACTAAGCGTTTCGGTGGCTAAGATATTGACTGCGGTGCTATAGGTCGTGGGTTAATTTTTTGTGTGACCTGCAGATAATTTCTGGATCTGGGAGTTTATCCACAAGAAACTTGTGCATGTAAAATGTCCTTACAACACTGGAATTGCAACGAATAATCGGCTATTATTCGTTATTCGACCTATTCGGTGACTTATCACACTAGGTCGAATACCGAATACTTAAATAGGGTGTTTTGTTTCTTTTCATTTGAAATGTATCCTCTCGTATCGTAATTATAATTTAGGAGTTAAGGTTATAGTGCAAAAAGACAAATTATTCTTTCCTCACGACACTTTCGGGTAATTTTCGTGTTCCTCGCAGTTTGTCTAGGTAGTGTTTTTAGAGGCCATACTTGATTGTTATTAATTAGACCTTACATAATTTAACTTTTAAACTAATCTGAATGTAGAGAATACATTAAATGTAGTAGTATTACTAAGGGAGGAAAGTACGTTTGAACAAACTAGAAAGAATCACGTCGTTTCAAGTTTTCGCGCCGGTTGAATATTCTGCTATTCAGCCAGGAAGTTACCCCATCTTTTTCCTTTCTAACAAGTATTGTCATAGATACTAAACATTCACACACAATTTAAAAAAAAGAATCCATAAGAGAAAGTACAAAAAGATTGTCGCTGTTGTGGGAATCGAACCCACGACTTCGGCATTCGCGGCCTGACGCTCTAGCCACTGAGCTAAACGCTGATTGCCACACCGACGAAATTTTTAAGGTCGTTCATCTACATTGTTTTTTAACATTTGAAGCAATGCTTGTCGCATCCATTGTTATATCCTTTCCAGCATACAAACAATTTCGAATATCGTTTTACAACGATAATTCGAACGAGAGATGTCGCCATCGCTTCTTAGAAACAATCTTTTCGTACTTTTTCTACAAATTTTAATTTTCAATCTTAAGTGCAGAAATTAGCACTAAAAAATTTAAAAATCCGTAAGAGGTTTGGAATCTGTATGGGGTTTTTATTTTACATGCAGCTTCTTAAAGTTTCAAATTCGTTTTAGTAACGTGGGAACTAGAATTTTTGAAACCAAATTTTTGCGTTTTAGTGTACCGTCACGTCATCCTTAGCTGTCGTAAAAATCAAATCTCCAACTCATCGGAAAGTTGATTTAAAATCAGTGTCAAGCTTTGACCCAAACGTGGTAAATAAAGTCTGTGGGGTAACTATAACTATAATATCGTTTTATACATTGTTCGACCTTATCCAGTTTTTAAAAAAGTTGTCTTCACACGAGCAAACAGGTCACTTGATGACTTTCTTACCTTTTTAAAGAAGGTTGGTCTTTGAGCACAATTGAGATGGAAAAATTAGAACGCGTTGACCCAGTAGATTTAAATGAGATCTTGTAATAGAAGTAACTTAAGAAACACTTCAACTTAACAGATCCAGAGGTCGAGTGGACTATTCATGCAACGACTTGAAATGAGTTATCAGTCATTAATTACTTTTTAATATATGTACACCCAATTAAAATTTAAAACACTGATGTAGTTTGTATAGAACATCGAAATATTTTTTAATATATAGTTACATATAGGTGTTAAGTTTGAATACTTACTTCTTAAGCTTTCGTTCTTTGTGAGCGTATGTCCCTTGGGGATTTCATTTGCCAGTGTTTTGTCAATGTTTTCTTTTACTCTTTCGTGTAGTGGATCTCTCCACTTTTTCATGTTTACTTCATCTTTCGATGGTGCTTTTTGCAGCGAAGTCTTTCGAGGTGTGGGTGGTAGCTGAAAGAACCATAATTCCGTTATCATCATAGAAGGGAATTGAGAACAGAAACGTATTGATAATCTAAACGCTGCTGTTTTGACAAAAGTTACTCAAATTTGGGAAAAAGAGTATTTTGTAAATATTTTAAAATTGGCTGAATCCCGTGACTTCGTCTGCGTTGGTTATTGTAGTAACAACTACATCGCTACTTACTGTGCTACTTACTTTATAAAAATCGTTGTTTCTTTAAACTTTAATAACTTTACGTTAAATGAAGGTATCAAAATATTTACAAGAGCCTAGTAGCTAAAAAGTAAATAAACCCTTAGAAAAATATATTGAAACTTATCCATAGTTTTTTTTTCACACAACGGTAGACCTAAAATGGTATTTGTATTATATCATTATTTCATTATTCATGGATTATCATTATTTCTTATTCTTATTCTTTACTGTACACAAAAATAATTACAGTTACAAATGAAGGATTACAAAAAAGAATACAAAGGCGAGCTTAACCCTAAACAGAGTTCTCTGCCAACAAACCTTTAGCAATAATTAAAAATAAATAATTAATCAAAGGAAAATTATTTATTGTATACATAGATAGTAGAAATGTCTCATTGACCACTTTCTGTGAAACAAATTTGAGGTCGCATTTAGGTTGTTCGATCTTTGTCTAGCAAATGTAACTTCCAGTTGGCGTTTGGGTCTTTGTTACAAACATGTCTATTTTTTTGACATAAACTTACCTTTGAAGTAGATTTTTCAAGCGGTGGTTTAGTTGCCATTTTTGTCTTATCTTCGGGTTTTGTTTTCTCGTCTTCCTTAGATTTATTAGTCTTCTCTGTGGATTTAAGTTTTTCAACTGTTATATTTTTGTCTTCTTTCTTTGATCTTTCTGCGAATTTTCCTTTTCCTTCTACCTTATTACCATCTGCCGGTTTCAATTTTTCTTCTGTTTTAGATTTCGGCTTTAAGTCTTTGATCTTATCCTCGGATTTCTCTTCATTTAAAACTATTTTACCATTTGTGGTCTTGTTATTTATCGGATTATTGTGTTTTGGATCGTTCTTCTCCGTGTGTTTTTGGTCTATGATCGTAACACTTTTTTCTTTAGGTTTTTCATCAATAGTTTTAACGGTTTTTAGTGTTGGTTTTTCCGGTAATTTTTCGTTCTTATCTTCAGTCTGTATTGTTTTCACAGTTTTCAACGCCGATTTAGTAAAGCGTGGTTTTTCATCAGCGGGTCTGTTTGCTTTATCTGCCTCTTTCGCAGCTGAGGGCTTTACGAGTTTCTCTTCCACTTCTTCAGCTACTCCGTTCTGATTATCTTTAATTGTCGTTTGCTTCTTTAGCACAGCTGTAAAAAATAAAGATTTAGAATTTAGTTGTGATTCCTACAATTTTCACTGATTGAATAAACGACACAAACATTGCGAGATATTTAATATTAAAAAGTGCATGAATTTACATCAATAATGTCGGAATATATTATAAGTAAAGAGCTTTTTAAGTTTAAAATTAAAACATGTAGTAAAAGTACGAAAAGATTGTCGCCGCTGTGGGAATCGAACCCACGTCTTCGGCTTTCGCGGCCTGACGCTCTTATAATGAATTTAAAATTATAAATATTTTATTGTAATATGAAAGTTTTTAATATTACAGAGTTACTAATAATGTAAAAACTCTTGTATATTATTGATCTGAAGTTAAGTAATTCTAAAGAGTATTTTTGTTAAAAAGCTTGCGAATGCAAAATAAATATTCAAATATTCAGCATTTGCAATAGCTTTTTAACCCCGGAAAAAGTCTCATTTTAATTGCATCTTAAAATTTGTTTATTTAAATTTTGAAGTCTAATAATAATAGTTAAAGTAAATGTATATAATGCCTTGAACTTTTGATGAAACTTAATGAAGAATTAAATCGTGATAGGTGAAAAGTTTATTTGTCAAGTTTTTTTATACAAGTACGATCGCTTGTAGCATATAACATTTAAAAAAAAAACGCCCCTCTCACCAAAGAATCAAGTCTTGTGTAGAGGATCTTTGAAAACATGAAATCATCAACACAAAGTACATCGTAAGTCGGAAAAGCTAATTGTAGATTTATTTTTTTCCGCGTGGTGGTCGCAGTCACAAAAAATAACTTCCTGCCTTTTTATACTCAGTTAAAGTGTTTTTATTTGGTGTTAATACGACGATTTGGTCAAAAATTTTACTTGCGATTTAACTTCGCAAAAACCAAATTTCCCAGCTAAAAGAAGTCCTAGTGTAAATGAAAATGTAGAAGGTTCTTGACCAATTTGTAGGAACACATGCGACGACCCTGTATCGGTGCAGTTTGATGGCATTCGACTGCGTAAATAAACACGCTCAGTGCCAAGATGGCCGACCTTCGCTATTTTAGCGTGGTAGCGTTTAAAAATCAACATTAATTTTAATGATGAGAAATATATCCAATGTAATCATCTGATATGAAAGAAAAGGAAAATCGCAGGGACCATTGCCAAAGAAAGGGTAATTTAATACGTTTATTGTTATTACATTAAATTAAATTAAGTATCGTAGATATTTCAATGTCTGAAATAAATATTTAAGTCTGGTTTATTTTGTTTCTAGCATATGATGATTTTTATTGCTTATAGCATTTCACTCATTTCGAGAGACTACATAAAAGAGTCTTTGCCGTATACAAGTGCAATATGCCTGGGCTATAGTTTGCATCATGCGTAAATTCATACTGAAGTATTAGCTGAATGTAGTTACACGTTATTTTTGCAAATGGCGCTTAAATTCATTACCGAACTGTATCATACATTTTCATTGGTTTAATTTTAGCGTTGAACGCATCGCGCGTTTTGATAAATCATAGCGTAACGCCGACAACTCGGTTTATTTTGTAAAATGTCTGTCCTCTCTAAAAATACCGCGATACGCTGGCGTTCGACGCCTCGGAATACATATCTGTGGACTGTTACAAAGCTCGCCAGAATACGTCACCACGGGAAACTGGAGCGTTCTTAATTACTCGTTAAGATAAAAACTAACACTTTATTGCATCTCACTGTCTTTATAAACAATAACAATTAATTTTTTTTTATTAAAAAAAACGAAGCCGACTTCAAATATCTAGTTATGTATCAAACATTTTATAATTGACTTTCAGGAGTTCCCTACGTATCTCCGGAGTCTAAGATCCAATACTAATGAAATTAATATGGGAACACACGGGAAGCACAAGCTTTCAAATAAATAAGTATCATCAAAATCGGTTCTCTCAGTCGAAAGTTCTGAGATAACAAACATAAAAAATACAGTCGAATTAAGAACCTCCTCCGTTTTTGAAGTCGGTTAAAAACTAATTATTGACAGTAAAAGGGATGTGGTGGCGACGGCAATTGGCGTAGTCATTGTCTTAAAAAACGTATGAAATAATAATATGAAGAAAAGAAATTTGCAAACCATGCGCCTTGGCAGTAAAAGGGCACGTGAATTTCAGATCGTTACCTATAAATATCCGTAAAACCGTGGGATTATGGACTCTGCGTTAATTTTCTGCTATTAAAACACAAAACTGACCGATTGGAGGTTAGGTAATCACCGTCGTTCTTTTCACTCAATAGTATCAACTTAACACAATGTGTTCACAAACTGTTAAATGTAGACTTCGTGAAGCACCCTCGTTAGCGCACAACACTTTCGCGTCATCCGCCTCCAAACTCCAGACTGGTGGAGTTTTCAACGAAGAGTCAAATGTTCAAAACCCATGTGCCCTGCCAATGTTTCGGGCAAGCTCTTGACGTCACCGTGTAGGTAAATATATACCAGCCTACATACATGTGCACTCAGAAATATAGCCCTCTTTCGAAGTGGCGTCGACGAAAAAATAAACAAGCGTTGAACTCGGACGATGCTGCCGATGTATTTAGCGCACGCGTCTTCGTAGACCGCGAACGTACAATTTGGCTGAATGAGTTGCCCCCACGATCGGCTTGTGAAATAAATAAATCAAAAACTATCCTTTTACCACGTCTGTATGCGTGCTTTAAATAACAATAGAGTTGCAATAAAAATTAATCTTGCGGAAGTAAATGAAATTTCATATTACTTGAATAAACAACGTGTATCGACTGCAACTTACGGTTAGATATCTGGTAATTTTGTAAAACATCGTTCTGTATTGAAAAGACACTTGATGAACTTGTACATACCGTCAGTCCCGTATAATACTGGATACTTTCAAAATTGGCACACAAGATTAGTCGACTCCAAAAACAAGATTATTCTACAATGTTCTGCTAGCATCAGGCAATGCTTGTAGAAAAATGAGACAATTCGATTTTAAGTCACTAAAAAAATGTTCATGTCTTAAAATTATAATTTAATAAATGCGTATTATGTGCTTAAATTGAGTCATTTTATTTTTATTTTCCGACTTCAAATTAATATAAGAGGATTTTTGATTAGAAATATTTATTTTATTTTATACGAGTTTATCAATAAGTCCGTACCTTATTGATAAGCTCGTATAAAATAAAATAAATATTTCTACATTTATTTTGTTGCATGTATACCTACAGGGTGGCTTTTCTAAGTGTATCCATTTTTTTATTAAATTCTAGACATAAATAATGATAAATATTTAAAATCACTCGTAAATAATTAATTACATTTATTTGAACTTATCTCAAAAAGTGCTTCATTTATACGCAAATCATTTATTTTATGCGCGATCATTCATAACTAAAACGCAATCAAGTGCGTGCACAGTAAAATTTAGGTATTTATGAATGACTACCGCATTGTTAACACGTTCTGTTTTTTAAGGGAATAGAATGGCATTTTTTTTTGGAAAGAAAACTTTGTTTTTTATTTCAATAAATGATTCTGAACCTCTCACTACAGAGTCTGAACCTCCTGTGTAAATTTGGGCACTTCTCAAAAAATCTCTCTGTATTCCATTTTGTAGCTTTACAGGATACATGCCAAATTGAGCAAAAACATTTTTTACGTTTTTAATTAGTGATGATAAATTAAGCAAAAACAGTTGATTAAGATATATAGTAAGATAATCGAAATATACGTTTTAAACAATAAGTCAGTACAACATGATTTTGACTCACCGTTTCTGAACATATTACGGAATTAATTGCCAATAGAATACCCGAAATAGATCAATTCGACAGCAAAATTCTAACTGCAAATATTCTGCATTGAGTCGCAAAACGCCGTTGTGTCGCAGTTTCGATGTTCTTTACAATGTTTATTCATTAAAGCTATTCTAGTAAACTACAACACCGCTGTTGACGCTTATTCTTGTATCGGTATTTAATCTGGTTACTTATACTTTTCTACGGGTTACACGTAGCTTGGTTAGCTTGCATTAGACGCATCACTCATGTTTGTGTCATTTCGATGGAAAAACTGGACTTGATACATTGAAATCAATCAGGTCATCACCTGGTCTTTTCAATTTATCAAGTCTTATATTCCGCACACTATTTTGCTTAGTCGTTTACTTCTGTTTAAAGACTCCGGTGCATATAATAATTTATGCCTTCCGTTCCAGATGAAGCATTATATACAATGGTCCGGAAACGAATTGAAGCACAAACATGAATTTTAGAAAAAAGGTCGTAAGTTGGCCTATTTGTTGCTCGATAAGCCCTGTAGTATCAACGAGACATGACAAAGAGACATGCGCTATCTCCTGCCTGTCACACAAAGAGCATAACAGGGAAATTAGATTTTATTTAACGCTTCTTGAAAGTTGTGAAGTTTTTAATGGGATATTTGACTGTAATGACGATTTGAGTTAAGAAACGACAACACGTCCCGTCCTTGATGAGTGAAGACTCTGTGTACAGAAGCACTGCTACGTTCCACTGGTGGAATGGCATGACATTTCTGATAGGATTTCTTCGCCAATCCAAAAAAGTTCTTGATCAATGGGTTTCGATTTCATAAAATGTGATTCAAACTCATTTTTCAGTAAGGAATATTGAATAAAGTAAAATTTTATAATGCAACTATGCAATATAAACCTTAAAACTTTGTTAGATAAATTGATAAAAGGGTTAGTAATTCGATATTTAGTATAAAGACCTCAAGGCAAATGGATTGTGTCTAAACCAGCAAACCGGAAAAATGGTAATCGTAAAAGTCTTGATACAAATAAAAATGGCCCAAGTTCAAGATTTATTGGCAGCTTGTTTTCAATAACAACACTGCGATTTAATTTTAAGAATTTAAGATATATACCATACATTTAGGTTTAGATACGGGAATGGTAATGTCGACGTAAAGGGTTACACCTTTCGAATTAACACTTGATTTTTACCCTATGTAGAACCCAGGATGAAAATAAATTAAGTACCTACTAAAGGATTGATATTATTGACGAATTAAATTTATATAGTAGGGTTCTTAAATCAGACTGCCTGCCATCTGTCTGTGTTCTGATTAACAGGGTAGAATTTCTTCACTTCTAGTGTTAACTTCTTTTTCCGATAGATGTCGCTACATGAATCACATTCGCATATTTCTTAAAATTTTTACTACCCTCTTTTATAGACCAATAAAGTGGCGAGTAAAATTACCATCTAAAAGCAAGCTTTAAGTATAAATCTTTTAAATGTTCGCTAAAAGGACCACGTTCAAAAATGCACGCTTGCCTCTTAGATGGTAATTTGTCGTTTTGTTGAACTATACCAAGGATAAGGCAGTGCATAACTTGGTAGTTACTATCCCCCCTAACGATAAATCATAATGTAGTATAAGCTCAATGAAAGATTGGCTATGTTTTTTACGTTCTCCTTAGGAAACAAACACACGAATCTGGAACAATTATATCTGTCGGTACATAAATACTTGTCCCATGAGGGAATCGAATCCACGGCTCCCGACGTCGAAGCCAATACCTTAGCAACTGCGCCACTGGGTCGTGTCTTGAAGAAATAAATTAAGGAAGAAACTCAAAATTTTTTCGTTCTTTTTGTTGTAAGTAGTGACGTGCAAGAATAGAATGAATTTGACCATCTAGGCGTCCATCGTTAGAAGAGAGATGGGAATTAAACCAAATACATAAATCCTGCGAAAACTGAATAAAATGTAGTTTAGTATCCTATCAACGAGATAAGTTAGCAACATTTCGTCTGTGCTCGACTGATTAGATAAGTTATTTCAGAGTCAAAGGCCATATTCTTTATTTGCAAGAGGAAAATCAAAAATATCACCATGCTCAAGATTAGACCATAGGCAAGTTAGAATCATGCAACTTAGGCTTTTAATGGATTCGCCTAAGTCAACAGATAAGGAAATTATACTGTCATTAACTGAATGTAGACTTCCAAATAAATAAAGATAGTGTTTCAAGTCTATTTATGCATATTAATATTTTTTTTCTTCGTTTTAGTATTTTGTCTATACCTTAAATTCGAAATGTTTACTAACTTTACACAAAACGGTAAAACGTCATGTTCGAATAAGATATTATAAAAATGATTTGATGTGAAATGATTTTGTTGTTTCTAACTTTTATTTAAATTTTCATCATCACAGATTACAATATCACAATAAAATATGAATATGCAATATAGGTACATTCTTTTGAATGAAGATTAAACTCTGATAAGCGACTCAATAAAAACAAATGTTGATTGTGATGAATGTTCATGCTTACGAAATTTCGTTAAATGAATAAATAACTCACGTTTCAAAGATTTCGGAGCGGGTTCGTCGACGGATTTCGACGTGGTGTCCATAGTCTTCGTGGTGCTTTCCACAGGTTTCAGCTTCTTTTGGGTCCATGCTGGCGGTGCCTCCGCGTCCTTGTCTTTGACCCAAGGCGGTCTAAAGCTGTCCCGTCTCGCCGTCGTCACTTTATTCACGTTACCGATGGGCATTTTACCGTCCTGCGGTCAAAAGTGTTACGAGAAACTTCACAACGGACGACTGATATAAACTTCTTCCATGTACAGTTTTTATAGTCTGTGTTGGAGTGATTTGTTCTTTTAAATCTATTGAGAAGTAGGTTGCCCGTTTTCCGGAGCTTGTTGTTAAATATTAAAATAGATATCAGATACGCATGTTAGGGCAAAGCATCGAAATTCAAAGGATTATTTCACGCAAGTTATTTTCTGTGGATGTGAACGATTATTTTTTGTTCACATCTATTTGGACTTTCTCTTGATATTTTCTATTTCCCTGAAATCTGGGAATTATTAATGATAAATGAAATATTATGTACATAATTAAGTTCAATTATTTTGAGATGTTCTCATTTTCAGTGGAATTTTACGTAATATATTTATGAAATTTAATTTGTTTTATAAATTAAATTTCAAGTAAGTAAGTGTCCTATGATATGTAGGTATTTATATATTAAGCTTGATAGGTGAAAAAAACAGTAAGTACAAACATTTTGATATTCTAAAAAGTTTGTATTTTATAGTCTATAATAAAACGTTTTTGTGATTTTGTCGGTTACCTCTATTTATGTGATGTTGAAAGAGTGTTGTAACTGGATGGTTATTTTTGTCCAATGCTATTGTAATTTTAGTAGCGTGTTTATCACGGAGCAAATAAGTATAATTTCCTACTTTTAATGTTATTAATTGTATCATAATCACGTGACTACAATATTATTTACTGAATAACTCTATATATTTTTTAATACTTTTTCGTTTTAAAATCATGAGTAATTGATTTTAATACTGTTTTATTATTATAATGATCTTCATGGTAATTAATAATTTTTTAATTTTCTCTGGAAATTTAAAAGCAAAACTGTTGAAAAGAAAACAAAAATATTTTCATCAATAAATATTAAAACAATGAAGTTAAAGACAAAATGATACAAAGTTTCTAGCGCGTGATAGCGGATGATAGAGGCGAATAGTTGGCAAAGATTATACATATTTATGCCTATTTTACGACACTAAAATATTTGTATGAAACACAAGTAAAACTTATTTATTACTATGCATGATTGTTAATATTGGAAAGTGAATTGATGAAAATTTTATCGCCGATCGGAGACTTTGATCGTCGATAACCCTAGCCGCCCTACGTTGAATGAAAATACTATCGAACAAATGGATGAATTTTCAACTAGTTTACAGTTTATTAATTATACCCTAACATCTAAACCATTCAGTGCAGAAGATGAAAAATAGCAACAAACCATTCGTAATGCATAAATTAGAATTTTTTACTACTGGTTATTAATTATATAGGTCTAAGCGTGTGTTCAAAAAAAGGTTCTTAATACTCTTTTCTTACGTCAATCCACTTGTATACGTGTAGCTGTCTGTGTAGTGTTATTTTTACGCACAATACGTGATTAAGAATGGTTCACTCAAATGCAACGCACCAAACATAACACGATAAAGGATCAGCCGGTCATTATATATTTTGGGGCTGGATTTTACACTAGATTGTGGAAAAGCAACGTGTTTGGCTCGACTGCGGAGACGCGGCGGCGGTTGCGCGTGGTTCGCTACTACCATCGGAATTTCAACTCCGAACAATCTTCTGGAACTTATAAATAGTCCCGAGTCGTGCGTGTACGGGAGAATCGTTTCTATCAACAAATTATATGCGGTGTTCGGTCACGCTTGCCTTTGCTTAATTATGTTTTAAAAAATATATTCTGAGGTAATATTTTTGCGGCGCATTATTCCGCTTCCTTATAACATTTTCATACAGTAATTCTGGAATGTTCAAATCATTAAAAAAAAACTAATACTTCTGATTAAATTATACCGTAACAATGTGAAAAATTTATAAGAAACTGTACCTATTTTATAAGTTGAGGTTGTGCTTCGTGTGGAAATCGGTATTATTGAATTCTTGGTCGGTCCACGGTTTTTGTATAGTTTTTTTTAAATAGTGTCTCTTTTATTTAAATAGGTTTATAAAAAATGTATATTATAGTCAACATATATAAGTTCCACTGTTGGGCTAAAGTCTCTAAAAGGCTAAAGCCTCTGTACTAACTGTACACTCTTTTACGGTAAATTCCAACACGCAATCGTAACGCGGATTGGTGGACTTCACAACATCCTCGAAACATTTTGAAAATGTGCTTCAAATAAAAAGATAAATAAGCGATGCAGAATTCAATTCCAAAAATAATATCATTGGTGCCGGCACTGGGACTGGGATTTGGACTCCGGTTGATCGAGTATGTTGAATTAAAATTACACACTTATTACTATTTTAGTATTTTTATTAAAATTACTTTTTCAACTATCCGGTACAGATGTCAGACACCTTATTTTTGCTTATAAACACGATCATTACCAGTATTTAGGCTATGTATTATAAAATAAAATTATAGGGATTCTCTCGCGTTTATTTTCGTTATAAATTAGTGAAGCCACGAACTCTTCACACTCTTTACAGCATTCATTGTCTGAGTCAAAGCAAATTTTGTAAAATAGTTTCGCTTAACAATATCGTGATTGATATTAAGCTTACAACAGTTTCATGAATAAAATTTTCTATAAGGTATTTGCCGCTATTAGTTAATAGTAGGAATAGAACCCGAAACTGTAGACACTGAGTACAACGAAGCGTTACGTTTCAACTTAAGGATATCAAAAGGAAATTAATTATTAGCTAAAATAAATAATAAATATTTTAGGACACATTTTTACACAACATTTTCTAGTACCAAACTAAGCAACGCTTGTACTATGGATACTAGAAAACTGATAAACATACTTAAACATACTTTTCTTTTGTAAATAAATACATATTATAGATATATAAACACCCAGACACTAGAAAAACACTATGTTCATCACACAATATTTTTCCAGTAGTGGGGATCGAACCCACACCCTCTGGCGCAGGAGGCAGGTACACTAAACACTACGCCATTCAGGTCGTCAAATATAAATCACCTTTGAGTTCTTTCTTCTTATTGGCACAACATTTGATATTGTGAATGGTATTACTCTGATTGTTACGACCGGCCTCCTTCTTGACAACAAACCTCTTTGGGAATAAACCAGATCCGGAACATTTATTTGTAGGTCGTGCAAATACTACGCACATAAAAAAAGATTGTTCCTGTGGAAATCGAAACCATAACCCCCGGTGCCGAAGCCAATAGCTTAGCAACTGCGCCACCGACTTATCCTTACAGATACAATTGTATATTATTTCACTGGAAGGGCCACGGGCAGGATTATCCGCGGTAGTATGAACTAATGGGATCACAAAAGATCGATGTAAATCATTATTATTTTTATATTTCTTCGGAAGTGAGAGTAATAGGACTCTTGCAATACACGATTATCTTCTCCGCGATAAGGCTGTATTGAAGTATTTTCTACGTTGATTTTCTACATTTATAAAATGCTTATTCTATCAATAAAATGTATTCACAGTGCACCTATAAAAAGCAACTTTTATCCGTTGGGTTAATGTTTTAGAAAAATCAATACCGCTCATCACTTCTTGGTACTTCATATTGCCACATTGGTATTTTATTAATATGTATAACTATTAATTGTATTGTTTTATTTTAATCATATTCAATGAACAAAATTAGAAAAACATTTGAAGACTACTTTATAACATTTTCAGTTTTTGTTTGGGGGTTTTCATTACATCTGGAATAGAGAATTAGTAATGTCAACAGTGAACAAAATAACTTTTCCGCGCTATAAGTGGTGAAAAAAATAGATCTTGCATTATCGCTCTATCTTGCTGAACGCCGGATGGTTTTTAAATAAAGTATATCGTCCAGCGTCACAACTTCTATTTTTGATGCTTTCCTGTCTTATGTACGCGCTACGAAGACACGAGTCTACAACGGACATGCATTGTTTTTTCTTAAATAAAAATAGTTTCGAACGAAACGCGTTACTATTGACTAAATGGGTTATTTGAAAATTAAGGATTATTCTATGCTTTAAAGTTACCACATTGAATATGAATGGCGCGTGACAGTCCGAAAGACTTTAGCTCTGTTCTATTTTAATAAGCCTAAGTTATGAAATAACACATTACAATTCAGTACCGTGTACAAAACATTGCGAAATACGTACCACTTTATAGTATCAATGTTGCTATACTCACTTAAACTATACATATTTATTGCTTTTCCATATGAGTATTCTTCGAAGGTATATTCGAAATAAAAGAAAATAAAAATAAAAATAGATATCTACCTTTGAAAATTGTTTTCATTTCAGTATTTAAGTTCAAAAATGTCAAAAGCCAATTGCTGGTTTAGTTACTTATTTTTAAAAATCACTTATTTTTATAATACACAAACAAATTGTTGTGCAAGGACTGACGCGGATGACCATGAAGCGGATGGTCCACAGAAGTTGAGATAGGTGCATAAATAAATCCTTCCTACCGGGTTCCCGCCTTGTCCTGGCGAAGGGTCTTAGTAGACGTGGCTTGGTCACCCACGGTATAGCCAAGAGAAACCACACTGGGCCGGCCAGTGGCATAAAGCCGGCCCGAGGGAGACCCGACGCTCCAAGTGGGCTCATTGGCCCACTTTACTTACTCACTAAAGGGAAGGGCTCCCGCGAGGGGCTGATGATGCAGCCAGCGCTGGTAGGGTCGCGGAAGAGTGCGAAAGCGTTCCCGTGGCCCTGCTATATGCGCCCCGATATGCGCCCTAGATGGAAAATTGTGGGGGTTTTAGTCGGTGCGAGTCTGACATAACCCGTCCATGCACACACGAGGGCGGCTATGTGTAGATATTTCCCCCACTTTAACAAAGAAAAGGTGTACAAATAAAATAATAAAAGACAATTTTGACTAGTCCAGAAAAGAGCTCATTAATAATTCCGCGTTAGGGTAACCAACCATGGTTATATATTATATATTAATTCGTTTATATAAAATAATAAAAATTACCATAATACCAGCGAACTGGAGAAGAATTTAATTCAGGAACTAAGGGCAAGTTGTAACATATACGAGTATAAATAAATGATAAATTTTTGGCCTTTAGCAACTGATCGAAAGTCTGCGCCGTGCATCTTTTACGTTTACCATTTTAGTTGCAATGTATAAAATCTTTCATAATTGACGCGGAGAATCTATTCAAGGTCTACTGTGCACCTGCTGTGGAAGGTTGGTTATGCTACCCGTTTCTGATCGAGTTCCACATACCCACTCAACTCTACTGATCTGGAAGGGCGTGGGTCCGTAAAGGTTTTTTCCCGCGTGAAAAAATAGTGCCACGTAGCAGTGTTTGCTGTCACACGAAAGAAAAGAAATGTCCGGGGAATTAAGAACCAGGTTTTATATCGTCTGGTGCGCATTGGAACTAGGTATGTTACGGGTGTTGTATGTGTCTATTGGCTACTGTATGTACCGTTATACTGTATGTAAGAAAATCAAGACCATTTCGCTACGCTCACGCATATAAAACATGATAATGAATGGCACTATGATGGCAAAATTTGTGTGCCAAATATGAATGTACGTGATATCAAAGCCTGCGTTAAAATAATTGATCGTTAAATACAAAGATGACATCAGAAGAACGTTAGACGTCCAAATTGTGATATCTGTTTTACCCGAATAGTTCGCTTAGCATTTAACTGTTACTGTGTCATTTCATTAACATTTAGCCGCTGGAAGGACGCCAATTCCGCTGGAGCTATATCCGTGACAAGGGTTATGGAAAGATGTTCAGCGCTTAAAATATTTGAAATGTTAGATACACAAAGCAAGTTGTGGGTTCAATTTACACACGATAAAAAGAATTATGTGATGTACGATTATCTCTAAGTTTGGGTTAGAATTTTGTAGTACCTGTTTTAATATTCAACTCATTTTATTTTACCTATGGCTCAATCGTAGCATACAACGAGTATATAAAAAAATCCATAAAAACTAAAAATGTTAAAGTTCCATCATAACAATGGTGATGGTAGGCAAAGATCGCGGTATGTTTCAACAGGTCAAAGCTGCGAAGAACAAACAATTACTCGTATACTATAAAGGTCTTGTTAACTTCAACTCTTTTATAATTTCTTTTTAGTATTCATTTTCACTTACCAATGTGGCTTTTTAATAGATAATTTGATGTAAAATCTTCGCAGGCAGGATTCAAACTTGCCCCTTATGGGTGAGGTAGCCAGATGCTTAACTAGCTCAGTTGAGTAAAGCGTCTGGGTATACCTATATACTGGGTAAACCTATATATATCATATATCGGAAGATATCCTCACGGCTCGAAAAAGTGGACTGTCTTATTTAATTTTTAATTTTTTTTTTATCTTTAGCAATGCTCGGCGCCACTTGGTGAGCAATTTCACAGTACAACGCCGAAGGATTCTCGTCGATTTATGTATTAACACCACATTAAAATTGAACTCATTAAATTTTCATCCTTTTAAATAAAAATAAAATAAAAAATCAGATAGTTTAAGCAACAGTCCAATGTTTTATTTTATTTTATTTCACTATCAAAATGCAAGAAAATCAGTGTGGGGCTTCCTCGCAGATTGCCACGAAGCACGAACCGGAGTCAACTGCATCCATGGACTTCCTGCACATTTGCACAGGTCGTCACTCCATATAGTGGGGGGTCGTTGTATACCACGATGGCCAATACAAAGTTGCCAAGTTGTGAACCTTTCTCAGCATCGGTTAATCGTTCTTCCCGACCCATTGCCACTTCAGTTTAATAATTCTATGAGCTAAGTCGGTAAACTTTGTTCTGCTGCAGATATTTTTATAGCGATTTCTATCACGCAGGGAAATGCCGAGCATAGCCCGCTCCATAGCTCGTAATACGAGTAGCTGTATAACCATAAGTATAACGACTTCGTTAATCATCTCTCTCATACACACCCAGCATGGACAATGAGCGTAGTATAATTTATTCCGGCTCTGATCATCCATGTGTACCGGCGCCGTACTTCCGGCATGCCGCGCCCCCTGTTTAGAAACTCGAGGGTTGCCATTTTCTAAATAATTTCATTTATTATCATAATAAATGTAATAAACTACAGTTCAGTTAAACATCGGTATTATTACCAGAGAAGTTCCTTTTTTAGTGAGATATGTCGGAGGATAAATTTCCATCATGTTTACCTGAAAAATTTTACCTTTTAGAAATTGTACATTTAATTGATTGTATATGACACTAGTACCTATTACTAAATAATACTGAAAAGTAAGTATAGTAAGTGTGATGTCGAGACAAATAAACGTGACAAAATCTGTTTAAAAGTTTAATTTACAATGTTTTGACCTCGCTAATTTCTAACAAATCTTTATTTGATTCATATTAATTGTTTAAACGTCTAACGTTAGTTGTTTTTAATAGTTGTTATACTAACCAGAAATATTCCAACTTCCTTATTCAAACTTAAGACTGAATTTTAGTTTCAAAATATTTCTTTCTTAAGAATAAAACATGTCAAATTGCAGTTCTCTGACATAGTAACGATAGAATTAGCATTAAAAGTCTACGAAGATGTTTTTCTTCTTATTATAAAACGTATAGGCTCACGATCAACACCGCAAACAATACGGTTCCGAAGTCATATCGTTTCAGAAATACCGCTGGCGACGTCTGATTCCACAGAGTGGTCGTGGGTGGCAGCTGATTACAAATGTTTATTGCTGCCAATAGACAAAAACGGAATTTGAGTCGACGACGACTCATCATCACCTTAGTCTGTTTTACTCCTCTGCTGGGCATTGGCCTGCCCACAGACTGCTATCAACTTGCTCTATTGGGCTGTCCATCTATTGGGAATCGTACTACGTCCTGGGAAGTCAAATATTACGTATTAACTATTGCGAATTACAGTATTATGAACATCGTAAGAAACGCTCTTTTCCGAGGAGTGTCTGCCCTAGCTTACAGGAAGATAGCCGCACCTTCTGAAAAGCAATGACTCGAAGATAATGATACGTCCTTAATTATATAATAAGACGGGGAAAATGAATCAAGGTCTTCTTCGGACATTTCTGCATCATTGTCTTCCCATTTGTTTGTTCTAATGTTTAATTCATCTCATTTTATTTGTCCTTTCCTTGCATTTTATCAATTAAAAACATTTAATAAATTTCAATATCACGCGTTGTTGCTTCATACATTTTATTTTGAAGTTTTTATAACACGTACAATTACTTTCTTTATAATTTAAACGGGTGACGCCATGGGTTAAGGTCAACTCGATCATTAAATGGGAGCCTAATCACTCACAGACAACGCGCGCCATGTTATGTGTGATCCCTACTCAAAATAAATATCGTTATTCGTGTTTTCGTTTAAATCTTGTTATCAAGAAATAGGTATTTCGGATATGGATCTAGGAATCTATCTCTATTTTTGTTTAAAAGAAAATAACAAAATTTTCGGGCATACGAACATTCACCATAGATCAATCGCATTCGGGGGGATGATATAGGTTAAGTTACATTTAGTATATAAAATTATCACATATTTTTTTAAAAATTCAAGCCATTCAAAAATTACTTATGGCATTTAATTGACGTGACATAGATCGGATGGCCTGGATGTATTCAACTCATTGATCAACCTCAATTTTATAGTGTGAAACAATCATGATAAATTGCTAATAATAGCTGTTTACTTATGTAATCATAATTATATACATATTAAAATTTTTGACTTGGATAAATTAATATAATGTTTACAAAAAATAAGAAAACTGCCTCTATACCTAACGTTAATGGGTCCCGGTCTTCTAAGCCGATATAGTGCTATGCCTCTAAAAAATTAATATTTTTGATGCCATACTTTTGATGAAAAGGTTACCTATGCCAATTACGTCAGTTATTTGTTTATCGTGAATCACTACATGTTTTTAAAGGCAAACACTTGAAAAAGATTTTCATTGCTAGTAATAATTTTTACGACTTATTTGTAGTAATTATTAGTGCAAGTCGATTTAAAAGAAAATATTTTTTAATGTATAAGACATTTACGTTATACCATACCTCAAGGTAGACAAAAAGAATCAAACAAAAACACAATACCGACTTTGATCTTAATTTAAATATAGGTGTAAATAAGGTAATCAATCCAGAATAGAGGTGTTTTTATTTTAAACATTTGGTTGAAACTTATCCCACGACGATATCTCCTGGAAGAGGGCGTCTCCGGGGTCCTCGGTGTTCCTGAACTGACTATGGCTGATCAGCTTATACTCCTGTAGTCTTTCCACCAGTCTGGAACTGTACTCCAGTTCCACTCCAGAGTATATCAGCTTCTTTGCACTTTCAATTCGATGGCTTCGGTTCATTTATTTTTATTGCAAAAAGATAAGATGTAATAAATGTTAGTGATGCTGCAATTAGCAACTTAGGTAGACTATGTTAGTCTGTTATATCTATTTCCATCCCGTCCGTCCGAGAAATACCACGACCTCGCAGAAGACCGACGGGAAGTGGAAGTGTTATACTTCTGCGTTTCGTCTAGCGAGTGAGGTAGCCGGGGTCCACTTTATAAAAAGGTGGCAAAGCAAATCTGCAACGCTACCGGTGTGCAAATGTCAACATGCAGTGGTTATTACTTAACATAAGGCTACCTCGCTTGCCATTTTCTCTCATGATAAAACAGCAAAACGCAAGAAAAATTCTAAATGTACTTTTTAAGGTTCCGTACCCAAAGGGTAAAATGATCATCAAGAATGCAATAGAAATACATCATCTGTGAAAATTTCAACTCTTAGTAATAGTATCCCGTTTGACCCTTTGGGTACAGAAAGCTAAAAATATGCCTGGAATAAGTAATTCTAAATATCAAATCAAATCCTTTTCAACGTCAGTTTTAATTAAAAATCTCATGTTATAAAAAGCAATGTGTTTAAATAAGATCGATATCTTATCGCACCATATTAATACGAGTTCTTAATGTTAAAATATTAAGTTACGGTGGTTCCCCGTAAACTGGTTATTATTTACATCATTGGTAGAGTTTGCTACTAACAAAACACGTTTTTATGTATAAGGGTTTTTATGTATAAGTATGTATAACTTACATACAACTGACAATTGTATAAATTATGTATAACTTACAGAACACCGATAGTCTCTCTACTGTGTACTCTGTGCTCGAGATTGAACAATCTGGATAAGTCAGGGTCATCAATAAGTCTCCTTGCAGCACTCTCCTCCGGGACCCGGCTTTAAAGGAAGTTGTCTTGGGGTGAAATACTGCCTTACCTTTGCAAGGACCCCCAACTTATCGCTGCTGTCCTATATTCTATGAACCAAGTACTATACTCTTACTACTAGATATTAAGGACCTTTAACTTTTTCTTTCATGCATTTAATGCAATAAATATGTTTAAAATCGGTTCATAAATGACGGAGTTATAAGGTAACAAACGTAAAAAAATCATACAACCGTACCAGAACAGTAAAACTGGGCCCTATGACTAAGACTCCGCTGTCTAGCTGGCTGTCTGTCTGTCACCATTCTGAATCTCATGAACCGTAATAGTTAGACAAGTAGAAATTTTTACAGATGATGTATTTCTATTGCCGCTATAACAACAAATATTAAAAACAGGATAAAAAATGTTTAAGTGTGGCTCTTAAACGGTAATGATACGGAACCAATCGTGCGTGAGTCCGACTCGCACTTGTCCGGTTTTTTGATGTCGGTTGAAAAAGAAACGCGTTTCACCCGATGTTACTGCTTCCATTGGCAACTGCACCCGTGGGTTTGGCTTGTCAAACATTATAAGGTGCTGGGCTTCGATCACCCATTCACCAGAGGCAAATGAAGAAGTAAAAATACTTCTAATTTACACCGGTCCAATGTAAGGACGACGTACTTCCTCAGACAAACCGGTTCATTCGTGTAAGAGAAACTACTTCGTGGCTCCACTAAAGCATAAATAATTGATTTGATTTTGACTTGACATTTGAATTGACATTTCGTAATCGTTTGCTAATAACATGGTATCTTTACAAATCATATTTATCACATAGTTAATAAGTATGAATCATGTGATATAATAGCTCGTTATATTACGTTAACTACATTATAGAGATGGTATCTTTAATTATTATTATTTGTCAGCTTTTGTTTCGGTCGATAACAAGTTCCGGGGAATTACCTGTTAGAGTGGAGAGTACAATTGTTATGTAACCATGGGGCCTTTAATAAATTAGTTAAATAAATGGAATTAACTGTAATATTGAGTTTGACGATTAAATTTAATGAAGTAAAGAAAACTTTTTACTTTTACTTTAGAGCAATGGAAATAAAGTCAGTGCATGAAAGTGATGTTGTTTTTAATTGAGTGTTTAAAGCACTGGAGAATTCATGTCTGATTTCTGTGTTATACTTCGATTTGAGATGATAGAAGAAAGAAAGTAAGAAGATTTAATGGCAAGAAATGTCCTCTTAGCTGTAGTCAGGAATGTTGCAATCCAGCACTCTTAGATATGAGCTTTTTCGCGATTGGAAGATTTCGGTTTAGTGATTGCGGGGTAAATTGGCAGTAGAATATGAAGTCAATTGAAGATAAAATCTTGGAAATATTCTAAAAAAGAAAACATTTAACATAGGCTACATACACATCTATGTGTATATGTTCATCGTTCTATTCATTAAAGATAGTGAAGGTCTTCCGCCATGCAGCTTTAATTGCAATTACGCACTTCCTGTATGTTCTTTATTTTTTAAATCTCCTTACTCCTGATCTTATACCACCTATTTCTACACAACGTGCGATCTTAATCGCATTACAAAACTTCGTTATTAATGTGAACTGCCTGCTAACGATCAAGCTGGCAGAGTCACATGAAATAATAAAACAATTTTGAACATTTTTAAATCCAGTTTTGAACACTTTGATATGCTAAGCGTGATTAACTGGTAATAGCAATTTTGGAAAACACATCCAATATAAGCTTATAAGCCACTTTTAATAATAATAATAAAATACAGTAATTACAGTTTAAAGCAACTATAATAAAACTCAATGCGATTACGGACATGCTATGACATTTATTAGGAAATTTCGGGAACACCGTGGGTGTTAAGATGAGCTTGTGTACACAAGAATACATTTTGGTCCGTTTAAAAGAAGAAAAATTTAAAATAAATTTTAATAATTTTATAATTTTCAATTTTCTTTATGCTTTGTTTAGACCGAATGTTAAATTAAAAATAATACACAATAACGGTGCCAAATGTTCCAAAGCGTGAAGACAATGCTGTTTTATCTACTCTACATCATCAAGGAGTAAAACAACCTGTGCTTTATCAACCTGTCTTATAGATCTAAGAGAATGACAAGTATCAACACAAGTATATACAGCTCTTTCAGCAATTTAAAATTGTTTAATTTCAGATAGCATCATCATCACGATTTCAGCTTGTATGAGTCCACTGCTTTACATAAGCCTCCTCCACAGGCTATACGAAGCATGATCCTGGGCCACATACATCAATCGACTTCCGCTCATTTGCAAAGTCACTCCATCTATTGACTGGTCATCCTACACTGTAATGGCCAAACAAGGCTGCCACTCGAGAACCTTTCTTCTCCATCGGTAATTGATTTTACAAGCTACTTACTTGGTCGACCCAATACCACTTCAGCTTATTAATCTTCCGAATTATGTTGGTTTGTATGTTACATCCAAAAATTATTATCATTACTGGAAGAAGATACAGTTACTCGTTTGTTTCTGAGAATAAATCATGCTCTCAAAAGGCGCAATTAGAGTGATTTACAATCAAATAATGATAACACCATCTATAATCGTTATTCGATGATAAGATAGCGTTGCGTAAGACTTTGTGTGAAATTACTGTAATAGTTTGCGATTTTGCAAGGTGAGATAGTAATTGAATTCATAGAAAAGGAAAATATTAATAGGTGGACAATGTTATTCTGGCTCCGGGTTATCATTATAATTGTTGAGATAATTTTATTGGTCGTGAGCTCCTAACTGCTGTATTCAGCTTAGAAATAACTAAATGTCCATCGCAATTCTGGTTCTGGTAATATGCACTAAAGGCAAATATTTGACTTTCTGGAAGGTAATTTCCCATTGGAGCCGCGGTGAACAATAAATGTTATATAAAAACTCTACTAAAAGCTTAACAACATTGTTGATTTATTGATCGGCGTTGTAAAGAAAATGTTGGTGCAGTCATACGTTTATTGATCATATATCTAAGGAAAATCGGTCCCAAGTAGAAATTTCGCGGTACAGCGCCTCGCCCGGACATTCCGTCGGCGTCACTTGTCGGTGACCGAGCAACTTGTAATCTGGACGTATGTAGCCCAATTGAACGCCAGTTGAGATCAGCCGTTTCACGGTTTCCAGTTCATTTCCCGGCGGCAGTTTAGCTGCGAAACGATTGTTGGTTTAATATAACATAGTTCACATTATTCGTACTTTAAAAAGATGAGAAAATTAACTTGACTGTAACTTGCGGCCGCATACACTTTAATAAACATTAAAATGTTGTTCAATTTTTTATTTGCGGCACAAATATTACGAATAATAATGAGCACTTATAAAGTAATCCGTACATTGAGTAGGTTTTAAACGTTAAGAAATCAAAGAAATGGAAAACTGTGTAAGATTCGAACTCAGGGACTTTACACCACTAGGCTACATCGTTCTTTACAGCAATGCTGCTATTTGGTTAACCACTTACCGCGCCAATCTCCAATCAACACTATCCCGATGCTCTTGACGTTGAAGCCCACGGCGTGCGCGCCAATCGCATTCCACCCGCGTCCTTCGTACACGGCACCATCCCCACCGACAGCGAAACTAGTTAAAAAATATTTACGTCTACAATTAATAAAACAGTTTTTGAAAACTGTTTTCACTATCCTCAATACCATTTCAGCCTTTTAGAGTCTCCGCCACCGACTGCCACGAAGTACGATGTTTTATCAAAAACGTTTTATTTTCACTTAAATAGTCCCACATTCGCATCAGGTTTCGGGTCCAATAATGACTCTAATCCGATTGGTTTTTTGAGTAGTTAAATATACACGATTATAATTATAATTATTTAATTAACATATTTTATGCAACACTATTTTCTTAAAACATAAGGAATATTTGTGCCTAAAATTATCCAAATTATAATCAAATAATTTATTCTAAATCAGAGAATTTAGCGCAGTAATTAAAATCATTGTTTTATCGCGAAAGTAGCACAAGTCGCCCAAATACAAAAACAAGACGTAAAATACGTAATACACTCCAAATTTAAGATTATTTATAATGTTTAATGCAAAATGTTATTACTTGTATCCTATGTCGACCCATCCTTGGGTTATTTGGTGGAAGTTTTGCATTGACCTCATCGCCCCTGCACAGGCCTCTCTGGTGTAGCACGCTGCGGGCAGGTAGCTGTGGTGGATGACCACGTAGGGGACTGGGTGGCTAAGGTTGGACGTGGCGAAGGGCCGTCGAGCACCCCATTCCTCTCTTGACACGAATTGAAATGTCTTTACCTCTGCAAAATAAAAAATTATCAGTTAAAATATTGAGCTCTGTGAATGCAAAGGAAAAGAAATATGTTATAACACATTTTAGAGTTTGTCTGTGTTTACAAATTATTATTCATCCACACAGTTTTCTGTGGGATCAAAAGTGTCTTGTAAGTGATGTAGTTGCTCGGTCCAGACGATTTGTCTTTATCAGGTTTCTCACGGAAAGCTATAGTTTCCACGAACATTTTTAAAAAACAGCTAAGTTCAAATCTCCACGAAACAACTTGATGTTGTTTAAATATATCAGTATTTATTCATACCGAGCTGGACGTTAGGCGAATAGAAACACAAATAAAACATGGATGAACGACCAAATCAGAAAAAAAAAATCTGTAATAAATTGTTAACATTTAGAAATATAAGGAAGGCCATTCAACTTACCACATCGGTTTCTAAAGGAACGGGGGTAGCAATGTGCAACTACAAATAATGCTAAAAATACTGCTAGTTTTTCTACTCCCATTGTCCTGTAACAATCAAACGAATGCATTAAATTAAATATTTCAAATTTCACACAATAATAAATAATAACTTGATAGATATAAATCTATAAGTGTCATTGAAATTGATTGGTGATCTTAACTCTGACGTATCGATAAAATCGGCGGTGCTTTAACGCCACTGCGTTATTTCTCATTGATTGTTATCTTAAAGTATACTTTTAGGTGTAATACTCATTAACCTTTTAGATTTCGGACTGTGGAAAATTACAAAATATACGACCGAGTGATTTATACACCTATTGAATTTATTACTTAAATATCCATTATTATTTTAAGAGCCGTGATAGCTCAGTGTCCGGGCGCTCGCCTTAATTCAATGTATACTCGAGCAACCTGAGTTCGATCCTCGGTGCCGGCACCAATGAAGTTTTTAGCTGAATTATCACGTGCTCCGCGGTGAAGGAAAACATCGTGAGGAAACCTGCATATTTTCGGAATAATAACAAAAAAAAATATGTATTTCGAAAATATGTGAAGTCCGCCAATCCGCAGTGGGGCCGCGTGGTGGACTATGCCCTGATACCCTTTGTATAGAGGAGGCCTTTGCCCAGCAGTGGGACATGTATAGGCTGTTACTTTACTTTACTTTTTTAAAAACGACGACTAAGAATTTCCGAGCCATGGAGCAATATAATAGCTTACATTACAATAGCTTACTCAACGAACTTATGAATAAATAAATAAATAAAATAAATATGTTCTAAAGCTATTAACTCCTACATTCGACGATTAAAATTGTATCCTGTTCAACTCATTTTTTAAATAAAAAAAAGGCACACGGTGGAAAATAGAGAAAAAGACAGCGGTGTGTTGTGATGTAGATGAAGTAGCCCGCAATGCTGATTGTTTGGTTGCTTTTTGGGTACAGTATGTATATACACTACACTTTACCAATTGCTTATATAAAATTCGGCGTTGATGCTAATTCGATTCCGCTGTCATGTGTAGTCGGAATCACGCGATATCTTCATAAACATTTGTAACCGTGTCGAGGAATAACTATATTCTGTACTATTTCTGACTATAGCCGATTTTTATATGATATCCAACATGGTGATAGTATGACAAATTACGTATGCCTGTGATGCATTTCAAGAATCTTAACAATTGACAAGTTTTTTGAAAATGCTTATGGAAATAAATTATAAAATGTAACTACACAAATATATAATGGATCGTCTAGTTCTAGCGGATAGCAGCAGTTTAAGAAAGTTCTAATCACGTTACGAATATCCAAATTTAAAAAGCCGTAAGTTGTAAAAGAAATTTTAACTGGCTGGCAGAATCACATACAAAGTAAACATTTACTATCGCAAATCTTCCTGTATGTCTTGGTACTTGATGAGAACAAAACCCAAATAAGTGCTTTAATTATGTAATTGTCATTTTTTAAAATCATTTGTAACCCGAAACTTAAAATTTTCAAAAGTAATTGAATAATATATTATAATAAAACTTTGAAGTACAATTACCGTATGTATGCCGTAGGTACAACGATAACTGAATGATTTTCAAGACATTCGCCGTTGTATGTATATATACTAACAATTATTTCATTGATAATTTTTTGTCTCTGATATGATTGCCCACTATTGGTTGCATTATTCGATAAAGGAGATATTGATGCTAAACTTGTTTATGTTACTTTTAATAATTTTTAATATAAGGATTTTTTTACCTCATGTAAAAAAATTACATCTATTACATTTTCATGGCCTAATGAGGCTTGTTAAGGGCAGGCAGTTCGTTTAGGGTAAATCCAAATTAAAATATGTAGAAAAAGTACGAAAAGATTGTCTCCGCTGTGGGAATCGAACCCACATCTTCTGCTTCCACGGCCTGACGCTCTAGCCACTGAGCTAAGCGGCTGATTTATGGCCATCACAGTGTAGGACGATCCCCCACTTTACATAAAAATTAAATTAATAAAAAAATACTCAAAACCTACCATCATTGTCGAATGTAGGCCAGAAAGAAAAATAATGTAGAGATCTATTTTTATTACAACATGTATGTTGTGTTTAGTTCTTTCTTCAAACGGGAAAATAAACATCATAAATCAATAATTGACTGAATTATTCATCATCTTCAAGGAAACGTCATACATAACAAGTGTGTCACAAAGGGCTATTATTGTTTCGGGACTGTACCTAAAGATTTGGAACAAACTTTCTAGAAATCTGACATTATTAGCGTTATGGCTATTTGCTTATTACTTTAATTAAGTTTTTATTGACAATAACTATATCGCACTTTCTCTTCATTTAAATTACTTCTTCTTCATCGTTCTCTCACTAATGAACTACTTCTGTCTTGCGCCAGTTCAATGCATCGTTGTAAATCTTAAATTAACATTTACACTTGTAGTATTTTTTAAATTTAGGCCCAAGATATAATTATTACAGATTTTTACAAATTTCTAAATTAGGGTGTTTTCTAGTTGTCTATCAAGAATTCTTAATTAAGGTTTATAGGACTGTATACGTTAGCCTAATACCAATTACAGTCGAGACAGAGAAATATTCTTGCTGGAGCTGTATTGTTTGCTAGGACGTCTGCCGGCAACCAACCTTGCTATGAAGGTAGAAAATTTATTGAAAATTCTTTTTTGCACCAAAAAGTTTTCCCAAAGGTGAACTTAATGCTTAATACCATTTTCTTCTAGGTAACCTTTGGTGGTTGAGAGCAAGTTACGGGTAGTAATAGTAAGGTAGCATTCAAAATTTTTAAATATCAATCACAAAAAGTATGGGAAAAATAAATTCCTAATTAACATAGATGCACATCCTTAAACATAAATAAAATAAATATAAATACAGTTTTACATAGACATAGTTACTAGTTATGCATACATAATAAATGTAATTCAAACAAAAGAATAAAATATCAGTCAATAACACTGTTCTGATAAATTATAAATAGTGTTCGGATTCACGTCCTTTTATTGATGAGCAGACTATTCCATAATTTTATAGCTGTACAAGTGAAAGAAATGGCATAGTAGCCCGTGCAACATGTGCAGATATTGAAATATTTATCATAACCTGTCCTGGGTACCTCTGAAATGAAATTTATATATATATATGAGAATAGCTCACTGAGCCACCAATTAGGAAGCCTGCAATTTCAGCTTTAGAGACCCTAAATCAAAAATACTACAAAAAAACTTCTAAAAGTGAAGGTTTCGTAAATTTAATATAACCTTTTAATGTTTCTGTACCGCAGATCTCGGACATATATAGAGTGATTTTTTGAATAATATTTTTGCATTGGTTCAGTTTAACTCCTATGTGAACCCATATTAATTTTATATCGAACTCGGTGCCGAGACTCAATTCTCACAATGGCAGAAGTATTTTGTGGCCAACAATTGTTTCTGATCTGGGTGTTTATCCTCACGAAGCGTTGACGTCAGCCAGGGGACAGGTAGTTAAGACTTGCCAAGACATTAACAACATGTGTGATATGTTATGCAGATACCTAAAATCAATGAAACATTTTAATGACGAAGGGATAGAAGATTGTGAATTTTTGAATGTCTAATATAATAAAATAATCGAAAAAAATTTCTTGTGATGACTCAATTAATAAATTGATCTAGCCAATAAGTCGCATATCATAATACGCAATAATCATCACTATTGGGCTGTTTCATTATAGTGATTCCCCTGTTTTATTTGTCAATAATTGTGATGATTGATGACCGGCCGAGTTAAATAACTCACGTCATATTGATTTACGACGATAAGGTTTAAATTCTTACTTGAAATACAAAGCGATAAATAAATTGTGAATGATTGGGCTTTTTGAAGTAAATTGATACCATCATCGTATTACGTGATACAAGAAGCGACGAATTAAACGACTACCATGCAACAATGTGTTTTCTGCATTTTATGTTTTAAGGAGCCAAGACGGATTCTAACTTCAGAGATTAAAAGGATAAAGGATCAGAGATATAATGGATTAAACTTATAATGAATACAGTTTGCTTATACTTAGGACTGCATTAGCTGCTTCAAAGAGGATAAAGATACCTATTTAGTTCGCTTGGTTTGTCGGACTTCGATTGAGGAAATAACTTATTAATAGGGTATCAAAGTCATATTCACACAAAGTCAAAGTCACCACTTACTATTTGTATAATCCCGCGACTCGCCCCTTAATACTTCTCTTTACGGCTTTAGTTGAAAAATAAACATAGTACCTTACCTTTTAAAAAGGCTGATTGGTTTCGGTATTAGGCTTTGCCTTCAACCAAATCATAGTGATTTTATTAAAATTCTTATTTTGTTTAGCAATTAGGTAGAGTTAGCCTTAATAGTAACATAAACTTACGCAATGGAACTTTACTTAAGTCGTGCGGTAAAGTCAAATTGTACTTGTGTGATTCATCTGTTGAGTGAGGTAGTCAGAGGCTCCCGCCCCGACGGGGTTTCCGCCTTGTCGTGGCAGAAAGGCTTAGTAGCCTTGCCTTGGTCACCCACGGTGAAACCAAGAGGAACTAACACTGGGCCGGCCTGTGGTGTAAAGCCGCCCTGAGAGGGCCGCTCCTTACACCACTGTGCGGTCATTGATCCTACTCTGGATGCGTGCTTGCAGGCAGGGACAAGTTGAGGGTGGTAAGGGAGCCACACTCCCTGTCTTCTGCTACCGAGGAGGAGTTGCGGAGGAGGAGGAGTGTCGGTATTGCGATTGGCCACAATCCCTATCCTCCGCAACTCGCCGGGGCTACACCGCTGATGCAGTGGTGGTGGGGCCATGGGGGAGAGGAGTGTCGGTATTGCGATGCGCCGTGTTTCCTACCCTCCGCGCCCAAAACGTACTGAGCGTCAGAGCCACTTATTAGCACTGGTTCTCCAAGCTCCCATGGCCTCTGGTCAGCGAACGGGGAAGTTCGTTGGCCGTAAATACGGGACCGAGTAGGAAGGTGCGCTGAATAGCTAGCGGGCTAACTCGGAAGTTGGCAGTGGAATCTTTCCATTGACGGCTTAGTCTAAATAAATATCTACGTATAAAATATGTTTTATATTTGGTGGAAAATAAAAATTGTGATGCGCATTAATACGCTACGTCTTTTCAACACCAAAAGATTCAGATAATTGGTAAGAACTTGTACGTGTACGATTCGAGCAGCCCAATGTTGGCTCCGAAAAGACGTTGAGTGCTGGTATTGGAAAGCTCCAACGCTACAGATGATGGTGGCAAGTATTCCATGTGACCAGACCTGCGCTTTGTAAAGTTGCTTGCAATGGGACAGCAGTCTCACTACAAGGATATTGAGTTTTTAGCAGCCGATTTGGCTTCGACAGCCATAAGACCGCGAAATTGAAATGAAATGTAAAAGCCAACGCCAAGAATCCGTTTGAGTCTGTGACAACAAGGGATGCATTATCAGAAAAAGGTAAGAGTTCCTTTTTAAATTAATCCTGAAAAATGTGTTATTTTGTATCGTTATTCGTTATTTCGTATCGGTTACGTATAACAAAAGCATAAATGAACAATTTCGTTACATTGCTGAATGTGAGGCAGAAACATTGTTTTATCGTACATGGTGAGGGTAAATACAATGCATGCTCCAAAAAAAAATGTATATGAAATGCGTCTGTGCAGACTAGTTATATTGGATGTCAGGGCTAACAGTATTATAGTTATCGTCTCATTTTGATGTATTCTCTATTGTTAGTTTTACAAACGACTACGTAATTTATCGTCAGTGAGATAGATATAGTATTTATGTTCCTTTGTGTAGTATTAATTTTAAGCACTAATAAATAGTGATTCAATTTGTTTTAATAGATTGGATAACTCTGTAGGCATTTATGCGGTATTTTGACTGGTTTTATTACATTTATATTTAAATTAGCGACCCGCCCCGGCTTTGCACGGGATATTTTTTTATTTTACATATACAAATGGAAAATTAAAACTGTGAGACCTGTCCTAAAGAAGTGTGTTTAAGTAAACTAAAATCTGTGGCATTTTGATGTAGGTAAACTTTTGAGGATAAGGTTAAATTGTTTACGTTTTATGATAATTATAAACGGTTGTCCATGCATTTTGTTTTCAAACCAAGATAAAAAAATATTTGGACCCACAACGCCTATTCGAATTTAAATAATTACAACGTTTTGCAGAACTATTTGAAAAACGATAGGCGCTTCGATTTGATTTTTAAACATTAACTTGAAGAAAGAAGATATTTTTGAGTGACGCAAGTAGTGGTCGCAAATAAACATCATATTGTGAAGGTAATGGCATCGTGCGGTGAGAGTCAGGTATTTTATCTACCAAAAAAATGCTGAGATTGGTAAGTTTGTTTTAGTGCGTACAAATTGAATTCTGAAATATCTGTTTAAATTACATTGTATAAATTAGTAGCATACTCAGTCAGATAATAGTTCTCAGTCAGATAATAGCTACCGATCGAGCCGAGGTCCGGCCCTCTCGGGCACCCTCGAATCGGAACGCTAAACGCGTGCTGAGTGACAGCCCAAGCCGAGGTCCCCTCTCGGGGACCCTTGAGCCCGATCACTCCATGGAGCGCCCGCCAAAGCGCCCTAAGAGCTTGGCGGCCTCCCAAACCGGTAATAATAATAGCGTAACGGCCCGAGCCAAAGCCCCCCCGGGAGCCCTCGAGCTTAGTCACCATAACGCGTAATAATAGTACGCAGAGGTTCAGGCTAGGCGCCTCGTGCGCCAGGCCACCTCAAGTCCGGCGGATCTGTAAAGGCCCCTAAGGCCAACAGTGGCTCATCCAGCCCAAATAAAAAAAAAATAGTAGCATATTTTAATAAATCTGAATTTTTTTCAATAATATAATGAACCTTTTAAATATGTTTTGAAGTTATAAATAAAACATGTCGCCACTGTAACTCTTCCCGTTATGAATCCAGTCCATTTTCACGGAATTTGATGTAGTTGAGTCAGGGCTCAAGTTTGTATTTGACCCAATACTAAGCTAAAATTTTACGTATCAGTTGATTTTTTAAAGGTAAAATATTTCAATATTCATTCAATTTTAATCCATATCGTTGAATTGCGATCGCAAAAACATTTTTTTAACTGACCAGTGACGGAATCGGGTGACTACTAAATGTACCTATGTTACGAGAAACATATTAGTTTTTCACAAGTGCTTGTGGCCACGTGTAGTCGTGATAGTTCAAGGGGGAAGACATGTTTATCGCTCTGTTAATTTGACACGGGGAAAGTACCGCATCGCGATATTTTCTATAAATGAAAAGTAAGCGTCAGTTTATTACATTTTGTGCATGTCCTCGGTTCGACTCGATTGTGAGAATTTTCAAAGTATCTTTAAATTATGACAAACAAAAGATTTATTTTAAATGTATTAACTGTGATCAGCTGCTGTATGTATGTGGTGAATGGTGCACCGAAAATCAAAACCAGTGGTGAGCTTATTTAATATTTTTTTAATTTTAAATTTATGATGACTTATCTTTATATACAAAAATCCCATAAAAATAAATATAATAAAAAAAGAATTTTTAATAATTCATTCAATAAGATTTTTTTCAACTAAATGTTTTTTTGTAATTGGCCTTGAACTGCATTTTGAATGTTGTTCACACGGCATGACCTAATACGCAACGTCAAAGTGTAATATCCAAATAAATATATCTAAACAAAACTTTTTCCAGTGAAATGAATTTATTTATTTGTTTATTACAAATAAATTAAAAGCGAGTCAAGCACACTCAAGGTAGAACTGCATAGTATTATAATTAATGTGTTGTTATTGTCAGTATTTTTATTAATATTTAAAGATATATGAGAACATAGGGACTAAAAATTTATGTAACATGCATTATTACGAGTTGTGCGGTATATTAATTATTTTCGGATTCATTTCTGATAAATTCTTTTGAGCCCAAGAGTGATCAATTCTTTTGCTAAGAAGTCTTTCTTAATGATAGATGATAGATGATAGAATGATAAATAACTTGGCTTCGGCGTCGGGGGTTGTGGGTTCAATTCCCACACGGGACAACTATTTGTGAGACCCACAGATAATGTGTGGTAGCCGGAGCCCAATTTTCAAAAAGTTGTCAACGCCTCTGTAACCCTCGGGTATAGCAGATGTCCATGGGCGGCGGTATTCACTTAACATCGGGTGAACCGCATGCTCGCTTGGCAACTATTCATATAAAAAAAACGTAAAATTTATGTATGTAAGGCGTCCTCACAACAAATGATAATGTTATCCTACAGTAAAAGGCAATGTTTTAAGATAATTAAAATAACGGACTTTAGTGAAACACCTTTTTTATATAATAAAATTCAAATAACAGAAAAGTGAACTAATAACATGACAAAGTATATTATATAAGTTATTATTTATGTGAAGTCACTCGTGTATAAAGTTTGTGAGTAAGAATTTGGAAAGGAATATATTAATTTTTCATCATGAAGATCTAAAATTACGCTTTGTTTTTTCCAAATCAGACTCGAAATATTCCTTCGATTATTTTAATCGCGAAGACTGGGGAGCCAAGCCATCATTAGACGTTCGACCTTTAAAAAAACCCGTGCCCTATGTGGTCATCCACCACACCTACAAACCTGATGCTTGCAACACCACGAGGCAGTGCTTTGATGCTATGAACTCAATGCAGGAGTATCATAATAGTATGGGATGGGGTGACATCGGTTACAAGTAAGTTTCAGCGCTCATTTCTGGATTTTATGGATTAGGTAATCCGAAATCCTACCACATAAATACAATCAATTTTACTTTTAGTTTCAACTCGCACTAGGTATTTATTGCGTATACACACCGCTCCATGAGTTTTAAGAAGTTTTTAATTTAAAGAAATATGCGATAATTGTCAAGAAGAAATTTTTGCTACAATCTTTAATAATGGCTCTTTAATTCTTTACCGCTAGCTTCACAAAATTTTGTAACAATCAGATCATGTAATAATAATAATAATAATAAGGTGCTTTATTGTACACCAAAAAAGAAAAAAAGTACAGAACTAAACAAAATATTTATCAAATATTGGTCATCAAAAGGCGACCTTATTGCTACACAGCAATTTCTTCCAGGCAACCTCAGAAATTAATCAAAAGAAATTCTTATTGGGTAGGATGTACATGAAATTAAGTAAAAAGAAAGTTGCAACAAAAATTAAAGTAATAAGAAAAACATACCTCTTGTGTGTGATCATCAAAGTAAGAGTGTAATAAAAAGGGAAGGAGAGAGACATCGAGAGATAGAAAGGAGCTAGACAGAGAGATAATGCTTCTTAACCTGTCTTTTAAATGAATCTAGGGTTTGAGCACGTTTAATAGCCAAAGGTAAAGAGTTCCAGAGCTTAACAGCGACAGCAGAGAAGGATTTATGGTAAAAACTAGTTGATCGCAAAGGATTTTTAAGGAAGAGGTTTTCATTTGAACGTAGAGGAAGGTTATGAGAGGAGCAAAGAAATTGAAAACGTTCCTTCAAATAATCCGGACTTGATACATTAAATAGGACGCAGTAAAGAGAGTATCAATGAGAGTATCAAGAGAAATCAAGAGTATCGTGTAATCTCTTCAAATGATTATAAAATTATTTGATCCATAATATTGGAGATTTGAAGTCGATGAAATGGACTAGTGTGGCTGGGTACGTCGACTAAAGGTGGTAGTTCAGTAGTAAGCGCGCCTGCTTAAAATTTTTTGATTCTAAAAATTATTGTCATATTTTATTTTAGTAATAGGGTATTAGATAACGTTGACATGAAAAATTATGTTAAATCTCAGTGGCGGTTGCTAAAGTTACTCCGTTTTATTATCTGCAAAACTCTCAGATTCATATTTGTGTTAAGGAAGGTTAACGAAGGAAAAACAATAATTGTCTTAATTATTAATATGACAATTTCAATTATTTATAAACAGCACTGCGCTTACGCTAACATCAACAGACAAATATGATGAAGTATTTAACAACTTGACAAGACCGTTGATCACGTTTTTAGTATTTAAAAATACATAATAATTAATCGTCATAAACGTCGTAAACTCTGTTGTTATTGCTATAAGGCTGTTAATGAGCATGTTGAATGAATGGCCTTTCGTCTCAGATATTTAGCTATATAGCTACTAGAGTAAAGTAAAGAGTGTTTAAATCGCTAGTCTAATTTTTAATTATAGCAGAGGTCAGCATTCGTCCAAAAAAAGGAATAACCTAATCTAGAATGATTTACCGTTGAGGCTCCAATGCCGTCTTCAAAGGTGGCTTTGGTTCATCTATGGACTGATTGATAGAGTTTGATAATAATGATGCATTTGGTTTTCACCGAAATCCTTATTTTTTATTTATTAATATATAGATGTCTTTTACTTAACAAATAAGACAATATTTAGTTACAATAGAATATTTGTGTGCACGTGTGTACAGGAAATTTAAATGTCCTTCTAGAAATTCATCGTTCACTGGATTACCTTTATGTATTGCAAGTAAAGTGATAAAAAATTAACATACTCTATGTAGAGTCTTTTTTATTAAAAATTGGCCAGCCCTTGACTGCCATCTCACCTGATGGTAAGTAAGTGGTGATGAAGCCATTGATGGTAAGGACGCTAGCTCAGTCAAAGTCAAAGTCAAAGTATATTTATTAAATATAGGCTTAACTTAAGCTCTTATTGAACGTCAATAAAAAATCTACCACCGGTTCACTAAACTAGACCTGCACAGAGAAGAATCGGCAAGAAACTCTGCGGTCTTGTTAAAAAGTCAGTAAGTAAAAGATGCCTACGTCATAATCAGACGGTAAGACGGACGCCGGCAGGTTATTCCATTCATTAGCTGTACGGATGATAAATGAAGAAGCGAATCGCTTCGTTCTTTTGCTTGGAACGTCGACGGCAAAACTGTGGAGCCCCGCCGAACGTCTAGTTGTCCGACGATGGGAAGTGGTGGGAGGAATCAAATCGTGCAACTCTAACGCACACTCTTCAAATTCATCCTGTAGAAAACCAAGAGGCTACTCTGAGCCTATTATTAAATATAACTAGTTCCTCAAACATAGATTTATAATACACGAGCTAGTTTGGTGTGAAATTAACTTGATGTCTATTTTATTTAGAGTTAATGTTTGTCCACTATCCATCTGATGCAGTCTTGTAGTGATGTATTCTCAGGTGTTACGCGCAATAACTTAGTAAGTCTATTTACTACTGCCTGGAAGACATCATCATAGTTACCAGATGGAAGTTCTAAGGCTAGCAATTAGATTATTGCTTTGCTATACGGATTACTAATGTAGTTTGCCTCAAACTTCGTAATACGTATCATCGCTAAACCGCTAGTCGACAGAAAAGACAATTATTTTCTTACCGTGGTAGGGTCACGGAGCAGTCTTTGCAGTTGCACGTACTGCCAGGTTCAGCCGGGGAAGCACCACAGTTTCCTATAAGACCAACGTGAAGTGGAAGTTTTATACTTCTGCGTTTCATCCGGTGAGGTAAACTGAGACTACTTTGTAATATGTAGCAAGGCATAAGCAATCGCATGGGTTTTGAAAATTTCCATTGGTATTGGTTATCACTTAACATCATCAGATGAACCGTCAGCTCGCTTGCCATCTTCTCACATAAAATATTAAGGTTCTACAGTGTCCGATTGTACACGTTGAAATACAGGTCGTGTACAAGAAGCTATTGAGAAAAATCATACATTAAACTTACTTAAATCACTCTGGTAGACCCACATAGCAGCTTCTGCTGAAGCACAAATGCGCAGGCTCTTCATGGAAAGTAAGACTGGCGTAAACATGGAGTGATTAGAATTAGACAATACCACTTTTAAACTTTGGCAACGCATCTACAATACAACTTGTATTGTGATGGACATTCACAATACGCGCAATACGGCAATACGGCAGGCGGTAATCACTTAACATCAGATGTAATTATTGCTCGCTTGCATCCTTCTCACATAAAACACTTGTGTTTAGGCCTTTTTTCTGTGTACCGGCAGTTTCTGCGTCGGTAGCATGGGTAGCGTGTTCGAAGGTCGCGGTTGGGACAACGTGGGCATCCACGCGGGACGCGCGAACAGTTACAGCATCGGTATCTGCCTGATCGGCGACTGGAGAGGTATCGGGAAACATAACTCATATATTTTTTCTTTAATAGTGTCGTAGAGCGTCTTCTTCTAGAACTATAGATCTTAATAGGGTGGAGCCAGCAAACGAAATTCTTGGGATGATATCAGAGTATATTCTGGATACATTTGTCTAATCTTCTGTATGAATAATCCATCTAACCAGTTTTAAGACCGTAATTGGACGTATCAATTGAGTGTCGGCATTCTTAAGTGATGATTATTATTTAACTATAACTATTAACTACAATTTATCTACACATTTTAAGTTTCACTTTAAGTGCAGGGCCTAGCGCCAAAAACAATAATTAAATTTCTTTAATTTAAAAATAAAATAAATAAAATTTTTCTCTCCCGAGTTTTTAAATGTCCATTGTAATCATGGCACTTGAGAAAGCGACTTTACTGTAAAGGAAGCGCTAGATAACGCCAAGTATAGCTAAAAGTTCAATAAACACAAAGTAGATAAGGCGTCGAAATTGACCACTTAGCTTAATGGCTAAAGCGTCTGCGAAAAAAAATCAGCGAAAAAATTTTTCAACGATTTTTCTACACATTTATTTTTCATCATCATCATCCATTATAAGATCCAATATATCTTATTCCACCTAGATAAGTTCTGCACAACATGATAATCATGTTTGTAAATGGTTTTGGCTAGGATTTTTACGACCGGCCGCTCAGACTACCTACCTATTTTGAGAACAAACACCCAAATCCGAAAAACTTTTCTGTGGGTCACATAAATACTTGTTCCGGGTGGCAATCGAACCCACTACCTGACGCCGTAGCCAACAGCTTAGTAACTGACTGGAATCTAGCACTAAATATTAAATATTTTTTTTATAATAATTGTTTAAATACTTTCCCTCACAGTATCCCCACCGCCAAACGGAATGTTGAAGGCAACAAAGAAGCTCATTGCTATGGGAGTGGCGAATGGCTCCGTCAGTCGTGACTATAGACTTGTTGGTCACAAGCAAATTATGGCAACCGAGTGTCCAGGGATGGCGCTGTTCGACATAATCTCGACATGGGATCATTTCACAAATGGAACTGTAGATTTTACCACTATCTCGAATCAATCAAATTTGCCCCTTAAAAAATTTCTAACAGCTTAGAAGTTACGTCACGAAGTTCATACATTATTGTGATTTATGTCACTAATAATAAATTTTATTCGATTGATAGAGTATTTCTATCTCTTTCTTTGGATTTATTTGACAGTTTACAAATTTTCAAATGTAAACATTATTTTTAAAGGAAACCAAGTGAGAAGGTATTTGGTGCTCTAAACACTGAAGTACCAAACTTTATTAGACTTAAGATTTTTTGTTCAACACATCTACGTCACCAATTATAAAACTACGACAAAGTTACAATACTCAGATTAAGGTAGATTTTAAAATTATTTCTATAAATTAAGCATATTTAATTTTTTTCTGTGATGTAAATATTCATTCTTATTTATTAAAGTTTTCCAATAAAAAGCGTTTTTATTATACCCAACTGTACACACGCTCTACACTCAAATGTACAATAATCTGAGCAATAAAATGAGCATCCAACATCCAACGCTTTTTGAACATAAGCTGGCCATCATGTATACCACTCATCTCGCCAGAATAGGTGACATCACAAAAGTAATAAAAACCGGCCAAGTGCGACTCGTACATGAAGCGTTCCGTATCTATAATAAAAACTGCAAAAAAAAAACATATAACTGATATGTTTTTTTTTATGGGAGCCTCCGTAAAGATTTTTTATTTTATTCTGTGTTTTAGTATTTTTTTGTTAAAGCGGCAACAGAAATACATCATCTTACTATCACGGTTCATGAGATACAGCCTGGTGACAGGTGGACAGACAGACAGACAGCAGAGTCTTAGTATTTCATCATAATAGGGTCTCAGCTACTGCTTCATTGCAGTAAGTTCCAATGAGCTTTGAAGCCATTTGTTTTTTCTATTAAAAATAATACATTAGCATTCAAAAAAGCGCATAATAAAACGAATGCTGCCTCTTAAGAAAAAAAAAACGAGTCGAGTAAATAAAACTGTGATAGTTTCTTATTGTATGTCTAAAATTTAATTTTCGTGTAACTTTTATATGTTTTAGATAATTTTTTAATACATAAATGAAAATCCTTTTTCATGCTTATTTAAATGCTAAGAAAGATCCATCGTGCTTGTTTAAAATCTTTTTGTTTCTGAGAGCCGCCACAGACCCGTTTTCTATCACCCAATCATATCAACCCTGGACCAATCTTTATCTGTACATTGAATGTGTTCTCAAGCAAATCGTAACCTGGCAACTCGATGTTCTCTGATGATAAATAATATTGTGGTAAGTACTGTTCAAGTTTATTTAATATGGGACGCTCACTATAAAATCCTTTTCGTGTTTGGTCTATTTTATCCTTTTGATCGGTACATTATAGATCATGTCGTAAATTGTGAAGGCACCGGCATCATGGTCTCTTATGCCATCACGCCCCGTCATAGCCCTTGTTATGCTTGTGTTTTCGACAGTGTAAATGCCACAAAGTACACAACTTTGTGGCATTTGTGGCAGAGTGAGTGTATTACGTATTGAACTACAGTATATTTAACGCGTTCATCGTTTTATTTCCTAAATAATTTAATAAATTTTGTGGCACTGAGGAATTCACAAAACTAAAATAATTTCTAATTAAATTCATCCACCCTTGAAAGAACTATTTGATGATCACGCTTATTTTTGTCCCGCTTGAAGACTGAGCCCACAACACGGTAATGTCAAACTCCTAAGTATTTGTGCCATCTGTGCAGTTAATTTTTACAATGCAATGCTTCCATAATTTTTATTTTACCACTGGATAGAAAGATCTAAGGTAACTTTAGTGTCAGTAGCTGGCAATAAAGGAATTTTGGAATTTTCCCCGTGGTCTCCAAATTAGCAAAAATGACGGGCATACAAGAGAAACATTTATATTTAAATAAGAAATAATTGAAATAGATGGCGTCGTTAAAGTTAATTATTCGAATTAAATAATTTGGTCGCAGTAATGACAGCGTTATAGATAAGAATAGTCGTTCCTAATGTGAAACATAAGTCAATAATTTGTGATTTTAATTTCTTTGTCAACAATAGAAGACATCTTTATTTCTTATTGTGATTTTTCGTTTTGGTTGCACGAGTAAACACATGTTACAGCTATGTAAACGTAGTGATTACATTCTCTTTGCTATGTAATTGTATAATTAATGTATTTTTTTGATAAAAATTAAATGGAATAATAACTTGAGATGACGAAAAGCAGAAATATTCTAGATTTCTACAATTGATATTTTGTTGTTAAAAAAATTGTTTCTAAATGAAAAGTACTTATTTAATTATTGGCTAATAATGTCGTTGCAGTTTTCCCACCTTGATGGATCTTCATTGATACTAATATAGAAATCTTGGAAAATCCATATATCGCTAGGTTTTCTTATGATGAAATATGGTGTGAAAACTAGTCAAAATGTCTTACTAATCTAAGAGAAACCTCGGAGAACAAACAGCGGAGAATTTTGTATAACATCATTAAATTAACATCTAGTTGGTTACGCAAAAGACTTACCGACGAGTGTATAAATACAAGTTTCCAACGTCCATTGTTGAACATAGGTCTCCCCCACAGATTGCTACGAAGCACGGTCCTGAGCCATCGGCATCCATCGACTTCCCGCTCATTTGCACAGGTTTCAACGTGTATACTAATAATAAAATTTAAAAGATATCCTATTACTTATAGGTTCTGATGATAAGAAAATTTATGTCACTTATATTTAGAAACCTCGAAAACTGTACGCAATCCTTAGATATAAGATAGAATAATAACTGACGAGTAGACTGACTGGCTCTTAGTGATCGCCATACTCGTATTTTTGTTTCTACTTCGCTTGTTTTGACTATTACTTTGGAATTGATTAATAAATTATTACAAATAAAAAAAAAAACTGCGTATATAAATACTACATTATGAAACAACTCTTGACGTAGGTAATTGTTTAATACCTAGAAGTTCAATCAAATTGAAATGTGTTAAGTTCAAACCAATAAAAAAGTATAGAGATGGAGATGATATTATAAGGTATTATTACTGTTTACAGGAGTCCGTACCCGAAGGGTAAAACGGGACGCTATTACTAAGACTCCGTTGTCTGTTTGTCTGTCTGTCCGTCTGCCAGTCTGTCACCAGGCTGTATCTCATGAACTGTGATAGTTAGGCAGTTGATATTTCTACAGATAAAGTATTTCTATTGCCGCTATAACAAAAAACAGAATACAATAAAAATATTTAAGGGGGCTCTAATACAACAGACATAATCATTGGACATCTATTTTTATAGATAAAGGGTACGAAACCCTCTGTGCGTGAGTCCAACTCGTAATTGGCCGGTTTTTTTTAATTTGTCTTGGTTGTATGAATTTTTATGGGATGTTTATCAGATTTATTATAATGTAATAATAATAATAATAAAATATCTTTATTCACATAGACACTTGCGGGTTCTTATGAAACGTCGAAATTTTAAAGGAAATTAATAGTGTTATGAACACACAAAGGAACTAACGCCATCTAGCGTCAACTATCAAAACCACTAAAGAACAAAGACGACATAAAACCCCCTATTCAACACTAGATGGCGTTAGAGGAACTGCTGTCTCGAAAACCGGGTACATTCGCGAACTTTCCGGAATCACGAACATGTTCGTGCGTGTCGGGTACGTTCCAGGAATGATCTTTCTGGATTAGTCCGGAACCGGTCTCGGCCCATATAAAAAGCCGCAGGGAGGCGAGCGATGACAGTTCAGTTTGAGCTACCTTCGAGGCGACTTCGGAGCGAAAACTAGTGATCAAGAGCGATACCAGTGAAACCTACGACTTGGCTACAAAACAGGACATCGTTAGTGCTTAGTGTTTGGACCTAGTGCTTTGTGTTGGAACTAGTGCTATTGAATAAAGTCTTCAAAAGAGTCAGCAGGTCTTTCTCTCCAAATCCTTCGAACCCCTAACACGTAACAACTGGTGTCAGAAGTGGGATTTGGAGATGCAGGACAAGGGCACGAGCTGCGGAGGCCACACCCACTGTGGACCAAGCCCCGCCCACTGTGGGACAAGCCCCGCCCACTGGCCCCACCGACCAGGCCACGCCCACCGACCACGCCCCTCAGACTCCGCCCATTCACGCTCAAGCCCCGCCCACTCGGGCCCAAGCTCCGTCCACTTTGGTGCAAGCACCGCCCACCGACTCCACCCACCGGGCCACGCCCACTGGCCCCGCCCACCAGCGGCACCGTAACTTCTGCAGCCCCTGTAGTGGCTCTTCAATTAGGAAGTTTAATTGAACTAATGGAGCTGCAAAGGGCTGAAATTCAAGCAATGAAGGAATCACACGAACGCAGGCTCGGTGCTTTGCAAGAGTCGCAAGAACGCAAGCTCGGCGCTTTGCAAGAGACACAAGAACGCAAGCTGACTACGATTCAAGAGTTTCAACAGGCTGAAATCAGAGCGATTCGACAATCACAAGAGCAACAAAAAGATCTCCAAGAAAAAGCGCTTTGGGCTATAAATGATGTTAGTAACACCGTGATTAAGCTCTGAAAAGATGTCGATGTAGTGGAAGAACGAGTTACCGGGTTAGGATTGGACGTTGTAAATGTTAAAACCGGCCTCACTGAACTACAGAAGAAAGTAGTGCGCCTTGAAACCACGGGAGTCACGATGTCTAGTGGCACTACAGGAGTGGCACAAGGGCCAAGAGTGAAAGTTCCGCCATACGACGGCACCACTTCTTGGCACGCTTATCGTCGGCAATTCCAGACTGTTGCTACTGCCAACGGGTTGACAGAAGAGCAATGCCTGACCGCTCTTACTGTTGCGCTTAGAGGGCAAGCTTTGTCGGTCCTGGAAGCACTGCCACGTACAGGAAATGGGTTCCAAGACCTGATGGAGGCACTTGAATCCAGATACGGGGAGCGACACCTGGAGCACGTGTTCCGTGCCCAACTGCGTGACCGAGTCCAACGCTCAGGAGAAGGACTACAACAATGGGCGTTGGAAATAGAAAAACTCGTCAGGAAGGCACAC